CTTGTTTATTTTTTGTCTTCTTTTGCATATTCACTTCGAATTTTTTTTTTTTTTTTCAAAAATGCTACCTTTGAGTGGATGCCAGACTTCTCTCTGGATATCTATTGGTGCAGAGCGATTAAATGAAATATAAACAAATGCCGAACTGTTTGCTTGTTTCTTTTGGGAACCCGAGACCTGGCTCTTTCTTTGTTTAAATTAACCGACCTAAATTTCAATAATCGCAGAATCAGGCTGCTTGGTCAAGTTGTATACAAGACACACTGTCTTGACAGTAGTGGGTTCAAATCCCACGCAAACCCTGACTTTGTGCGATACCCCTATTCTTGGGGGCTGGCGACCATGTCGGTGCCAACATGACTGGAACGCTGTATTACGATATGGCTCTAGGAAGGTCGACGAGTGCCGGTGGTTTGTGGGATATTAGTTCAACTTGACATTTTTTTTTATTTTTTTTAATTTTATATGCAGTATAAAGGAATTGGTATAAAGTTAAGAGTATCGGTAATAGTGAGATGATATTAGAATAAATATTAAGTTAAGCTCTACCTTTGTCCTCCTGATCCATGACCCCTTCCTCCCCGCCAGAACGAGCGGGCGATTTTTCAATTTTGCCCACAATACCAGTGCCGCGAAACGCCAGACCAACAATCACCGCGCCCAGCAGCGCCAGCGCAAAATTGAACCAATTCGCGACGCGCAGACTGAAAAGCGACGGCGCATCCCACGGCTCGATACCGCCCGACTCCTCAACAGGGACGCCCCTCTCACGCGCCAGCACCGCCGTTTGAATCGCCGTGGTGATGGCAAGGCCAATGGCGCGTCCCGTCTGTCCGCACGCGTTGATAAGAGCGCCGCCTAGTGCCTGGTCCTCCCGGGGCACCGACTTGGATACGAAGAGGGTTAGGGATGGCCAGGTCATGTCGGCGCCAATGACGGATAGAATCATGGCCGGGAGACCATAGGCAAAATATGATGTTTGCGGTGGGATTGGGACTGCAAATAAGAGACAGGAAATGGCGACAGCGAGATTACCGAATAGCAAAAAGAGATATGTTGGTATTCTTGAGATTAGATGCGACACGATGAATGCAACAATGATGCCGGCGATGCCTGTGGGGATAAATCGCAGAGTGGTTTGAAGTGGTCCTAGATCTTGGTAATCCTGTTTCGCGCGAGAGTCAGTTAACCAGGTACTGCAGCACACTAGGTAGATAATCTCGGATACTCACCTGGAAGAAGTAAGTGGCATAGATGAGATAATCATTGAAAGACGAGAAGAAGATGGCCATGAGGACCATTGCGATGCTAAAGTGCTTGTTCTTGAACAGCGAAATCTTCATCAGAGGTGGTCGGGTCGTGTGCTTCTCCTGGTACCATTGCCAGGCAGCGAAGATGGCAATAAACAGTAAACCAATGACGATGAGGAGGTAGATCCAAACAGTCTTCCAGCCGACAACATTGCCCTCGGTCAGGGCAAACAAGAGACACAGAATACCAGCCGTGATCAAACCGCCGCCAAACCAGTCGACCGTGCTAGCCAGAGATTTACCAGAGGTCAGTTCTGCAGGCTTGGGCGGCGGTGGTGGGATGAGGAAAACGCCGGCAGCGGTAACAATGACAGCCAAGACCGCATTGGCTCCAAAGACCCATTTCCAATTTGCATAGGATGCAATGAGACCACCGAGCAGATTACCAAAGACGGATCCAAGTGGCGCGCCAGCCGCTTTTCATATTTGCATTAGTCGGGTGCACACATTTATAAGGAACCAAATGACCCTTACCATAGGTGCTGAAGGCATAGTTTTTAGCTTTGCCAGGAGGAAACGTCACACCAAGGATCCCGATTGCTGTTGGTACATTTGCGGCACCGCCCTGGTGTCATGTCAGTCATGTTTGGATTGAACACAATCATGGTATTAAATGCTTACAATGCCCTGCAAGCCTCTAAACAAGTCAAAAGCGATTTCATTTCGAAGAAACGGATTGACAATCAATGTAGCGGCAGCAAAAGCACTTCCAAGGATAAAGATTAATCGTTTGCCGTAGATATCAGCGATGCGACCCCAAAGCAACAAAAAGCAGCCAAAAGTCAATGAGTAAGCCGATACAACCCATTGGAGACGACTTTCGGGGATCCCGAGGTCTTCTCCAATGGTCGGCAGGATGATGACCACGGCTTGTACAGTGAGGGTCTATATAGTATTGTGAGACAAGGGTATCACGGAGGAAACGATTACTTTGTGGCAATGCACAAGAAAACTCACATTGAGAAACGAAGCACCAGTCACTGTTGCCACCAGGGCAATACACCGCGCCTTGGAGAACGGCAATTTCTCATGGTGGTGGTCGTCGTCGTCGGTCACAACCCCGCTCGGCGGCGATTCCGCGCCGAGACTCTCGGCGTTATTGACCTCGGCGGATATACTAACCGCCTCGGACCGGTCCGTCTTGTCGAGATCCTGGGCCATCGTATGTTTCTTCGCAAACTTACCGAAGATGCAGCAAAGGATACTATTGGCAAGGACTGGCATTCATTTGCAAGGGAAATGTTTTAAATCAGGGAAAAAGGGGGCTACCCTCTTTTCAGCCTTGACCGCAACCTGCGGCACATTCCAGCAGGGCAGGAGAAAAAAAAAAGAGTGTCATTCATTTATTCCCATAGCGCGATCGGCGCTAACCCGTCGGTGCTTTACCCCGGGACATTCCCCGGCATCTGGGGGGAATATATTTTTGCCCCTAGAGGGAAAAGACCCCCAGGCACCGCTGATGCCACCGCTTGTGCCATCCGATACCCGGAAGTGGGACCAGAGACTTGTTTTGCGAATTCGAAAAAGACTTGGGAAAGAGATTTTCCGATAGGGCGATAACAAGCCCAAGACCAGCCACTTGCCGGCAGGTTGACATCCATCAAATACACCATCTTCTCGCTTACTTGCATTTTTTGTTCGTCCCGTGCCGTGTCAGCCGGGGGGTTCGTGCATGTAGCCTTTTTGCAGACATCTACAGGGATGGCCGCCACAGTGAAGCAGCCACTGGAACATCGCCAATGCAGCCCTTGTGGTCTGGGTGACTTTCTAAACTCGCGGCTGTCAGCAATACTGAGTGCACATGCCCGGTGCTTTAAAAATGTATATTGAAATCACGATATGCGAGGTCGCGAAGCTGCCAATGACGAGCATGTCGTGTTTCTTCTTCTCGTGGCTTGGCTGGAGATGTCAATCATCAACGTAGCAAGCCATTCAGCTTGTGCATGGTTTCTTGCTTTTCAATTGAACTTATTCAAAACATGCGCCGTCCATTTTATATCTGAAAACCTTCGGGCTTTATATAATCAAAAATGCAATAGAGACGATCATGTACGTGAGACACTGCGACCAGAAACCATGCATCTAGTTGCGATTATAGTTTTCAAGACCAAAACAAATCACCGTCAATTGTTACAATATCTCTTTCGTGTGCGATTCTGTTCTGTGGGTATGTCGTCTTGTATTGTAACACGACGCGCTCGTGCAACGGTTTATCGCCAAACAGAGCACCTGCAAGGCCAGTCTTTTTTCTATTCCCTAGATTTTTCCAGTATCATTTCAAACCAAAACCACCGCTCAAACACCCTGAGGCCATTCCATTATGGCACATCTGACTTTCTGTCTAAAAGTGGTATTTCCAATATCGCTCACAGATTCTATCCCGATTCATGTCGGGCTCTAACATATTTTCATCAAAGTGACTAGGCGAAAGTTAGAGACTTCCGCAACAGTGCATCTCACGGTTCCAAAGAACTGAATCGCATTAATCCCATGGGTGGATCAAGGCAGCTCGGAAACTCTGTCCTTGTAAATCTTCTCAGCTCTGGTCCAGACACCCTCAGTGTCGCGGCGGTCCAAAGTGAGCAGGCTGGGCAACAACAGGCCAGAGTACTCATCACTGGACTCGCGAGCAATCAGAGTAGGCAGGTGGTCAATGGCGACGACTCTCAGCTCCGGACCAGGGATCTCCTTGTTGATGGGAATCGTGGGCTTGTCGAAAGAGCTCCAGGTGGAGTACACGGGGATGGGGTTGTTCTCGCTGTTGGGGTCACAGCTGATGTCGCAAATGACGCGCAGACGTCTGCCAGGAGCCGAAAGAGAGTCAAAGGTGAGGAATGGGGGAGTGCGGTGGGGTCCGAGGTAGACGCAGTTGATGAAGATGTCGGACTGGGCAATCTCCTCAAAGGGCCCTCCCTTGGCGGTCTCGGCCATATCCCACTTCAGGATGGAGTCTGCGTCGAGTCCGGCAGTGGTGCAGAAGTCCACAGCGCCCTTGCCGCAACGGCCAAGGGCACCAATGACGATGACACGGGGCAGCTGGCCGTTGTTGGCCTTGACGGCAGGCTCAACGGCAGCCTTGACGTGTGCAACCAGAGCGGGCGCATTCTCGAAAGTGGGAACGGCACCCTGGGTGACACCGGGGTTCAGTACCTGGTGGGCCCATGACAGCAGGGCAATGGCAGCACCAGCGTATCCAGCCCAGTAACCGAAGGCGGCCACGCGGCGGCCCGTCTCGTCGGTCAAGAACTCAAGATCGTACAGAGTGCCACCGCTCTTGGCGAAGCGTGACAGCGAGGGGGCCCAGCCGGTCTGCTTCTTGAAAATGTGCTGGAAGTGAATGTAGCTGTGGGGCAAAGGCATGTCCTCCTCGGGGAGCTCCTTGAGGCCGAGGATGATGTCCTCCTTGGGGGCCTTCTGCCACGATCCGGCGGGGACCAGCTCTGCGCCGACGGCGGCAAACTCTTCGTCATTGTAGATACGCTCGGGCGATCGTTCCACACGGACAGTGTAGCCAGCATCAAGGAGAGCCTTGGCTGTCGCGGGCGACACTGAATTGATTGTTAGCAAATGAGCGCGGAAGGGGGAAAAAAGCCAAACAACAAAGGCAACTGCAATTGTTTACGTACTCGACGAGCGGCGCTCGAACTGCTTGGTGTCGGCCCTCAGGTGGATAACGGTAGGCATGATGGGCAAAAGTTGTACTGATGACCTGTGTAGAGAATGTAGACGAGGCGGTTAGACAAGAGAGGAAAAAAAACAGAAATAACCTCTGTAAATATGCGAATGAACGGTGAACGGTATCGGTACGTATTAGTCGCGTTGATGTATGATTTGACTCAGAAAGACCCTGACGCAAGAATTGACTGGGGGTTTTTTCGGAGGCAAGTCGGAGGTGCGGGGTGACTGCTAACAAATGCCAATGCAGGGACTGGTAGAACTTCGGGGCCATTGATGACGGCATACTAAGAACTAACTAAGCCTGCACGGGCCATATGATACAGAGAGTGTATAGTAACATGATGCACAGTAAGATAGGTACTAATGTTTGACGAGGCGAAAATCATTCTCGTATGCATCATTTTTTATTGGACTGGGTGATTCTATTTTATGATCCTCAATTTGAATTGCACTGAACATGAGTGCAATCTTCTCATCTTGGCCAGCCTCGGATTTTGACCAGCATCTTCAAATACCTCCATTACGGTTACGTCATTGGCCAGGATCGTGAAGTGAGGCAAGAACACACATGACCTTGTTGAAAATTGAAATGACTGCATCAAAAACGAGTGGCAAGTCGCTTACTGAGACATATCAAGAACTTGTACACGTCCACATAGCCATTTGAATAGCAAGTATCACGTACAATCAGCGTTCGCCCTGTTCAAAGACCCACCATGGCTACCAAGATCGCAGGTACCAATATCACCAGTCAAGATGGATCGAAGTCATTGAGACAGTAAATAAGTCATGATTGAACACTACAAAATATGAAAATAACTCCTACTTAAACGAGCGACATTACATTCAAGCCTTTAGACGAGAGATCCTTTGACCGAGATCTATCATGATCTCCGTCTAATTCATTGGCATGCCCGGGAGGTGAGTGAGCCCTGCAATCAAAAGTCAGTATAAAACCAAACTGAATGTAACAGAAAATTTCAAACATACAGCCATCAGTCTCCTCACCAACCATGTCCTTGACGGTACACTTATTGGCAGTAGACATGACCTGCTTCTTGATGGAGCCGCAGCCGTCATAGAAGCACTCGGACTTGTTCATGGCGCGCTGGAGGGCGTCGCCCTGCCAGCCAAACATGTAGTCGGCGTGGGTGCCGTAGCCGCTGGTGCCCTCAAAGCTCCACACAAACGGGTTCGGCGTCCCCGACGGCCACAGGCTGTTGAACTTGGTCGTGTCCCATACGGTCTCGTACGTCAGCTGCGGCATGCGCACCGGGTGAGACGCAGGACATGCTGGCGCATTGGTGAAGCCGTCGCGCGTAATGGTATTGTACATGTGCGACTGATGGTCGGGGCTGTCGAGGTTCTTCCCGTCCCAGCATCTAAAAGTAGAGTTAGCTAACAGCACTCGTGACTCTTGGAAATAGGGGTTACTCACGCCGGGAAGTGGTGCACGGCAAAGATACCAGCCGGGCAAGGCTTGGTGGGAAAGTCGACCATCTCTGGACCTCTGTTCAGAAGGGTCTGTAGACAGTTGTAGCGCAGACCAACGTGGCCCTTTGCCTGAGCTTCCGTGGTCGTGGTTGGCGAACCGACCGTCATGCGGAATCCCTGGAGATTGTCAGTATTATCATGAACGAGGTGAGTTACAATGCAACATACTGCAGGGAAGGCAGTGATTGGTTGATTCTTCAGATCATCTGTGCTAAAGTCGTGTGGTGTATAGTAAATGGTCATGCCTCCCGTGGTACCACTCGCAAGTGCAGCGTTGTTCTTGACTGGAACTCGATGGTAAGACCCGTTGGTGGGATGCTTGAAGTACAAAACAGCAGTCCAGTAGTTGGAAAAGTCCTCTGCCATCTCACATGTAGTGCAGGTGCCGCGAGCACCGACATCGCCAGTCATGGTGGCATTGAAAGCGTTGCCACCAACAATGTGGTGTACATGAGAAGAAGGGTTCATGCCAGGCTCGACGACAGGGTCAAGTCGCTGGATAGTCAGCGAAGAGCAGCCGAAGCGGAGACCCGCCTCTACCGATGCGACAAGCGCGAGCGTAAGGGAAAGGGACTTCATCGTTCAACTCTGAAGATTTACGAGAACGAGGCTTGAAATGGCCAAAGACCAAAGGTGACTGTATCCTGAGCTGTGGGCTTTTGCGGATTATGTACGCGCACACTATTCCCCCGTTATACTGACACATCATAGCCACATGCGTTGAAGCTTGGCATGTCCGCTTTCTTCAGAAGTCGGAACTTGCGGCAGTTGTAATGCAGCGTCAAAGGAAAGCGGCATGGCATAAGTTTACTCTATCAGCGAATCGGGTGCGATCCCCGTGATAAGAGCGAATTTGCCGGCAATCTGGCGGTTGAATTGAACCTCCAAGCAAATACCTCCGTTGATGAAAGTTGGAGAGCGGCAGATCCCACGGCACTCATGGAGCTCCCGGCAAATGTCAATACTTAGTTGGATCAGCATATAGAGTCACATAGAGCCATACATCGGCCATGAAGGCCTTTGAGTGTTTACCTTACACAATAAACCTCGTTGTGACAACATCTTCTGTATGCGGTCTTGTCAAAACTTTTATTGTTACTGATTGCTCTAGGCCCCAATTCAATTTGGTGAATGAGCCCTGCGGCATTGGGTCACTCAGAAAGGGGAGTTTTATCGGTGTGTCATTTTCTTTTCTATTTATTGACCTAGTCTTCCCTCCTCTCTTGATTTAAGCCCAAAGAATGTTTCGATTCCACAGGTATATATTCTTCACCATTTACCTAGGAACGAGTTTGTGAACAGTGCCACGTACCTCTCGACCATTGGCCGCAGATGTATAGGTATCATTGATCTTTGGGTTATGGTGATACTCAAAGTCCCTAATATGTTTGGAATGCTTAGACTCTCAGGGTTATGTTGCGAGGCTTGTTCTCTGTTCACGGTGCCTTTGTCGTGGACGCTCTATAATGTTGTTCCTCGGGTTTTGTCGATTCGTAAATGCCAAGGTGATTTATAATGAATGCCGGCCCCATCTGCTATCTTAAAGATGCAAGTTGCTCCAAGGCGACTTCTCCTGTAGTGACGATGCCATTGATAAGATCCAGCAACCGTTTCTCTTCTGTTGATGGAACACGATTGCCAAGTCGTTTGTAGATGATATCGTGCTCAATTTGTGACCATGCATGCATGATAATGGTGCCGATTTGCACCTCGATGACGGCACCCCTTGAATGTTCCTGTCCGGGAAAGATTCCGTCTTTGAGCTTAATGACCATGTGGGTGGACTTGTACCCAGCAAAGGTTGGGTGAGACGCTTGTTCGTAAGCCTCTTCACCCTCCGCCATCAACTTCCGGACCATCTTAAAATCCTGAGCAATGCCGCCCTTGCGGCTCGCAGGAACAACAACCTCGAACTTCTCATGCTTTGTGAAATAATCCACGACCTTTTCGACATCGCGCGGGAAATAGAGCGAGATGCGCAAGCCGATCAAGTCGTGCATAGATTTGTGCATGTCGTCCAGCGAAGTGAAAGGCTCGGTCTCGTGGATCTTATCTCTCATATGCCACGCATCACAAAAAGACTCCCAATTCCCGCCGCTGTCCTCGATATTCTTTTTGAGCAATGCCAATTCGATGCGATCGTGCTGGCGCCTGCTGAGCGTGTCCAATGCACTTTGCGGCTTCTTGATTCTGTGGGTGATGGGCGCATGCTGGACAATCGAGCTCAGACCCCCAGAGGAGGGGGAATCGATGATGCGTATTACGGTTTCTTCGTACTGTTTCAAGTAGCTATTCATGTCGCGGAATGCTTGATCGAAGCTTTCCAGTAGCTCTTTGAACTCATGCTCATTAACAGCCATTTTTCCGGTCAGTTTCAATTTTTACAATAAAGTCATGAAAAATTCAGAGATGAATAGAACGGAAGATGGTATTCCAAACTGTTCTATTAAAAGTTATTGTAGATGAGCTATTGCCCACCAACGCGAAGCGCCAGGAGGTCGAAGAGCTGCATAAACGCGCGAAACTGTGGATCTGCGTCGGCGGTTAAATCAACCAATACCAGCCATGGAAGTTTACTCCAAGGTGATACTCCACAAAGCACCATGATCAGCTGTGTATACCCTGCGATGGCTTATCTTTCTTCTTTCATCCTTGGTTTCATTTCTCTCTGCCCTTCAGCCGCGAAAATTCATGGCGTACACTTTTAGTCCGTTGACGAACGAACGGTCCGTACGGATGTTGATCTTGGCCCCTGGGTCCAACGATGACGTCCTTAGAGGTCATTTAGAAGTTGTTGCTATTGACATTCTCGGGTCCTACGAAGCCATATCCTACGTGTGGGGCGGCTCGAACGAGAGACGCACCTTCGTTTGTGAAGGGTTGCCACTGTCCCTGACTACGAGTTTGTACCTAGCCCTGACGCGGCTGCGGCTGAAAGATCGCACTCGTAGGCTATGGGCAGATCAAATTTGCATTGATCAAGAGAATCTGGAGGAAAGAGGGCAGCAGGTTCAGTTTATGAATCGGATCTACCGTAGTGCTAGCCATGTACTAGTCTGGCTAGGCCAGGACCATAACCGCGCGGCTGCCACTTCCTTCAAACTCTTCAGAGACCTTTCCGAGATCCATCACAATAAGGAAACGCAAGAAAAGACTGACTTGGAGTACCTGGAGCATCATGAATATCAGAGCGAGGCGGTATGGGCTCCTCTTAAAGTCTTCACTAATCTTGCCTGGGTAAGACTTCGACTCACTACCGCGGGGGACCTATGATGGATATTGATGACTTCGGGTCCAGATATAGAACATCAAGCTGACTTATCATTGCATGCTACTAGTTTACGCGTGCTTGGATCGTTCAAGAAATCGGAACTCAAGCACCTGCTACATTATTTTGGGGCACCGAGGAGATTGACTGGGAATTGGTCTTTGGCGTCTGTGAAGCGTTGGCCTCCTATCACGGCCTTCGAAAACGATTTGACATCCAGACTTCAAAGGTCAGATATGTTTTTCAGCGATTTGTCGAGCCAGAATGGACATCGCGCCATGCCAATCGATTCTGCTTCATCTACGAGCTCCACAGAGCCCGTCACCTACAAGTGTCGGACCCGCGAGACCGCGTCTTTGCGCTCCTGGGCCACTATTCGATCCGCCAAAGAAGTGGTGAGGGGCTGAGGAGTTTGAAAGCCGACTACACTCGATCCGTCGATGACGTGTACATTGACCTGGCCGCCAGGGCATTATACGAAGATGCCAAATCATTAATCACGCTGGCTGCTGTGCAATATTCGACTTTGGAGCTTGCTGGCGAATCGGCACTTCCATCATGGGTACCGGACTGGAGACAGTATTCATCTCATATCCTTTCGGAACCAACATGCTCCCACCGCGCGCATGGAGGCACAATCCCAAGACTGACCATAGATCTGGCGTCACGGTCGCTCGTCATTCACGGCATCATTATTGACAGCATTGCGAAACACTCTGCTGGCATACGACCGAAATCATTCTACGCCGATGGTAATGTTGAGTCGACTACTGTAGAGACCCTTTGGAGAGACGTCTGTGGCAAAAATAAGTTTGGATTTACAGATATGTATGTCAACGGAGAAACCGCCCTATTTGCCTTTCTGCAGACGCTCAGCAACGGATGCGCGACATTAAAATGGAACTTGAACTCGGATCATCACGCTGCGCCGGCCGAGACATGGCTCGCCTATGGGGCAGCCTACTTGTCGCGACTCTTTGCCGGCACGGAAAAGATAACCGACGAAATACAAGACCGTGGTTCTAGCGGGGATGCAAGTCAATGGATACGTGCTGCCAACAGTGCATCTACAAATCGCTCCCTGGCCGTGACAGACAAGGGATACTACGTTCTTGGGCCCAAGGTTCTGCGAGATGGAGACATGATATGCGTTTTATTTGGTGGCAAAATGCCATTCTGCCTTCGGCCTCGCGAGGATGGCACCTATTACCTTGTTGGGGAGTGCTATGTTCATGGCTTCATGGAAGGGCAGGCTATTGATGATTTGCAGCAGGGGCGGCGTGACGAAGCTAAATTTACGATAGTATAATTTGCTTTCGAGAACAATTCAAATACAAGACTTGAAAGCCCAACGCCAATCGATGTGCGAGCTCTCTTTGTCACATTATGATGATGAAGTTTGAATCTTCCCTCAGTAATACTCGATGCTATGTACTAATTCAAGACAAAGAGTGGTGTTATTGTCGGAGGAAGTGGAGGACCAGCTTCTTGTAGGAAGATATGCTGTCAATCAGCTCAGGCACACGGATATACTCATCTGGCCCATGTGCGACGAGGATCGATCCTGGACCAAAGAGTACTCTGTTGCCGCAGCACTCGGCCTTGAGTCGGGGAACATCTGTCCCAAAGGCCACGGGGGCAGCGTCGAAACCGTCAATTTCCCAGTCCAATAGCGCCTCGGGGTACTCGAACACAAACTTGAGCTCCACGTCGGGGTGCCGCGAGACGATCTCGGCCACCTTGGCCTTGATGCCAGGCAGGTCAGAGACCATGCGGACTTCGCATAGCGCCTTGGCCGACGGGGCGACAATGTTGTGTTTCTCGCCGCCCTCGAGGGTGCCGATGTTGAAGGTGGAGGGGCCGAGCAGATCAGACTCGGGCCAAGTGGCCGCAGAGAGGTCGTTCAAGACGTTGAGAAGAGTCGTTGTGGCACTTTTGCCGAGATGGGGATACCCCGAGTGGCTTGAGGACCCTGAATTAACATGATTGATTCATAATGCGGTCGTTTTTACTCTGTGAGGATGGGCTTACCACGCAATACCATTGGCAATCACCTCGAAAGCGACTTGTCCCTTGTGGCCTTTGGCAAGTTTACTCTCCGTAGGCTCGGCAAAGATGCCCGACTCCCAGGTCAATCCCATGTCGTTTGCGGCAATCATGCCATGTCCGCCATTCTCCTCGCCAACCACAAACAGCAGGCCAATGTCGCCTTCGTCGCGGACTTTTCCTTCGCGTCTCAATTCTTCCGCCGCCTGAATCTGCGCCGCCAGCGGACCTAGATCATCCGACGACCCTCTGCCCCGAATGATGTCGCCGTCGACTGTCAGCGGGATGTGCGGTGGCACCGTGTCCATGTGCGCGGTCAGAAGCACGCGCGTCTGGCGGGCCGGGCCGAGGTAGGCGTATACATTGTGGCGCGTTGATCCCGGCGCAATGGGGATGCGCTCTACGGTGTAGCCCAGGCCCTGGAGATGCTCTTCCAAGAAGACGCCAATGCCGTGCTCGAGCTCGCTCGTGCTGACAATGGACATGAGAGACTTCAAGAGGTGGACTACCGGGTGATCCATGATGTCTGCCATCGTGGTTCACAAGTTCAAGATTGTTATAGAATGCAAAGCACGCGTATTTGGACGCCTACAGCCTATACACTTCCTTTATGAATCTTGGTGATGACCACGTTTTCCCAAGGTAGAACGCAAGAGATGATGTAGTCGACGTGCACGTGCTGTATTGGATCTACAGATGGCCAGAATATCACTTGGAAATGAGTACCAAGTCGTATACTTGTCTTGTCAGTCAAAAAAAAAAAAAAAAAGGTAAGATCGATTGGCAACGTGTTTTGAGAATCCATTGAAAGTCCAGAGTATGCACTCCAGAAGGAGTCACGGCATCGGCCCGGCGCTTGGCAGGGTGATTTAGCGTACATCACGCACTGTCAGTCAGCAATGAGGAGCAACGTGCTCGCGTGCTGCTTACCTGATCCACTTCTTCAATTGCTTCAGGTCGGCAGGATCTGGAACGACACGCGCAAGAGTGATGGAAGAAGCTGTCTTTTACGTACTTGCAATGCGGGATGGCTCAGCATGGTGCTGCTTTGCTACAATAGAGCGCCGGAGATACTCGGGTTTAGTGGTGTCAGAGGCATGACTCTTAGGAATTACTAGGCTGCGCCGTAACTCGCAGCCAGCTGGCTCTGCTTCCGAAAGTGCCCGACTCAAGTCAATCGCCATGAGAGCAGAGCCATTGCGATGGGAGCTGAACAAATATCAAGCATCAGTAGCCTCCTGAACTTTGATAGAGTGTGCAATCTGGAGCACGGCAACATCTGCTCTTCCAAGATAGCCGTGAAGATGGAGCGACACTTTCACGATGCAATTTCGATCTGTTGGTGATTGGTGGACTCGGGTTTTGTCCAAGCAGTGTTCTACGCTTAGCGTTGTCTGCTTATGCCGACGGTCAAATCAATGAAGCTGCCAATGACAGGACAGTGCATGATCTGAATAGAAACTTTCTTCTCCTCCTGCGACCTGGTATTAGGGGTAATTAGTCCCCAGGTAAGCGACAACAACCGTGCTTTCTTTATAATCTTTGGTTGATTGCGGGAACTATTACGGCTCGGACTTTCGCGATCGCGGGGGTATTGAGGCTAGAGTCTGCGATTTAGCTTGAAGCAATCAACTTGAGTAACATGCACTCAAATGTTGAATTTTAACCAGCAAAGTTGCTGATATAGCGCAAATACAGAATCCTCTGCATTGCTATTCAGACTTGGGACGGAACGGGCTTCCGATTTTGAATGAAAAAGGACTGCTTCCGCGGGGCCTCTTACCTAGAAGTCCGAATCTCCACATTTTCTCCGATCCGGACTTCTCGCCGCCGCGTCCGGTGTTCTGTCCGGATCAAGTCTCACTATTCAGCCCAGATGTTGACTATAACCTGTGATCATATGAGAGGTATTTTCATCATGACAAGCTTAGTGCTCAAGTAGGAGAAGCATGGTGAGATTCGAGGCTTGAGACATATTCAGCTTAACAGCATTCCCAAAGACCTGACGTGCTATATTGGGCATTAGAATAACCTTTTGAGTCTTGCTATGCTAGGGAGTGAGCTTATTTGCGTCATAATACCAGGATAGAAAAGTAGACATAAGAAATGCATAGCGAGGTACAGAACTCTAAAACGAGCATCACGCGATCCGGGATCCCGATGAACGGCCACTTGCGAGCACAGGTGGAACTAGAGCTCCTTGCTAGCCTGGGGCCATTCGCACCAGTGACCGAGACAGATTCGCAGCATCAAGCGAGATTCGCAAGCTTGCAAGCTGGGAAAATATGCAAAACATGGGAAGAATGATGCCGAGTCAACCCTCGAGACGAGTAATAGTTGGCCGCAACCCCGCCTTCTTCTCCGCATACAAGCCCCCGAGACGAGGTCTGCAGTCTACTGACCCCACGATCTCCGCAGGCACAGCTGGGGTAGCGCCCAGAGTATGTAAGAGACGTGTTCTGCACCATCAAAGTAAAAAATAATGAATTATTGAAAACTCCAAATAGCCAAATCCTGTTATATACCACCGGTTCTACGGTGCTGCCATTATTCTAATATCTTATATTTTATTTGAGAAAAAGCGAATAATCCCTGGCTCACCATGGCGCCGAAAAACGTTATTGTGACCGGAGCTGGTGGTCTCATCGGCCCTATGCTCTCCAAGAGACTTCTCAATGACGGCTACAGAGTAATCATGACGGACATTGTCGAGCCCGTGATCCCCAAGGGCGTCAAGCACCCAGAAAACGCCGTCTGCCTCAAGGGCGACATTTGCGACGCCGGCTTCGTCAAGACGCTGCTCGACGCGGCGCAGCCCCTGCACGCCATCTTCATCTTTCACGGCATCATGTCGGCGGGCTCCGAGGCCAACTTTGACCTCTCCATGAAGGTCAATGTCGAGAGCGTGCGGAACCTGCTCCTGGCGCTGCGCCAGACCAACCCCGGCGTGCGCGTCGTCTACTCGAGCTCCCAGGCCGTCTTTGGCCAACCCCTGCCCGCCGTGGTCACGGACTCGGTCACCCCCACGCCCGAGGGCACCTATGGCGCGCACAAGTACTCTACCGAGATTATCGTCAACGACATGCACCGCAAGGGCTTCATTGACGCCGTAATTGTGCGGTTCCCCACGCTGGTGGTACGGCCCGGCAAGCCCAGCAATGCCGCGTCGTCCTTTTTGTCGGGCATGATTCGCGAGCCCTTGAACGGCGAGGTCTGCGTGCTGCCGCTGAAGGACCGGGGCTTCAAGTCGTACATTTGCTCACCGAGCGGCGTCATTGAGAACCTGGTGCGCGTGCTCAACATGCCCGGCGACGCGCTGCCCAAGCACATTCGTCACATCAACTTTCCGGGTATCGCGGCTTCGGTCCAGGAGCTCATGGACGGCCTGGCCAAGTACGGCGGCGAGGACAAGCTCAAGTTGCTCAAGGAGGAGACCAACCCAGAGCTCGAGCGCATCCTCCGGAGTTGGCCCCAAGACTTTGACCCGAGCACGCCCGATAGGCTGGGGCTGGTTCGGGATAAGAATGCTGAAGATTTGGTCAAGGAGTATGTCGACTCGCTCAAGGAGCAATGAACGACATTAGGGAAAGGACCTCTTGTATGTTAGATGATTGAAGTTAATAATTGATCATGACGACCGCATTCTTTCTTTTTCTTTTTCGAGCTCAGTCGAAATAGTCTTGCGCACTACTCGACAACCCACGTATGCTGTAGTCTGCGCTACGATCAGCCATTGCATATGATCAAGTACAAGGTGGAATGTGACATTGGTCAAGAGCTATCGGATTGCCCAGGATGATCCTACCGACAAGCGACCATCAAGAAGATACGTTGCTTTGAGAGTCATAGATTTGATCAAAAACTACCGGCCAGTCGTAAACTAAATGATTGTGCGATTGTGAAGACTTGCGTGCCTGACCCGATGGAATAGCTTCATGATAGAATGCCGTTGTGTGGCTTGTGCGCCATGAAGCAAAGATGTGCACATCTCAGCGTGGCAACACTGCTTAAGAGGAGAAAGGGGCCAAAGAAAATGAAAAGAGCTGACAAAGGGAATGAGACATTGCGCGTCTATTATAAGAGATTTGCCTACCTTTTGCAATGTCCCTCATGAAAAGTATCAGCTCATTCCGGATCTGCAATCTGGAAATCCGAATGTTTTCGGGGGATTCTAGAAATCAACACGGCGCTAGAACGGAGCGGCGTTGAACGGGGGACCTAACTGAGAAACGGCATGGGCGCCGATACGGGCGGTTTGTTGGCTGATGGTGCCCATGCAAGCCAGCCAGTTTCCTGAGATTGTTTTCCTTTCATGGTTAGCTTGCTTAGATTATTCTGGTGCAAACATTATCAAATTATTTCTTGTCAGATTGTTTTCCTCTTTGGTCTGTCGCATATTTGTTTGGAGACGGACGGTGTGCCGAGAATAATACCGCCGAGTGGGCAGAGAAAAAGATGCGGATCTCAACACAACAGATGTCCACGGTTTTACGCACCAGCAATTTTGATTCGTAGGGAGAAAACAGTCAGCGCTTTGTCTGCTTATCTAAAATTGGGCAGACACGGGTGAAAAACCATCTTAATGTGGCCGGGTTCATTCCGGTCAAGCTGGTTCATTCAGTAAGGTTCAATGTTGCGTACCCGGACTCCATCAGATCATGGAGGGGGAACAGCGGGCAACGTAGCCACTGTGGATCAGGTAAGCACCAAAAGGGTAAACAATCTCAGCAGTGACCACCAAAAAAAAGAATTTGGCCGTCATATCAACTCCCATTGCACTTCCATCTTTCGCTATCGAAATCAAAGGAAGGTTTAGTATTGCTCAATTGTGTCTTCTTCGCCATGATAGTGTATTAATCATTTGACAACTCGCGATTCGCGATCGCGAAATAATCGCGGATTATTACGGAATTCCAGGGCTCTCTACTTAGCGTCAAGTCAGCTGGTCCCCGAAAACAGGGCTGACTCCGCTATAACACTGAAAAACGCAGGGCCCGCAGAGGGGTTAAGTCTTGGGGTCCCCAGGTCTGTCTTCCCATTTCCTGACTTGGTCTGGGCTGGATCTCTGGAGGGGGAAAAAGCACTGCCATTTTCCTGGCCTTTTTATGCACATAAGATGGCGACCAAAGTAGTAAATCTACTATTTTATTACCTCATCCTGCTAGATGTGGCAGCATATTGTAGACAGAGCATCGAACGAGCCACGCACGCACTATCCCCAAAAGCTTATAATCTAGTAGCGCCAAGCACAAGCGATTGGCAATCTGACGATCAGATCAAGAGGCAAGGGGAAAGGGGGAGTGGCATCTCAGGTAGGGTAGTTGGTACAGAAGTATTCCAATAGACAAGTGGTCCATCAACTAGGGGGACCTTGTTGACCATTTGGTCCAGATGGATGAGAACCCGCCTGGACACACCCAACCCCATACCCTCCTGCATGTGAACATAACTCGACTCCATTTTGCTTGCTGCGCCCATATCGAGGCTCAACCAACTAGGTACATTAGCTACCGGCATATCTTACCTTGGTCAACGCGTCAGATATATCTCAGTGTGCCCTTTCAAACTAACTCGACCATATTTTTTCTCGTGAATATCTTCTTTTTCTTACTTTTCCTCTTTCTCTTGCCCCAATTTCAATCTGCATATCTGCACACCAGGTACGCTAACTCAACGCTGCTCTAACTCGTTGAATCCTTGCCTGCGCCGCTTTGGACTTATCCATGTTGCCCACAATGCACAGCTCACCATTCATGAACGTCCCCGCCGAGGTGCGCGGTCTCATTTATGAATACTTGTTCGACGATGCTGGCAACGACCGATTAGAAATCCGCAACATCGAATACCCGATGCTGCCCAAGAGAGAGGACAGAGTTCGGACAAAGTATCACCTGCTTGACCATTCTATAGTACGGCGGTGCTACCAGGCCACCTACCACCTCAAGACCAAGGACGCCTACTTTTGCGCATCATTGATGCGCGTCAATCGCAAGATTTATGAGGAAACTTCATACATCGTCTACTCGAGGCACTCTTTTGACTTTGGCGTCGATATCGAGGCGGTACAGCCCTTTTTCAGCGATCTTACCCCGGGGAGCCGCCAACTCATCCAGGAAGTCTCCCTTTGCAAACGCGGCCCGCTGCCCATTTTTGAAAATGATCGGAGCGAGTGGCGGAATCTATGTCGGTACCTGGGCGAGTCCTGCGTGGTCAAGAAGCTGCGGCTCGTCGTGCAAGGCGGTCGGCCTAATGTGGACTGGACAGGCCCCAAGGAGTTTTCGGCCCGTGACTTGCAGCTCCTGGCCGACCTCAAGCACGAGAGCCTCGACTGGGTGAGCGAGTTGGCGCAGGTGGAAATCAAAGAATTGGAAGTCTTGCCCGATCTGCATTACGCACCGCCGCCCACGACTTCCCACGGGCTCATCTTTGCCGCCGTTTCGGCTAGCATTGAGAAGGGTCTGACAGAGTTCTTGCGATCGCAATTACACCTTGCTCCGAGGGTGGGCTTCTGATGAGACGTCGTCCACTGCTGAGGGTGGAACTATGTACTCATCAAGGCTATTTTGAACTTTGTTTTGCAATTGGTCGGGCACTGCATTTTGGCACTGGAGAACGGCGTCATGGGATGGGCACTGAAACGTTCGGGATTGAACGGTTCGAATGTGGAATGATTCATGTACAATTCATTTTAAAAAACTACTACATGGAAATCACCAAGTCATCTTATGCCGGTACCACGAAATGCAAGTGATCAGAACTTGAGGAAATCATCAATACTCGCTTCGATAATCTACTTAGCAAACCCATCCACCATCCACATTATACACGGCCCCCGTCACAAACGACGCCTCGTCGCTCAGCAGAAAAGCAATCACCCGAGCCACCTCAATGGGTTCGGCCCGCCGCTTCTGAGCCGTATGCTGCAGGCTAGCCTTGACATGCTCCGGGTTCTCTCCTTCGGAAAGCGGCGTTCTGATGGAACCTGCAAAAGATCCGAATTTCAACATTCCAGCGCTGAAAAACAGGACTGTTGTCGCACTGAGTGAAGAGTGGGTAGTGACTGACCTGGCGATACGCAATTGATTCTGATTTCTTGGTTTTCCTTGGCGGCCGTTCTCGTCAATGCAATCACGGCGGCTTTGCTCGCGCAGTATGCCGCGTTGCCGGGAGCGCCGAATTGGCCAAAGACGCTGGCGGCGGATACCTACAGATTATGTCATAAATCTTTCATGAAACATTGGAGAGAATCATTATTGTACTTACGATACTGCCTCCTGGCTTCATGGCCCTTATTTGAGCCTGCGCGCGCATCGATGTTAGCATCATGAGTCAACTCTCTTGCCTTTAGTCCATCGGAACAAGACTTAGGTGCCACATCATGTTCCTTATCACTCGATCGATGGCGAAAACTTGGATTAAATATTGAATACTTACCCGAATACAGGCATAGACTCCCTTTGCATTAACGGCAAACGTGGAATCCCAATCCTCGTCCGTGGACTGGGCAACCGGCACAGCAAACTTGATGATACCCGCCATATTAACAGCACCATCAACACCGCCAAGACTAGCCACCGTTCTTGTGATCCAGTCGTCGACGGACTGGGTCTGACGCACATCCACAACAGTATAAATGTGGTCTTTTCCTTGCCCGTTCGGCTTGGGCAGAGACGCAGTGGCCGTCTTGAGGGCCACCTCATTAATGTCGGCCAAGGAAATGATGGCGCCCCGCGACGCGAGCAATTGTGCCGTTGCCAGGCCCATGCCCGACGCGGCACCCGTGATGGCAATCTAGAATATCATTTATGAGATATCGTCCTTATAGCAGAGCTAGTGAAGCCTCAAAACAAGCTGCAAGACAGACTTACCACTTTACCCTCAAAGCTCGACATGGTGCGTGCGATAATCAAGGTTGAGTGTGGCAATGTGAATTCTTGGTCCGCTAGTTTAGATGCAACAAAGGAATGATAACAGTGCTACAAGTCTTCTTGAGTTTCCATATCTATTGAGAGGTATTGATACGGAATGTATGTACATTACCTTTGAAGTATCCACACAAGTATAGTCCGAGATACGGATAAGACCGCCCGGTGCCCCCCTCCAACAAGGCAAGCAAACCCTCCAAGCCCCACAACCGCCGCCGAGTATATCGGGCAATTGTCCCCTGAGTAGGTGCACGCCTCAACCCCGGCTCCACGAAAGATATGGACTTTGGAGGCGCAAGATTATACCTGATGCAGGCAAACTACTCGCGTACCTTTCAGCCATAGAATCATATGCATCGGTCGTGGATGCGGGACAAGTTGAATTTTACTATCACAAAGACTTAGATACAAGTTTGACCTTATAGCTGAGATTGATATTCACCGGCATTGCCCTGTGTCTGTAAAGTTCTAACCTAGGTTTACATACAAGTAGCAATTTGAAAGGGACTTGGAAGTGGTTTTTGTAGACACAGAATTTGACGGGAGGCTCATCTTTTATGGACGTTATGCCCAGCATCTAAAAATATCTGAATTCTCTCATCTATGTCTACCACACGAAGACATGCACTCTATCAGGTACTAGCGACCAATTTGACCATCATCTCAACTAGTCCCCGGTACTAGATAGCCGCTGATGAGCAGCGAACAAAGCAACTCAAACAATTCATTCATTCATACGTCATAGTGGGAGGTTGTGCAATCCAGCGTACGTTTTGCCCTTGGCCAAATCAATCCAAGAGGCACCCGTGTCACTGAGGGAAGATTTCGCAACCCAGACTTCTCTTATCGTGCGAATGGTGATGGAGAACGTATCCAAGCCACTATTATGCGCACAATTTTCAAACCATTCCGAAAATGCCTGCTGAACAGGAGGACTCTCGGCCTCGCAAGCTGCGATAAACCCCGGCCATACGAGGCTCAGGGATCCCGTCGGACCGTCTGAACCTGTGCAGTCCACTTGGCGCAGAGCATTGAGCACCCGAAGCACTTTGGACTGGAGAAGCTCGGCGTCAATATCATAGATCCTTCGATAAAAGTAGATGGCTAGTGCGTTGCGGACGGCGATGATCATGTTGGCAAGCTTCTCGTCGCCTGGAAAGTCGGCTTCCGAAACTCGCATTTCCGAGGTCCAGTCAGGAAATTGCTTGATGCACCGCTCCAGGGTTCTTGCACGCTTGAAAAACTCGGACATGTTGATGCTTGAAGAACCGTGGCCCTGATCCATAGCATCCTTCTCTTTGCCAAGGCGAATAGTGCAGGACAGAAAATAGATCAATCCTTCTGGTATACCGTAGATCTCTGGATATAGTGTCGCCGGCCAAACACCAGGATGTTCCAAGTGAAGATCATTTTCTCCCTCCTCTTGTGTCTTGATGTATAGTGTCTGCTGGGTTGGGTCGTGCCAATTGGACAAGGCCTTGAACGAAGGACTATCTTGGCTGTATATGATGAGTTCACTAGACTCTATCGCGTTTTGTACTTCTTTTCGATGCGAGCTTGTCTTTCCGATGCATAGACTCTCGTAGAATAGCCGTTGAAATACGTAGCAGTGGTGGAGAAGGCGTACTTTGCGTGACTTTTTCCGGCTGAGGCCTTTTAAACGAATAAACTTTTCTGCCTCCACAAAGTAGAAATCAACGCAGGCCCGCCGCCCAGTGACAGTGTACAAATGGACTAGGGTCAAGAGCGCCATAAGAATCGTCTTGTACTTGGCCACTTTTGGTACATGATAGGCGCTTGCCAGTGTAGCTCGACAGTGTTCGCGAGCCTGCCGCTCATAGAACTTGGACCGCTCGAGCCACATGGAGGAATGCGATTGCATCTTTCTACCGAGACTCGAAGCACTGATGGCCAGGGTACCAAAGAAGACGGCGGAGCTCGCGTGGCTCAGGTGCTCGCCCATGGTTAGTGCTGCCAAACAGGTTTTCACGTGTGGGATGAACAAGGTGTGCCATGGGGTCTTTGCATGCCCAAAGGGCGTGACAAAATTGACAACGCTTGAGACATAGTGCTTGAGGAGGAATACGGCGTCGCCGGGCATGGAGACGGTCGGTGCAACGGACATGTGACTCGGTTTTTCGATCGTGCCTAAGTCGGGATTGAGCATATAGCCCAAGTAGTTATCGCTCGTAATCGAAGATGGGGATTCCAGAGTGGCGCCCTCGGTCAGACACAGTGCCGTTTCCGAGAGGCCCAACATGGCGGGGGCTTCGCATTCTGTAGCGGCAATGGCATCGGTATTGTCCATCGCAGAGGCCATATTGATATGGCCTGGCTCAGTAGGCGACGAGAATTGCAAGGGGTCATCAAGGATGGCAGCAATCAATGAAGGTGACCATTGGCAACTTTGCGCGTCGCCCTGATCCATGGACTGCTGGACATTATCATCTTCGTTATCATGATCCGGTAACCTGATATCGCGGCACCAGTCGAGCTCGCCTACAGAATCTGCAGAGCCAAACCGAGTCTCGGCAATCTTTGGCCCCCTGAAGACTCCAAAGGGCCCATGCTGAACGTCCATGCTCTGGTCTGGGGAGACGTTCTCGCATTGTTCGTCCAGAGCTGATAGCTGCTTGCTCACCGAGGATGGCGACACGCTTGAGGTGAGCCATTGGCTCATTTCCTGGCGCTCAGCCTCAGTGAACAACAACCGCCGGAAGCGGAAGTCTTCCCCATCGAGTTCGCTCCCATCAGCTCCAGGCGTGAAGAAGATGTTCTTCCCATACCCCCGGCAGGTCAAGCCAGTGGTCGAGCATAGGAGGCAGGTGGGTCTCGTCTCATCACACTTAACCCTTCGACTGCGACACTGTGAAAGTTAGCTGAGTCCTCGTATAATTACTATTGATTCGCCCGACGCAATGCAAATCGAGCACTGAGGGTATACGAATTGCAACTCCTGTTTACATACTGTATCGCAGCCACCAAATGATCGAGCCGCGATGCTGCCAGCTGTTGTCATGACTCGTCGGGCCTGTAGGCTCGCATTTCTGAAGAGTTATCTTTTGCTTACGACGACCATCATCCCACGATATCCATGATGTTCATCAGTCAGTGATAGTCATTGGGGGTGATGATCAAGTGGTTGTGGAGACGATGGAGGAAACGAAAGAGGCAAGCTTCCACAAAGCGCTGATAAGGCGGACTAGCCATTCTAAGACTAGCTCGGGGGACAACTTCCTCTTGAGTCGGGAACCTCAACTATCAGATTTCCAAGATTGGACATCATTGGCTGCTCGACACCTACCTGTCTTCAAGTACGTAGTACGAATGACTATTACGATACAATAATCTCTTGCCATTAGACTAGTGTTCCTGGCAGTCCGGGGTCTAGGCTTCCCCAGTTTCATTCTGTCTTGGTTCACTCCTACATGACGCCCGGTTCTTATCATCCGTTGGTGGACTTGCATGGCAAGTGGCAGGGACGAGGTCAAGGCTGCGCCTTGGCCAAAGTATAACCCCCCTGGACCGTCTGATACCCAGGTATCGACTCAAGGCCAAGGCCCAGTGAGCACCCAGAGGATAATGAGCAACTTTACGTCACGCGCCCGCCTCGGACTTAGCAGGAAGAGATAACACGTACGACTCCGAAGAGGATTAGATTGTGGCTGTTAGATGAATGAGTGTAGTGGTTGAGTTATAAATCAAGGCCCGTGTCAATCTTCAAGTCGTTCCGGCACAACCCTCACATCTCTTCTGTGAAAGTTGATGACAACTTCAATTCAGTAGTCCCGTTTTGTTCATTCCTTGTTTGCCGCCATGGCAGTGTCTCCTGAAATTGGCTTCTCGGGCCACGACAATAGCGATGTCGAGAAGAAGGCAAATCTGTCCAAGGTCCAAAGTTCCTGCGATGGCGAAGTCCTAGAGTCGTCTTCCCATGGGACCAAGAGAGCAATCAAGTCCCGACATGCACACATGATCGCAATTGGCGGCAGTGTTGGAACTTCTCTGTTTGTTGCGTCGGGTCAAGCTCTTGCGGCTGGAGGACCTGCACTCCTTTTGATTTCTTATCTCTTGTTGTCTTTGCTGGTATACGGCATCGTTACCGCTGTAATTGAGGTGTGTTTAGACCTGATCACACAATATCCCCTTGCAATGTTTTGCCAGTCGGGACTCGTTGATCAATCATTACTGACATTGGTATTTCTAGATCGGTACATACCTCCCAGTGCCCGGATCCTCCATGTCGATGTATTGCGGCCGATATGTGTCCAGATCCCTGGGCGTAGCGCAAGGCTATTTATACTTTTACGCATTTGGTATCATCGCAGCTTACGAAGTCGTTGCCGGCACGATTATTATCGACTATTGGCCAAACAAGGTTCACGTTGCTATTCTGATAACAATCATGGTGGCTGTCGTGATTCTACTCAACGTGTTTCCCGTGGGTGTCTACGCCGAGGCCGAATTCTGGTTCGCTAGCATCAAGGTTGTTCTGATCCTTGGACTGTTGCTTTTGTCCTTGGTACTGATGTGCGGTGGCGGACCCGGGCACGAGCGTCTTGGCTTCCGATATTGGGACAATCCGGGAGCTGTCAACGAATATATCCTCCCAGGAGCCAAGGGCCGATTCGTAGCCTTCATCTATGTCTGGATTCTTTGCGGCTTCTCGTTCTACTTTGGGCCCGAGCTGGTGATTGTGACGTCGGGAGAAATGCGCAACCCTCGCAAGAACCTCCCAATTGCTGCGAGGCAATTCTTTTGGCGTCTCATCTTCTTCTATGTTCTGGGTGCCATAGCCATGGGTGCCATTTGCGCCTCCAATTCGCCAGGTCTGGTTTCTGGTTCCGGCAACGCCAACTCATCTCCCTGGGTCATCGCCATCAAGAATGCTGGCATCGAGGGCCTCCCGTCTGTCGTCAACGCTGGTATCCTCACAAGTGCATGGTCTTCTGGAAACTCGTATTTGTACATGTCCAGTCGTTCGCTTTACTCTCTGGCGGTCTCTGGAGATGCTCCCAAGATCTTTGCCAGATGCAACCGATGGGGTGTACCCACCTATTCAGTCTTGACCGCGAGTCTATTCATGCTTCTGGCGTACATGTCGTGCTCCTCAGAAGCAGGCACCGTGTTCAACTGGTTCATCAACATCACCAACACTACGGGCTACACTTCATGGGTGCTTTGCTGCATTACATTTATCCGCTTCCGCAAAGCTTGCAAGGCTCAGGGAATCAAGCCACCATACCAGTCACGGATTCAACCCTGGGCGGCTTGGATATGCATGATTATTTTCGCAATACTATGTCTTCTCAATGGCTTCACAAACTTCTTCCTGGGCCACTGGTCGACGGGCAACTTCTTTTCGGCATACATCGGCTTACCCATTTTCTTCATCATCTGGTTGGGGCACAAGTTTACTGTTGGACGAAAAGATTCTTGGATGTATAATCCCAGCGACGTGGATTTGACCACTGGTTTGGACGTGATTGAGGCGGATGTGTTGATGTATCAGGAAGAAGAGATGAGTAGAGGCGAAAGCAAGGGATTTCTTCATACTGTGAAGAAGATAGTTGCCTCCTAGGCTTAGGGCAGTACTTGCTTGGCAGGAGATAGCAAATATTAAATACAAGAACCCCCAAAATTCTCGATGATCCAATTTCTACCAAAGTATTCCCGATGAACATTGTCATATCCTATAGTGAGTCAATGTATCAATATGACTGTAAACATATGCGGTCGAGATAATGATGCACTTGTCAAATCGCTGATCCACTTTGTTTGCCCATGGTGTGTTACTAAGCCCGTGCTCAAAAGATATTGAGCATCAAAAGAATATGAAACGCATAGAATGCGGGGAAGACTCAAAGGAATGATCCACTGTTCCATCCTATCCTCCAGGAACTCGTGTTGGTTTATCTCATGATAAGAAGCCAAGATAATCCTGCGGGTGCAGCTGCATAGCGCTCCCAAACTGCTCGGTGCCGCTCCGTGCTACAATGGGAAACTTTCTGGATTTGGCGAGCCGACAGTGGCCGATAGCCACTATACCCGCCAACCCCACATAGATGTGTGTGATAGACACAAATCACCTTACAAATAGGTTTTCGTATAGTCGCTTGATTGATGCAAGTAAAGGGAAAGACATTTAATTTATAGTCAATTTTCACCTTGACTATAGATTTGACCGTCAATGCATACTCTTATAATCATCTCTACTCAGCAGCAAAACCTAAACACATTTTCAAAACCTGCAACAGCGTAACACATCTACTTTCATACCACCATTAAATCAATTCAGCCATGGATGTCCCCGGCTTCGCTTTGGTGACCGGCGCCGCCTCGGGTATCGGCAGAGCCTGCGCCAACACCTTTGCTAGAGATGGTGCAGCCGGCGTGGCGCTGTTTGACGTCAACCCCGAGGCTCTAGCGACAGTCAAGGCCGAGATTGAAGCCAAACAGTACACATCGTCGGGTGGCAAGCCATGTCGCATCGTGGTGCACCAGGTTGACGTGTCCAAGGAAGACCAGGTCGTCCAGGCCGTACAAGCCGTGGCCGCCGAGTTCGGGCGCCTGGACTACGTCGCCAACGCTGCCGGCATTGCCGTGAAGCACGAAGGCGGTGCGGCGTTTGCCCACGCCAGTGACTGGCAGCGTATTCTCGACATAAACCTTACCGGCTCGTTGTTCATCCTCAAGGCGGCTGGCCAGATCATGCTGAAGCAGGAACCAATTCTTTCGTCGATCGATGGCCGGCCAGTACAAAAGGGCTCCATCGTGCTCTTTGGCTCAATTCAGTCCGTCGCCGGTATTCCACTGTCGACCGCGTATGCCGCATCGAAAGCAGGAGTTCTCGGCCTGATGAGATCGGCATCGGAGGACTATGCCAAGGACGGTCTGCGAATCAATGCCGTTTGCCCTGGATATACGGAAACACCTCTCACAACCAAGAACCCGGGCGTCTTCAAGGCAATGGAGGAGCGTGTGATGACGGCGGTGCCCATGATGCGAGTGGGACAGCCCCAGGAGATCGCAGACGGAGTTGTCTACCTAGCGGGTGGGCGCAGCTCGTTTGTGACTGGAACAGCGCTGATGGTAGATGGCGGATACACGGAGAGGTAATCACTTTATATTGAATTTAAACATATTTAATATATCCTTACTTAATCCCCAATATGGTGCCACTGCAATTGATTTGTGCCCTCTGTGATAGTGAAACACACATCGGCCGCTGATTGATCTGTGAGACGGCTCGTACCACTCAAATTGCAGGTGGCAGCACCACATACTAAAAACGTCGATCAAAGCAGAACAAGTCCTACCCAGCTTCTCCTTCACAAGATGATCAGATGACCGATTAGATCGTGATGAAAAATGTTTTGCACGCATGCAACTTCACAAAAGACCCTCATCTCGATCGATAATCTCCAAGATAGTACGAAATAGTATACTGAGCTCTGCAGATGGCGGGGTTTACCCTTGTGGGGCGGATTCTCGAAAATGGAAAGTTATACCAGAGCTGCATACGCGCTTGGCCACCCGTCGATAAGCGTGCAGCACGATTAAATGATTAGATAGGCGGCAGTACTGATCATTTGATAACCCCGCTGGTGAGACTTTCCCCAACCACTGACGGCATAGCATGCCCTGTTTGTTGCAGAGCATATCGTTTCGCGGGTGGCGTGAGGCATTGAATGAGGAGGCTTTCTCTCTAGCGATATGCGGAGCTGGATACGGGTTGTGCGAGGAGAATGTGAGTCGATGCTTTCGGTCATCTATATGAAGTATTTAGAATAAATCATTGCTGCGTTGGACAGTCATAGTTCATTCATCATTTGGACCGCTCCTGAAGTCGTCGTCTTGTTCGATTTCTAAGACAATAACTCATAACCAATCACATCAATTGACCTCTATCATGGGCTCTTTGGATCTCCCTGCCGTCGACTACGATGTGCTCATTGTAGGCGCCGGGTTCTCTGGCGTGTGCGCCCTTCACCATATTCGCCAGCAATTCCCCTCGTGGCGGGTAAAGCTTCTCGAAGCTAGCTCGGGCGTCGGCGGCACCTGGTACCTTAATCGCTACCCCGGAGCTCGTGTCGACACGGAATCACTCAGCTATCAGTTCTCGTGGGACAAGGAGCTTTTGAATGAGTGGCACTGGAAAGAAACCTTTTCGGGCCAACCCGATGTTTTGTCATATATTGAAAGGGTCTGCGAAAAGCATGACCTGTACAAGGATATTCAGCTCAATACGGCAATAGCGTCAGCTCACTGGAACGACGATGCCCACACATGGCTTTTTACGGACTTACAAGGCCGTCAATATAAAGCACGTCTCTTTGTCAGTTGCTTGGGTTTCCTCAGCAAGCCCACGCTACCTCTGATTCCGGGTATCGAAAACTTCACTGGTCAAGCATTCCACACTTCAAATTGGCCCAAGAATCTCGATTACAGGCGAGACCTGGCCGGAAAGCGAGTGGGTGTCATTGGCACAGGCGCCACCGGTATCCAAACTATTACAGCCATAGCAAAGGAGTCAAACGTGGAGTCCTTGACTGTCTTTCAACGGACAGCCAACTGGTCAGCACCTCTGCGCAATGAACCGATATCTCCAGAACAGATGAAGAAGCTGGCCGAGACATACGACGAAGTGTTTGCTCAATGCGCGAGGACCTCTTCGGGATTCCTGTACGCGGCAGACCCTCGCAAGTCGTCCGAGGTAACGCAGGAGGAACGCACCGCCCTCTGGGACAAGCTGTACAATGAACCCGGATTCGGAAAGTGGCTCAGCGTTTTCAAGGATACCTACACAGACCGCGAGGCAAACAGACTGTATACGGACTACATGGCCGCCAAGATACGAGCGCGTGTCAACGATCCAGAGATTGCCGATTCTCTGGTCCCCAAGGACCACGGCTTTGGACTTCGGAGAATTCCGCTGGAGAGTGGCTATTTCGAAGTATACAACCAGCCCAACGTCTACCTAGTCGACCTCAAAAAGACACCAATACAAAGCATCGAGGATTCAGCCATCACCACCAAAGACGGCAAGAAGCACGAATTAGATGTGCTGATCTTTGCCACTGGTTTCGACGCCATCACGGGATCCTACAGCGCCATTGACTTTCGCGGCAAGCACGGACGCCCTCTGCTCGGCTATAGCGACTCGGACAAGGGCAAGAATGCCATTTGGGTCGACCACAAGCCCAAGACGTACCTGGGCATCACGGCACCGGATATGCCCAACACTTTCATGGTGTTGGGCCCACATCAGCCTTTCGGCAACGGCACGCGCAGTCTTGAGAAAGCCGTGGACGTGGTCTGTACCATGTTGCAGCACATCTATGAACATGGACACACATTTGTAGAGCCCAAGCCCGAGGCCGTTCAGGCGTGGGGTGAGCATGTGGTGGATTGTAGCAAGGGTTTACTCTTGAATGATGTGGACAGTTGGATGACGGGTGTCAATAGTAACGTCAAGGGCAAACAGGAGAGGAGTGTTGCTAGATATGTGGGTAATGTTGTAGAGTACAGAAAGCGGTGCGCGGATAGTGCAAGATTCGGGTGGAAAGAATTGTATTTTGCGTAGAAAAGAAGTTACTGCACCAAATATTTCATCACAATGCGCATACTCTAAATCCATATCTATATCAATCACTTTCCTACTGTTTCTACTCGACCTTGTTTTTGCAGAATCATTGTGAGTCAATCTTGAGCACCACGAAACCAGAACTCCACAAGCCGGCTCCTTAGATTCTCATCAGGGTAAATCCCCCTTTTCTGTCGCGATATCCTGTCCTTGCTGACCCGTAGGAAGATTCACTGGCGTCTCATCAAATGAACCAGCTATAGGTAATACCCTTCATCCCTTATAATTTCCTTCATCCCTTCCGTCAGTTGAATGTGCGCTCGTCCATCCAGAAGTAATCCTATCATCTTTGTAGGAGACCATCTATTTCCTGCCACGGCTTTGAGTACTTCCTCAGTTACCGTGAATTCGTGGCCACGCTGATCCAAAAACATATCCATCATGGTTTCACCTTCACCATACATATCTTCGTTTTCTGCTGCGGCTTTAACGATCTCCTCCGTTACCATGAATTCGTGGCCACGCTGATCCAGTAATAGCTTCATTACCTCTCCACCAGACACTGCATTTCCTGCCACTATTTTTACGATTTCTTCCGTTACCGTAAATTCGTGGCCACGCCGATCCAGTAGTAGCTTCATTACCTTTCCACCAGAGACTCCATTTCCTGCCACTATTTTTACGATTTCTTCCGTTACCGTGAATTCGTGGCCACACTGATCCAGTAGTAGCTTCATCATATCTTCACCAGACCTTTGATTTCCTGCCACAGCTTTGACAACTTCCTCCGTGACTGTAAATTCGTGCCCACGCTGATCCAAAAGAAGTTTCATTACCTCCACAGCAGACCATCCTTCGTTTGATACTGCGGCCTTAAGAATTTCCCCCGTTATCACAATCTCCTGGCCACGCCGATTCAAAAGCAGATTAAATACCTTTTCACTATGTGCCCTGTTGGCTGCTGCGGCTTTGACGATTTCCTCAGTTATGGTGATCTCCTCGCCACGCTCATTGAAGAGCAGATTCATTATCTCTGTGGTCGAATCCCCCTGATTTTCTGCTGCGGCCTTGACGATATCCTCGGTTATCGTGATCTCTTGGCCACGCTCATCCAAAAGCAGAATCAGTACATTTTCAGCCAACCACCCTTCGTTTGCTGCTGCGATTCTAACGATTTCCTCGGTTATTGTGATTTCTTGGCCGCGGTGATCCAAAAGAAGCTTCACCACCTCTTCACCAGAGTATTCATATCCTGCCGCCGCCTTGAGAACCTCCACTGTCACCACATCTTGCTTTCTGACCAGGCTTAGCAGCAATTCAACAACCTTGTTTCCCTCAGAAGAAAGGATTTCTTGACTCGTGCCTTCTTGTTTCCAAATCTTCGCTTGGACAAAATATTTCCCAACCAGAAAATCTTGTATTATTTCCATGGTGATTTCTCTGTTTGCGTCAACAGACAATGCGTCTACCAATGCTTTCACCTCCAGTGAAATGACTGGCGATCGTGTGTCAGGCATGCCATATGGGATTGGTTCTTTTGGATCTTGCTTTTCGAAGAGTCCGATGATAACTGCCTTATCCTCATTACTGGAAAGCCTGAGCAACCATGCAGCAGACGCCCATTCACCATTTTTGATTGTCCATTCCAGTGCCTCCGCATCATGTATCATGATGCCGTCCACATTTGGTCCCCTCCCCACGAGAAGATCTGCTGTGGACGTATGGCTGTTCGAAAGTGCTAGGGCCAAGGGCGTATTCCGGTGTACATTAGGTTGGTTTAGTTGATCCTCAACCTCGCGTTTGAGTAAGAAATCGACGATATCGTTGTGTCCATTTGTCGCTGCCCAATGCAGAAGGGAGTTGTCGTATTTGTCTCGTGTAAATATGGAAACACGGCGATCCTTTAGCAGAAGTTCCACAACGGGGATATGACCTCCTGCAACAGCGTAAGAAAGAGGTGTTCGATGGGTTGCATCCTCCAAGTTAGGTACTGCCCCGCTTCTCACCAATATCTCGACAACATCGGCGTGCCCATGCTCTGCAGCATAGCTCAAGGGTGTCCGTCTTGATCCATCTTCTGAATCAATTACGGAACCGATCTCTATAGCTGCTTTGACAATTTCCGACCATCCTCGCTGAGCTGCCCAAGAAAGAGCTGTACGGTCAATAGAAGTAGAGGACAGTCCCATGACTCGGCTAATCAACCAAAGACAGCTGGGTCGATCATTCTTGGAAGCTGCGGCGACAACGTCATCTGCACTGCATTGGGGCGTAGAGTCTCTCCTTGCCATATCTGCCAGATGAAAATATCGATTTGCAACAGCAGCGATTGAGCTCTTCTCTGGCGACTTCTGCACTTCCTTCTGCATCCAAGAGATTCCATCAAAGCCAAGGCCATGTTGAGAACTGTCATTCGAGAAGAGCGCATATCGGTAGAGCTCACCAAATTCCAACATGCAAGCATCCAGTGCATCATTGTTCAGGTCGTCGGTTGTTTTCAATGCAGTATCCCATCCCCACCTCAGAATCGCCTCCGCTTTTTGAAAGTCTCCTTCTTTCCGACAACTTTCAGCTTGGCTATAAGCGGTCGGTAGCACATCAACAGGCAAGGGCAACTTTGACCTCAGAACCGGGACGATAATGGAGTAGGCATCTCTTATCGAACCAAGCCCGCTTTCTTTGAAGCATTCTGCGAGACGTGAAAGCACATCATTCGTGAAATAGTAATCTTTGCTCCCCATGGAGGGTTTTGACTGCCCTTCCACAGAGGTAAGTCCTTCTGTGATTGTGCGCAGAAACGATTGATAGACATCGCGAGCACACATATCAGGTAAGGAGCCGTTGACAGTGGTAGTCAAGGCATGCATTTCGGCTGGTATAGAGGGTATCTGCCACCCGTACAGCCGGACTCGATCCAAGCAATGATCAGCTTCCAACTTCAGATTATGAACCATCTCGTCAACATCTCTCTTCCATATAGTGTTGGGGCTTTTGTCCGTGAGGCCCGGAGGTTTCATCCATTTCATGGTTGATGTGGTCGAGGGAAAGTCTTCCATCCAAAGTTCCAGGTCTGTTTTCGCACGTTCTGTGTCTTCTTGACTAACGCCAAATGCCATGATCCTGGACATTGGGACTTCTGATGCTGTCGAGATTCGAAGTTCTTTTTCCTCCTCCTCCGTTTCAGGGTCTGATATCATTGACCAGGCCCACAGGCCAACCACAGCCTCGAGATATTTTTGGTTGATCTCCCACACATTAGACTGCTTTCCATCATCCACCTTGTGCAGAGTTAGACGAATCGTAGATGTGTCTTTCTTATTCGGCCCGGAATTGGACAGACTAGTTTCTGCCACGTCGAAGGCCCAAGTAATCGTCTTGTTGCTTTCCCACTCAGGTTCGAATCTTGAATGAGTAAAGAGGACTTTAGCACTGGATTCGATGGCCTTCTTGAGTTGCCGAGCTTGTTGCCGTACATGTACCATGGAATCGTCCCACGCACTTGATACCTTTGACTTCTTGCGCGTTGAGTGACTTGTTAATTCCGCAAGCCGTGATCGGTAAAGGAATACCTTTTCGGCTTGATGCTTCTCTGCAGCTATATTGCTGCTCATCTGGTGAGAAGGCGGCTCAGACTCATGGTTTGCTGACGGAGAACTAGATTTTGGCCGAGTTGCAATCACGGACCAAAATTTCCTCTCATCATTCTTCTTTTCTTGGTCGTCTTTGGCCATTTCCAGGGCTAGCCAGTCCAGCTCGTGACCTTCAACCTCGTCAGGGCGGCTGCGGAGGAGATTTTGATCCTTGCCTAACCGTTGCGTCCTTAGCCCCGCACGAACAATGGTCATGAATAGGATTGCTCCAAGCTGTAATACGGAGACAGCGGAGTGCATTGATCTCAACCCGACAAATTGAAGAACAAATCCGCAAATGCTGCTTCCGGTAGCGAGCCAAACTCCGAGTTTCGCCTCCTCGTTAATCTTCCAGGACGTTGTGTATTTGTTCAATCGGTGTGAATCATGAGCATCGGTAAACGAAAACGCGTCGAACGTTTGATCACCGATGGTCTGATTTCCAGGCTGTATCACATGGAATCGCGGCCCTTTCTTCTTATTTCCCGGAGCTCTTTGGAAGATTCTCTCCTGGGTGCTGCTCTCCACCAAGTAAGCACAATGGAACATGCCGCTGTTCAAAAGGAAAGTTCCCGCTACCATCAGAGGAAATGCCCAACTCGAGGGGGCGGCATCCTCTTTTGTCCAACCCCATGTGTACGTGACGAGAAAACCAAAAACGACAACGGATGCTTGAATCAAGAAACCAGCGGTAGCTGCCAATCTAACGACCCATCTGGGCTGCTCCCGTATCCCTATGTTGAAGGACAGGTTTGGGTTGGGTGCGAACACATCATCCTTCTTATCAACCTTCAATGGTTGACCTTCAACGCTCCAATTTGGCTCTCCGAGTTCCTTCCAGCCCGCGTCTTTGGCTCGCTGCGTTTTGATGTATTCTTGAAATGGATAAATGCCACAATCGGGCACGGTCTTGCTATTGGTGTCAAAAGAGCAAGGTGCCTCGCGATCGTGCACAATCTCCAGGATCTTTGGGCGTCCAAATACACGAACGATGGCGCCGTTGTGATACAGTTCGCAGACATCCCGACTCGTAGATGAGCAGAGCTCCGCCTCAGCAATCCCTCCTCCTTCTTGCGCTCGACCTATAAAGGCGCGCAAAGATGGTCCGCCGCATACGCGGATTGCAGATACAACAGCCGTGAGGATTCCCAGCGGTGCCATTGCAAAGATGAAGTTGTCCAATCTTGTGGTTGACTCGCTGAGAAATTGCTTCGTGGCCTGCTCGCCAAACAAGGCAAGAATCGGCGCAAGGTCTGTAGCCAAATTATTGGCAAAGTCATCCCAACCATCCGCTTTCGCCGTTGCCACGAGGCAAGCCATCACCAGAAGGTGGTGTTGAAAATAGTTGACATGTAGCATGATTCTGGGCAACGCGATCCAGGACACTAGGCAGTCAGTCCTGTGCGTGTGTGTTGAATGAACATGAGTGCCTCTCCTTTCCCGCGGGGATTGACATTTTTATCCATAAGGCTGGTGGTGTAACAGCACTGGTCGTCACAAGGGTCCCCTCTTCGGCAGTCACCGCTTAGGGGTACAACAGTTCCATGGCAGTGCACTTCCTGCAAAGAGTCCGTGTATCGTCCAGTAAGATGACAGCGTGCTTGAATTTACCCAATCATGTCACTTTTCTCCCCCTCGAAAGCGAGGTTCCGCCAGTCGCCAGTGCAGTTCGAGCGCCGTCGCCATATGCTGTCTATGCACACAGCCCTCGCCTGGAACAATTAGTGGTTCATTTACTGTGCCGAGATACCCTACCCTTGCAGTCCGGCCCAAATGCGTGCACCAGGCTGTATTTCTTTTTCCCCCAGCCACCCATTAGAGGGCATTGCCCTCCGCAATATGGAGTCAGCATCTATATCTATACTAACTTCTCTTTGACCGTATTCGCAAAAAAGTAAATATATTTGTCTTAAACTCTCGTCCTAGACCTATAGTTGGCCGGAGCTGCAATTTGGGTCTGGGAGCTTTCTTCCCTTCTTATCGCATTATACACAGCTTATGAAAACTATGAACAAGCCGAATGGAGTTGCTCGCCACAGGGGTGCCGGCTGCTAGTCTAGCTATTAATTTGGTTATCGCCAGGTTTACAGCCTACACCAGCTTATATAGTCCATAAGTTAGAATGTTCCAGCTGCCAGGCCCTGGTACATCCAGAAGATCTAATGCAGCCAGAAGGTCCATTTATATGCTCAGGTCCAATCTGAGTTAATCTAGAAACAGCTCACAATAGGTGCAAAAAGATGTCTAGGTCGTCGTTCAGCCTCGATCGACGATGAAAGCACCAAAACAGCGTAAAGAAAAAGCTACTGGATTCAAGTAATAAGAACTAAATATGAATACTACCTAACTTGTATTTGCCTGCAGTTGAAATCGAGGGCAAACTAAACGTGCCGGACAGAACTGCAATTAAGATTTGGATTGAAATTGGTCAAAACAGCACTCTGATTGGCTGACGTCACGCCAAGACTTGTGGCATTACTCCAAACCGTTCTCTCAGAAAGCAGCATTATAGATCTCATTTCCACTACCGCCTTTTCCTTTTTACCTTCACTTCTGGCCTTGTCATGTTCACTTTCTCCTCGTCGTTCTCTTTCGTTTTCGAATATGCACTTTCCAGGCAACAGGTTCTTTAGCCGGACCGATCCACGCTGCTCATCAACTGTCAAGCTCAAAACCCGTGTCCGAATCTACTTTAGCATTTCACGCCAACGGACTTTCCGCCTTTCGATTTCTTCTCATCAGCCCCTGGCCAATTCCTCTTCTGTCCCTTCGAGCCCTGGCAATACCCTGGCACACGACATTGTCAATACAATCCTTTGTGATCAATCATGTCTATTCAAGAGACTTTTCCGGACCCACCTGATGATATGTTCAAGTGGGCTTATTATGTTTGGAAAGACAGGAATCGGATTGCTATGGTTTGGATGTATGATCTGTATGACACCATGAGATGTGGTTCGACATACGCTTATGGGTCCTGGGGCTACACAGGTAACTTAGTTGGCAATCCAGAGTCTGATGCTCCAGCTGATTTTACTAGTATTGCGCACCACATACTCTAACGAATCCGATCGGCTCTGGCCGATTGCGCTGGCGAAATTGAGACTCTGGGTTACTGATTACTTTATCCATTACCTTAGTTTTATATTAAAAAAGACCGATATAACGGTAGATAACGAATTTAGTCGTCGCTTTATTATCGAGGTTGTCGGGAGCAAGGAGCTGGAAGCTCTATAATTTACCGATTTCGCAAAGGCGATTTAAGATAATATTAAATCCCTAATTGGAATTTTCGACGCCTAGTTCCTCCGAGCTATTAAAGACGATAATATTATACCTAAGCGCAACCCGAGGTTTATCGATTTTCTCGTCGTCGATAAGGACTCTTTTCGCTTTTTAGCCGTATTACCCGAAAAAACGATACCTTTAACACCCGTAATTATATAGGGAAAAAGGGTTAGTTAATAGTCCAAATATGCTTTCATTAATAAATTAATTAAACGTAAACAAGCACAGATGAGCTTTTACGAGGAAGCATACCTCTGGCTAGTCGATTCGCAAGCTGTAAGGCGTTACGAAGGTATCGACGACGCAGAGAATTACAATGGGTTAATAAAGCTGGAAGCGAGCGACATCCCCAACCCTTGGTTTAAAAGAGCTCCTAGGGCGGAGGATAACTGGCACATTTTTGATCGCGCAGAGCTACCCGAGGGATCTGGTGATATGTGGTTCCGTGCTCGTTAATTCGTGCCATAGGTCGCGTGGCGAAACCCAAGATACATTTTGTCTCAGCAATGGCACTTCTGTCAAAAATGCAACGTTTCTGGGTGACTGTCTCCGCCTTCTCGTGATGTACGCTGCAAAGTCATAAATCACAGTGGTTAAAAATAGGATACAAAGCGACTTGCAGCTTTTATTGGTTGTAGTGTGTTCAGACCCACCATTCAGCCAGGCCTCCCTGGGCGGTTACCGTAGACCAAGAATAGAGTGTTTTGAGTGTCTGGTTACACGGGTAGTGTATTTTTGTCACTTGCTGCATACAAGATACATAGGGGGACCATTGGCACGATTGTGCTGCACTGCAACATACGGTAGGCACTGAACTCGTTGCACCTTCAACCTTCAACCAGGCCTCAAGTAATCTAGGAGCAAAAATCGTCGCATTTTTGCCCGAGGTGGTATCCTGATTCTCGGTGAACGTCAATAATAAACTACTGGTTCCATGCCACGAGTCTTATTGGCTGCACATTCCGCATCTCAAATTTCACCATCTATTCCGAGATGGGCGCTCAAAAGAGACGAACTCCGGCACGAGGCTGTAGTGGTACTGGGTTATAGTCAATAAAGCACCAAATCGGGACTACCTACCGCAATTATGCGATTTGTCTCTTCTCTGGCCGTCCCTTCCTACAATGGCATCTGTGTCTCCGAACTCGGCTATGACGCGCCGCGATGGTTCCATCATTCCATATGAAGACTCAGACAACGATGGTATAACAAGTCAACACGATGAGAGCGAAGGGGAAGCCGATAGCCGTGATCACACCAACGGTAATGATCAGGCTCAACCATTACCAAACGGTTTACACCCAAAGGATCACAGCCCAGGTCTTGATTTAAGCGCAAACCCACAGCAACTATGCTTCATCCCGTAAGTTGGTTCACCTCGCAAAGTGAATTATACGATAGTTGGAACATTTTCAATGGAATCTTTAGTCGCTTTGGTAGTTTGCCTTTATTCAGGTGGTGGCTACCACAACTGGATGCACGGGCAGCTCCGCCCAAAAGTCGCCAACACCGGAAGATTGCAATTCTAGCTCAATTATCCATAACAACACTTATTTTCTTCATCAACCTGTCTTTCACACTCTATTCAATCCTCGGTTACTCTGTTGATAACATCTACGGGTAGTATTTCCAAGGAGACTGCGGCAAAATTGACCAGTACAACACGGTCCTCCACTTAGTTATCAATGTCATCTCGACAGTTTTACTCAGCTCAAGCAATTATTGCTCACAGATCCTAATTGCGCCAACAAGGGCGGATGTTGACGCGGCTCATTCGAAAGGTCAATGGCTGGACATTGGGATCCAAAGTTTTCGAAACTGGCGTAGCGTGGCAATATGGAGAAAAGTCACCTGGGTGCTTCTCATGACGAGCTCAATTTTGCTCCATCTGATGTGGGTACCGAGATTTCCATGAGACCTCTGATTGTATTGACAAATGCTAGCTGGAACTCTGCAGTGTTCATGGCCGTTCCTGTCAGCATCTACACCGTCGGAGTCGTAACAAGTGACTTTGCAATTGACACCCAACCATGGGATTTCACTACCGTGGAAAGTGAAGAGACCTGGAAACACGATCTTGGCTTGAATCTTCAAATGATACGGGATAATTATACTCGAGTAGATCGACTCGATCGGCATGACTGCATCCAACGCTACGTCAACAGCCGATCTGGAGTCAACGATGTCATTCTTGTGTCGTCCAACACGACCATGGCAGACGGGCGATCAACCATGCATCGCAATTCAACCAACGAGAACACCTCGCTCCTGGATATATTTGTGACACTAAGCTATGCCTCTTGGCCGCTGTTCAACGTATGGATTTGCGACGACAGATTGAACTTGCAATACACGACAAGCACTTGTACATGGAAGACGGCGCAACCTCATGTCCATTACTGGAATTGGATCAGCACCCCAGTATCGTCTGTAGATACAACTAACCAGTATCATTACGAAATTGATTACTGCCTCAGTCTAGGCGACGACAGCTCCGAAATGGATGACAAATGCGCATTGCGATTTTATTTACCCTGATGTCCTACTCGGGGTCTGTATACTCAACCTGCTCAAATGTGCTTGCTTCATCTATACAGCAATATTACATCGAAATGATAGTCAGCATACACTAGGGAGCGGTACGTCTGACACTCGGCCAATCAATAAATGGAACCGACTGAGATGGTTTGGGGGCCTCTGGAGCATGACCTGCCGATTGTGGGCCAAGATCAAGGCACCAGAAGAGATCACATACACTAAAGCTTCCATGATCACGATAGGCGACTATATTTCAAGCGCCCTCGAGCATCAGGATCTTCACACTGCGGGTCTTGACCTGTCCACCAGAAAAGATTTTGATCGTCCGTGGCGGGTCGACCCGAGAACTGAGTTTATTCCACCTAGAAGGTTTACCTTCATCGACGTTCTCAGTAGACGAAAGTGGGTCGTTACGTATGTATTGTAAGTAGCATGTCTCGAAGAATTAAAATATCAGCTCACTGACGAAATTTCTGCAGGATGTGTCTTTTGGTTCTTCCATTCTATGCCCTCTTGGGAGTGATCCTCTATGAGCACCGCAAGATTGGTATGCCGATTGACTTGCCTTCGCTATGGGCAGAGGGAATCGGCGTGTTCCAAAACTACGCCTATTTCCCGTCATTCTCCTCCGAGGATTCGGGGGGTACCAATGGGCCATTTCATGCACGAAGATTCCACATGGCAGCTCTATTCGCCAACATACCACAACTTTTCATCAGTGGAGGCTATGTGATCTTGAACAACCTGCTCACGACCATATCCATCACAGACGAGTGGAACACTTTTATCCACCGCCGTCAGCCTTTGCGTGTGTCGCAGCCAAAGGGCAGTCAACGCTCCAGCTATTTTTTGTCGTTGCCTTTTCATTATGCAATAGGTCTTATTACGTGGTCTGGTGTGACACATTGGCTGGTATCGAGGAGTCTTTTCGTTGTGGAAAGCAATGAGTTTGCGAGCCCGGACTTTGTTCACTTCGATAATCAGGACAGCGCTGTCGTTGGTCACTCCGCAATGGGTATCATCCTCACAACGATAGCGGTCTCATTAACATTGTTTGTACCAATCGTCATAAGCTTCAGGAATTTTGAAGCACCGAAAAGTAAAGAAAACAATGATTGGATCGGTCGGGAAGCAGCTAGATATCCCATGCCTCTGACCTCAACCTGCAGTGCAGGTATCAGTGCAGCGTGCCATCGACACGAGCAGGATCTTGACGCACACCTTTTGCCAATCACATGGGGTTTTGTAGAAGACGACCCAGAATCGCAACAAGAGGAACTCCGCGGCAGGTTTTGCTTCACAACGGCACGTGATGTGCAGTGGCCGGAGAGATATGTACGCCAGAATGCGCCAAGTTTTCAAGAAACGCCAGCGGGGGTATGACACTGAGAGATCAAGCAGTACCGGAGTATGATGCACTTTAAATATATTGTTCCAATTGCGTAGAAGAGTTGCGTCTTGAAGTATGTAGGCAGGCATAAACAATCGTTACAATCCCGAAATCAAGGTCCTCAGAGCAAAGGATACATGTTGTTTATAAGCGTCCGAAAATCAAAATTAGTATCGTGACCGCTGTATATCGTTTCTTATTATTCACAGGGAAATCGTTTCGTACAGAATGCGGCGAGTGCAAGCTGTAAAGAATATTTCATGGAAACTAATTTAGTGTTTTCCCTGTTACCTCTTGCTATCATTACAAATAGCTTTGAAAATGTGCAAGGTGAAAAACATGATGATCTCTGGGTTCATGACGTTTCTTGTCAAGTATTCTAAAGGAATGTCGATAGTATATACGATTACACGAGATCAGTATTAGGCTTATTATAATCTGGTGCTATGGCGTTGTTGTGGCTGTGCGTTGATTGTCCAACCACCGACTTGTTGGTTCCAATGTTGGTGGGTTCAATGTTAGCTAGCGGTCTTTTGATGGGGCCCGTGCTTTCCATCCCTCCTTGCCCGCAGCAGTGACGAACGACGACCTCTAGGTGGGTCCCATCATCCTGGCCGACCGATAGTGGTGGTGGGCAAGTGAGTGAGTGAATGAGCTCCTAAACCAGCAGCAACCCAAGCCAGGCCTGGGGGTGAGCTTCTCTCCAAGATAACTTTTATTAGCGACAAGGCACCAGCTTTTTCCTCTACAAGGCGATCGCACCCTTTCACCCATCGAGGCGCCGTCCATTATCGACTCACCCTTTTGCCGCTACGACTCCTGATCAATTGCCATTTCAACCAGAAGCTCATCCACCGCTCCCAGCCCCAGTAGCCATGTCGGCGACACCCGCTCCGCCCGAGGATCAGGCGCGGCTGCTTGAGGATGCCTTGATTGCGGTGCGCCAGCAGACTGTGCTCATGCGCAAATGTCTGGATACCCCAGGAAAGCTCATGGATGCGCTCAAGTGCTGGTATGCTGCCTTCCCTATCTTCCCTATGCGCTGTATCTTCCCGCCGGGCGGAATGCTAATGTGAACCTGCGCCGCAGCTCGACCCTGGTATCAGAGCTTCGAACGAGCAGTTTGGGACCCAAGCAGTACTACGAGCTTTACATGTCCGTCTTTGATGCTTTGCGATATCTGTCTGTCCACCTCCGCGAGAACCACCCACACAACCACCTTGCCGATCTCTACGAGCTTGTCCAATATGCTGGCAACATCATTCCCCGCCTGTACCTCATGATTACCGTAGGCACTGCCTACATGGCGATTCCCGAGGCTCCGGTCAAGGAGCTCATGAAAGATATGATGGACATGAGCAGAGGAGTCCAGCACCCGATTCGTGGCCTTTTCTTGAGGTACTATCTGTCTGGCCAAGCAAGAGACTACCTTCCGACCGGCGAGGGTGACGGACCCGAGGGCAACCTACAAGACTCCATCAGCTTTGTCTTGACCAACTTTGTCGAGATGAACAAGCTCTGGGTGCGACTTCAACACCAAGGCCACTCGAGAGATCGAGAACAGCGAACGCGCGAGCGCAGAGAGTTGCAGCTCTTGGTGGGTAGCAACATTGTCCGGCTGAGCCAATTGGTAGATCTCGAGACCTACAGCAATGGCATTCTTGGACCTTTGCTCGAGCAGGTCGTCCAATGCCGTGATGTCCTAGCTCAAGAGTACCTTTTGGAAATCATTACCCAGGTCTTCCCTGACGAATTCCATTTACATACTCTGGATCAGTTCTTGGCTGCAGTGTCCCGGCTCAACCCCCATGTGAATGTCAAGGCCATTGTGATTGGTCTAATGGACCGCCTCTCGGCATATGCTGAGCGCGAGTCTCAGGCAGAGGCAAGCGACGATCGCGGCAAGTTGGAGGAAGAGGCTTTGGCAGAACTGCTTGAGAAGATTCGACTCGGAAAGGAGCAGCAAGAGACAAAGCCACCGGCCGCAGAACCTTCGGAAGATACCAATGGCGATGAGCCTCAAAATGGCGATAGCTCAGAAGCACCAGCCAGTGAGAGCTCTGAGACAGCCCCCGAGGCAGCGCCGTCCGTCGCCGAGACAGAGTCTACCGCTGTAGAAACAGACGGAGAGCAAGCTGCAACGTCCCCAAAGAAGGAGCGTGGCATTCCAAAGGATGTCAAATTGTACGAGATCTTTTTCGAGCAGGTCAACAACCTCGTGGCAGTACAGCACCTTGCCATACAGGACACCATTGCTCTATTGGTATCTTTGACGAATTTGGCCCTGAATATTTACCCCAATCGCCTGGACTATGTAGATCAGATCCTCGAATACGCAAACCGCAAAGTCCGAGAGCATGCAAACAGCGCTGATCTACACTCGCCGCCTGCGCAACAAAGCCTGTTGGCTCTGCTACAGGCACCTCTCAAGAGATACGTTTCCATCTTTACAGCACTATCACTTCCGACATACGTGCCATTGTTCCAGTCGCAAACCTACCCAACCCGCAGGGCAGTAGCTGGCGAGGTTGCAAGAACGCTACTACGAGATCATACTCTCATCTCTACTCCATCTCAGCTAGAAAATGTTCTAGAGATTCTAAAAGTCCTCGTCAAGGAGGGTTCTCAGCCGCCAGCTGGCTATCCCGGTGGCCCACAACGGCGGGTTGTGGAAACCGATGAAACGATTGAGGAGCAGGGCTGGCTTGCACGACTCGTTCACCTGGTGCAAAGCGACGACAATGATACCCAGTTTAAGCTGCTGCAAATGGTGCGCAAATCGTATGCTGAAGGTGGTGAGCGCATCCGTACAACCACACCGCCAATCATTACAGCTGGCATGAAGCTGGCTAGAAAGTTCAAGGCTCGAGAGCACTATGATGACAATTGGGAGACACAGTCGTCTGCTCTCTTCAAGTTTATGCATTCCGCCATATCAGCACTGTACGCCCGCGTAAATGGATCAGGAACGGCCGAGTTGGCCTTGCGACTGTTCACTGCCTGTGGACAAACTGCCGATATTGTTGGTTTTGAGGAGGTGGCCTATGAGTTCTTTGCCCAAGCCTTTACCGTCTACGAAGAAGCGATTAGCGACTCCAAGGCCCAGTTCCAAGCAGTCTGTGTGGTCGCCAGCGCCCTCCACCAGACGAGAAACTTTGGCCGTGAAAACTACGACACTCTTATTACCAAGTGTGCCCTCCATGGCAGCAAGCTGTTGCGCAAGCCCGATCAGTGCCGTGCTGTCTACCTTGCCAGTCATCTTTGGTGGGCCACGCCTATTGCAGCCACCGAGGAGTCAGAGGAGGGACTTTACCGCGATGGAAAGCGTGTGCTGGAGTGTCTGCAGAGAGCGCTGCGGGTAGCCGATAGCTGCATGGAACAAGCTGCTTCTATTGAACTCTTTGTCGAGATCCTAGACCGTTATGCATACTATTTCGAGCAGCAAAACGAGTCGGTAAGTTGCAGTCACAGATCATCCATCATCACAAACGATGCGCGTCTAACTAGCGAATACAGGTTACCACAAAATACCTCAATGGTCTCATTGAGCTCATCCACTCGAATCTGAGCACAAACCAACAGGATTCAGCCAGCGTAGAGAGCAGCAAGAAGCACTTTAAGCAGACGCTAGACAATATAGCTAGCAGGGGATGGGAAGGTGTTGTGTTATACCCGCAGAAATGAGCAGCAGCACAAGGACATTGAGCGTTGGACAAGCTGGAATCGACGGGAACATTTGTACGTTTTTCATAACTGGCAGCTTCCCAACTTGACGAGGAATGAAAAAGGTGCAATTAGAGCACCATAAAGGCGAAGAATTGATGATTAATTCTTACTAAAACGGTCCAACTTTATAGCAAATGGACGCCGAAATGTACATAATCCTGGAAAAAAGAAGTCTTCATTATCAAATCACCGGGTTTATACCATCTTGTGTGTTACTGTCCCGGAGCGTACCTAACTTAGTACCAGGAGTTTGGTGGTGACATTCCAATTCATCCAACCATCGACCAAAGTGGAAGAAATATGTCTCGAAGTAAAAACACACCGCGTTTTTCCTTTTTCTTTATCATTCTTTGACCCAATCTGCCAGATACCTGTGCATTTCGTTTCTGACGTTTGCGGGTCTTTGACGATACTCACGGAACAAAGGAGCAGGTGTTACAACGCAGTCATCTCCCCAGGATGGTTCATCGGCAGGAGACAGGCATGTTTCCAATTTCTAGACAAGAATACCAACAGCTTCATCCTGCCGATAGACTTGACGCAGAAAGTATAAAACCCGACCAAGACCAAAACTGCTAGAACCATCTTTCCGTCTAAGCAAGTTCTCAGCTCCCACAAGTATTCGGTAAACAAAATCAAGACAGACGCCATGGTTGGTATACTCGGTAAACAAAAGAAGAACTCGGACCTCATTTTTGAGGATCCTCCCGATATCGCGGCTGCAATGGCCGAGAGTATTCATGTTGGCGCCCGGAGAAGGGGGGCCCAATTACTTGTCTCTCGCGCGACGAAAGCAGGCGATATTGAACGGGCTCAAGGAGGAGGATGAAGAGGAAGAGAAGAAGCAGAAGCAGAAAGAAGAAGAGGAAAAGAAGAAAAAGGAGGAAGAGGAAAAGAAGAAAAAGGAGGAGGAGGAAAAGAAGAAAAAAGAGGAAGAGGAGGAGGAAAAGAAGAAAAAAGAGGAAGAGGAGGAAGAGGAGAGGAAGAAACAAGAAGAGGAGAAAAAGCGACAGGAAGAAGAGAAAAAGAGAGAGGAGGAAAGAAGAAAGAAGGAAGAAGCAGAGAAACTAGCAAAACAAAACCCCGGCTTCACCTCAACACAATCCCAGCCCACCTTTCGCGTCGAGATACCCGTCCCCAAGCGCGACCCAGCCCGACTCGCCGGGCCCCCGGAACCAGGCACGACGCACACGCCGCGGACGATTCTCAACTCTCTCCTCCGGCAGACGATGGAGCGGGACGAGGAGCTCGAGCGCCGGCGCCTCCGAGCCGAGGCCGGCATCCCCGAGACCGAACCCATGCCGCCGCCCGGCCACGCCGCGTGGGAGGCGTACAAGCTGCGCGTGGGCTGGGTTTCCGATAACCCCTGGCCCGAGCCCAAGTGGTCGCGGTTGGATACCATCAAGATGCTTGCCGAGCGCGAGGCCGAGGCCCGGGCGCGGAGCAAGAAGAAGGGATCAGGAGGAGCCGCTGCTGGTGTGGATGAGTGGCCTATTGTCCTGGATTTGCCTTCTGTCACGACGCTGCGAACTGCCAAGGGTGGATGGCTTCAGAGTAGGGTTCCTGGCCTCTTTGGTGTCTCTACGCTGGGCCTGAACCGTTGCTGCTTCGTGCTTTTCATTGTTCTGTATCTTGTCCTCTCGATTTTTGTGGCTGAGCTGAGTTGGCAAGCATTCAGGCACTTTGTGCTTAAAAAAATATTGTAGCTGAATATAGATTATCATTCTCTTCCCATCTTATCCTGTAGCCAATGATATCCAGATACCATCCAGGAGCCAATAATTCCTACAATCGGCCGTGTTCAAATGCAGAAATCTCACATTTAAGCAAGTTGTAGGTGCTCATTGAAAACTGTTGACGTTAGACACGATATACCGTCGAGCATTTTACCACATAATGCATCATCACATGGGTATTAATTATGAGGACAGGTCAATATATCAGCAATTGTACATGACGGCAAACGTCAAATGGTGTTATATATCGTCGCCGAGTTCTACAAGAGACGCTTTTTCCCGCTCGCCACAACTCAGACGCAAGCACGCGCGACTCGAAATATGTAAAGTTGGGCAAAAGAAAATTCAAATTCAGCTTTGCCAGCTGACCACCAACGCCAAGCGATGCAATTTCAAAGACCTTTCGGTAAGAGAAAATAAACCAAAAAGAAGAAGAGAAATAGAGCGAGCTAGATAGGCTAGCAAAGGCGATGAAGGCCTTATGCATTCAAAGCTTCTGCAGCTGCTGAAAAGATGGTGGCCGTCTTGTTGACAAGAGAACGAGCCAGTTCAAAGTCGCGGGCATCGACAGCGTCGCGAATTGCAGGGAAGAAGGCCTCGTCGTAGCCTGACCACAGCTGTGGACCGAAAACAGTATGAACAAACTGTGTTCTGTTTGGAATCTAAAAGGGAGTGTTAGTAATAGAACTTGGCATCAAGTATCGAGGGCTACTCACTCCTCCGCCGAATTCGGTATCCAGGAGTCCAGTCTCGAACAGTGCCATTCTCGAGTTGTATTCGCATCTTCTTCGGCCAAGTCCACTTGGTTCCCAACCATTAGCACTGACAACTGCCTGCTGCCACTCCACTTCCCAAATGCCGAATTCGGCAACAGCTTCTTCAATTTCTTTGATAGAGTCCTTGAGAGCATTGAGATCAAGCTGAGACTTGTCATCTCGGTTGGCGCCGTTGTCTTCACACCATTTCCAGAGATCGCCGAGGTAACGGCCAAGAGAGAGGGCATATTGGTGGAGATCAAACGGAAGAATTGGTCGTTCGGCGAGTTCAACAATCAACAGACCCAACACCTGTCCCAATAGGCCGTGGTATACAAAATCTGGGTCTGCGACTTGGGACATCCAGTCAAAGTTGTCGTAATTTGAGTGGTAGGGAAACCTTGAGCCCTGGAAGCTGATATCGATAGAGCTGGTTCCGGCTATGTCCTGGAAAGCAACGTAGTCGCTACCTGCCCCTAGACCTTCAAGTTCGCCGCCACGAGCCTCCCAGAGTGCCTTGAGCGTCGCATTCTCCAGCGGATCGTATACACGCTCCAACACGCTGTACAAGAGCTTGTTAAAGACGGGGGATGCGGCTGCGTGAAATTCAGTTCCACTAATGGCCGTGTCGATGTTGATGTATGCAAAGGCGTTCTTCCGAAGGTATTCTAGATTATTCTCCACAAACTCGGTGCTGCCAATAAGATTGTACTCTTCAGCATCCCAACTCATGAATTCAATAGTTCGGGCGGGTCGCCAGCCTCGGGCAACAAGATCGCCAAAGACTCGGGCAACTTCCAGCATGACTGCAGTTCCTGATCCCGGATCAGTCGCGCCCCAGTTCCAAGCGTCCCGGTGGTTGCCGATAATGATGGACTTTTCCTTCTGCTCGATTCCAACAATCTTTCCGTAAATGTTCCAGATGGGCTGCTGCTCTATTTCATCTTGTTCATTCTTGAGCCGGACAATGGGCGATGAGGAGTTGCCACTCCACCAACTCTTCACTCCAGGCACACCGCCTTGCCACTCTTCCGGCAAAGCTTCACCGAATCCCTCGATTGATTGCAGTAACCTCTGGGCATCTCCCCAACTGATTGGTATGCTGGGAATTTGTACCAGACCTTTGGTTTGGGTTGTCTTCTCCCGCGGCTGACCCTTTTTACTTGCCCAGCCAGGAGTGAGCACATCACCCACCACCCAACTCATCAAGCTCACGGCACCACGTTGCACACCCTCGCGAGGCATAAACCATCCGGCAGGTGCAGGTTTTCCCAGGAGAAATCCGTCGTCGGCAGGATCGCTGTAGATGATACAGCCTGCAAAACCAGCCAACTCGGCCGCTTTAACCTTGAGAGCTCGATCACCCTGAGTTCCGTAGTAGCGCACAAGAGCAATGGCGCCTTTGGTGTCAATGCCACTGTCATGGAGACGCTTGAAATCCTCTCTGCTTCCATAGTTGGCATAGATTAGTGGGCCTCTCACATCACCAGACTTGGAGTGGCCGTGGAAGGTCAAGGTCGGTTTGCCTATAATGTTTTGCGGGACGTAGGGTCCATCTTGGAGTCCTGCATGCCATATCGCCTTTGAACCATCTTCCGACATGAGTTCGACTGCCCGCCCATCTTCCTTGGGATAGTTGAGATAGACATAGTATTCATCGACCGTCACATCTTCCAAGCCACTTCTCAAGAATGAGTTCCGCACATCCTCGGCCAGGGCATAGTCACCCTCTGTACCTGCTATGTGGGCATATTTGGTGACGTGTTTCAGGGTCTCTCGCATACGGCGAGGGTCCATGCTGTTTTGTATATGGTGTCGGACACTTTCTGGGTCGAACACCTGACCACCAATCCGCTGCGACATGCTCGTAAACAGGTCGCTCACAAAGACGAGGTACAAGAAGCCCAGCACCAAGAAAAGCGCCAGCAGTCTGCCTATGAGGAGCAGCGCCGCCGTGCTGTTGAGGTTGATGTTGCTGTGCCACCAAGACCTAGCGGGAGTTTCTGATGTGCCTCGTTCGCTGTCGGCCGGCGCAGTATTGGCACTGTCGCTCGCACGCGGGAGTCGCACCGTCAGCCGTGGAATGCGCCATCTCCATTTCGGCAGCGAGAGGGCGGCAATGCGCTTTCGCCACAGTGAGTTGGACCGAGAGCTCGATCCGTTCAAGGGGTCCTCGACTTCCAGCTCCTGCATCTCACGGCGCACCTGCGCATCTTCTGTGTCGTCGTCGTCATCGCTGTCGAGGGTCCACTCGGAATCTTCGTCATCGGTCTCAACGTGCGGCGGGCGGTAGCCAGCAGGTGTCCTCCGCTCGGATGCGGGATTCCGCGATGTCGTCAACAGCGACTGGGCTTCCCGCTCGGACTCGGGCCTGTCATCGATGGGCGACCGGGGCGGCGGTCCCCAGTCATTTCGAGATGAAGAGCCCTGGACTGCCTCGTCGTACGAAGGTATCGGCGGCGCCGGGATGTATTCGGACTTTTCGGAGGGCATGATTACGGCTGCTCAGTATGGTGCCACATTGGGAGCGATGTATTGATTGACCGGGAATTTATGATCGATTCGCTCAGGTATCGTTGAGCGAAGCCAGACTCGGGTGGAATAGTTTGCTTGATTACAAAGGAATTAGGAGAGAGAGAAGTGTGACATGTGGAAAGTCACCAGCTACGCAAGGTACCTTCTACCTAGGTAATGTAGGTAGGCAGGTAGGTGGGTAAGAATAGGTACAATGAGAGTATCGTCGGCAAATGGCGATGGTCTTTGCCAAGAATCAATTGTCTCCGAGCAATCGGGTCTAGAGCAAGAGAACAACGAGATTGAGACTCGAGAATAATTAAAAAGAATGGACTAGGAAAATGGTTGTCACAACCCTGGGCTACGGAAGGATACGATGGAAAGAGAAGAAGAGGCGAAGCAGCTGATGAAACCTGATGTGCACGTCTGTCTCCGTGATTGATGGGTCCAAAAGGCCAAGCAGGAGGGACTCGTAAGGGAGCCACTTGGCGCCGCGTAGAGGCACGGACGCCTGTACATACACAGCAGAAGATAGTGAGCTCAGCCCTTTTTAGGAGATCAATTAATGATGAGATATGGCCTGGCCTTTTTGGGGTTGGCGCTTTGGATAGCCTGAGTGCCCCAGTGGCCCCCCTTTGGTTCCCCCAAATCCCTGGTACTACAGAACACTGACAGAACATTGAACAGCACTCCCCTCCCTCCCACCCCCTTGACCCCGGGATTACCCTGTCCAAGTACGGGGTCGAGCACACGACATCTGAATTGGTTTCTGAATAGTGCATCACCAAAGGTTGAGCATTCTCTTTTCTATAGATTTAGGCGGTCGATTCTTGCTAGATAATTCCAGTCAGTCTCCTTTCTCCTGTCGCAGTAATTATGTCAGTTTGAAATCATGTCATTTCCGCCATGTCACTGAGTCGACAATTGGTATCAGTTCTTAGAACTATTCACACACTTATTCAAGATGGTGAGAAGTCTCAGTCAATTAACAATAGCTAATCACGAGCCATTGCCATTTATATACATGACCTACAATATTGGATGACAGAGATGAGTAGCTCACTACATCCGTGTGGTCATGAGGCTACAGTCTACACCAATACCGTACTGAATAGACTTTCAAAATACTCTCCATCGAACGAAAGTTCATGGCCGACTTTACCATGGCACATCCGAAGCTGGAAAGACTACGTATGGAGAGGCATAGAAACGTGGTTATATCAATCAATGCACATTTTGTCCTCCATTGTATGCTTTAGATGGTGACATCGTTCTTTGCTTCGTAATAGGCTCTGATCACGAAATTTTGTTTTCATAGTTTTCTTTTAATGGCCGACATTGCTCCTCCAGCTATGCATAAAGATATATCTTTATTCCCTCCTGCCTAGGCTGAATCCCCATCACAGTCAGACTCTTCCGAGGCAAATGGCTTGTACCGTTCCAAGCAAACTCAAGGTCGCAGTATGCCCCTAGCTTGACTGCGCTCCTCGATTTCCGTCTTTACACTTTCTGCTTGTAATCCCATTTGCGATCCCGTCTCGTTTGCTCCATCCTGTTCGTCTCCAGTATCAACGTCGCCGTCGACCTTGGTAGGCCCGGGAACCAGCGAGAGTTTACGTCTCAAGAGAGCAGCCAGCTCGTCGTCACCTCGTTTCTCGACGAGAGCGCCAATGCGTTTGAGTTCCTCGGCCGTGAAGCGGATTTGTTGTGTGGGTTTGGCCTGCCCTTTGGCTTTGGTGGACGAGTCAATAGATGGTTGTGTTTTCTTGATGGAGATACCAGTGCCGAGTGTCGACGGTGATGGAGGAGCTTGGGATGGTGTGGACATTGTGGAAAGCTCAGATGCCCAAGAAGCGAGAAGTGAATAACAAGAGCTCAATTATCGAAAACGCTTTAGAGAGTTTCTGTTTTCCGCGGCCTGGTGTTTGCCTGGGTATGTTCGTCTCTGAAGTGAGAAACATCGGTTGGCTTTGAGTTTCCTTACATGGCCAGAAGCAAATATCTCCGTTCGTAGGTTTTCTAATTCTCTGTTTCTTTGTTCGAGGAATATGACGAGTCAAGCTGTGGTGTTCTTGCAAATGGGGATTCCTTTGTTCTCATCATCTGGGGGAAGGTAAATGTATTGCGACGGAAAGTCTCCAGCAGATCCAAGCAATGAGCAGCCTTGATCAAACGCATAGAATTTGTCAAATGTTGATTTAATATATACAGACTATATTAGGAAAAAGTTCTTGCTTAGCATGTGGGTATCCCTAAAGGATTCAAATCAAATGTAACCCTCAAAGCTTTTCCCGCCCGTTCTATATTGGCAGCAGAAGTAAATGAAGGGGTATAACAAACGCCGGCCCAAAATGTGCGCTCGCAATACACGCAAATATTGTCTATAGCGGAGAATCAGGTAATCTTTCTCATCTCGATGTCGTCTTTTCCTGTTGCAGACGGCATCTCCACAACATTTTCCACATCCTCCTCCAACACGACGCAATCGTCAGATTCCTCTTGCTTCAATCGTGCTCGAATCAGGGGATCTTGTTCAAGCTCCTGCCATAACTCCAAATGCCACTCCTCGGCCGCGTCGCCGAGGGCCCTCTTCTTCCAGGGTGGCCATTGCCATAGTCCGCCCACAATGAGATTGCGCTTGACCGCCTTGAAGCCGAGCTCGAAGCATATCAAGATGGCCATTGTGACAATGAGAGTGAACCACCAAAGCGCATCGCCGCCAAACGTCTTTGTAAAACCATTGCGCACTGCATACGTGTTTACACCACGATTGTATACGGCCGAAAGAATAATGTTCCATAGCCACCAGCCAATAATGGTGATGGCAAAACCAACGAGTACGATTGCCGACTTGTGGTGCGTCTCGAGGATGCTATATTGCTGTCAGATCATGTTCAAGACACCATGGCTCAAGAGCGACTTACAAGAGTTTGTAGTTGATCCACAACACGCCGACGGAGAAGGCAAGTTCTCCTAGGGGGTAGAGATTATTATCTCCAACCATACCAAGGAAGCCTCCATAGCCTGCCCAAACCACAAACCAAACACCGACACCCTCCGAGGCAGCAGCAATCATCCAGGTCAGATATTTTCTCACATTCAGACCCATGTTGCGCTGGCCATACACATAGAGCTCGGGCACTGCGAGCAGAGTCTCTGCGCTGAGATCCTGTTCCCATATACCAGGGATGATGACAGCAAGGGAAGTAAAAAGAGTGTTGAAAACAGTCAAACTGGCACTTTCGTACAGAGATGTGCCTGTATACCCATTGTATCTTTGATACAATGCTGTAGGCAAGTAAAAGAACATTTCTTTCCAAAAGGTTGCCAGGACGAATTTGGCAGTACGTACGTAATTCCATCTGCCATGAACCAGAAGTAGCCTCTGGAGGAAGCGGAACTGCGCAATGGCATAGTCGGCGACACGGGCGGCTTGCAGACCCTCTTTCCCCGAGATTCCAACACCGACATGAGATGCAGAGATCATTGCTAGATCATTGGCACCGTCACCGATCGCGAGTGTCAAGGCGTCTGGCAGGCGGCTGCGGATCGCTTTCACAATCGTTGCCTTCTGGGATGGCGAAGCACGGCAGCAAATCACCGAGTCGATGGTGGGTATGAGAGTATAGAACAGTGCCTTTAGGGTTGTCGACTGTTCGACGACTCCTAAAGTATGCCCATCGATCACGACAACACTGTGCAGACAGCCCGCCTGAAGGTCCTCGACTATTCCGAGAATTTGGGACTCCAGGTCGCCCTTTGTAGAATCTAGAATGAAAATATCAGATCCAGGACGACAAATCCGTGCTGAATGGGCAATGTTAATGGCCGTTTCCCGTTTGTCGCCAGTCAACATCCAAATTTTGACATTGGCGCGGCGCAATTTCTCAATCGTCTCGGGAACTCCAACTTGCAGTTTGTCCTCGATTGCCGTGGCACCGACCAGATCTAATGATTGCTCAATCATTTCACCAGCGGCCTCAATCATGTCTTGGCGGTTGACGAGGCTAGTTGTGGCATCATTGTATATCTTCTTCCAGCCCTGGTACTCTTTATCCTGGATGAACTTTCTGGCGAAGAGGAGAGTGCGGAGACCCTCAGTAGCAAACTCGTCCAAGTGCTTGAAACATTTGGTGAAAACAGCAGAATCGTCATTGATGGACGGGTCATCCAGGAAATCAAATCTGTCGTCGGCAAGTGATGGTGGTGGCAAAGCACTTGGCAACGGCAAGGTCTTGGTAATATCGAAGGATACCGTACGAACGCCAAGCGAGGGCCTAGGTTTATCCTCCGAACGACGGATTTTCCAGCCCTCGACGGATCTGCTGCGTTCAATCGGCGGGCGCGTTCGGGAAGATTCAGCTCGAGGCTGACCTCCAATACTTTTCCGGGAAAGTGTCAAACTGGGACGACCGCCGAAGCTGTTGCGTGGTTCCAGTTGCTCACTTCGACGGAGCATCTCATGTTCCAAATCCGCACTTTTGCGAACCTCATTGACTTTCTGAAGCGCCAGATTGGCCAGCTTAAGACGTGGGAGAATCATGGAATCAGCTCCCTTGCAGATGAGACAAATTCGGCCGTCAGGGTACCTGACAATAATCGACATGCGTTTTCGCTTACTGCTGAATTCAATGACATCGAGGATCTCGTAAACCTCAGTTCTCTCATCGCCGTCGTCCAGGGTGATTCTCAGGGAGACCGTTTGTGAAGACCGATGTATGACCAAGTAGCCGAGTTCTTGAGCAGCTCTCACAAGCGCAAGTTCATCCGGAGACGATGCTTGAAAGTCAAGTTCTCCATCTCTGAGCTCTGGAAGACAAGTATGGCACAGTGCCATGCACAAAATATAATCTCGCGCTTTTCTAGCAAATGGAGCGGCGGGTCTTGTTCTGATAAAGTCCAAAAGATCATATGTGGTGACGTCGGGTTGCTGGCGATCTGGGCGGCCCGTAGATCTCCACTGTGAAGATGATCTCCGACCTTGCTGGGAAGATACATTCGTGATAGTTGCTTGAATCGGCGACGTTACAGTAATTGTGACTGGTGAAGCCAGAGGCGGGTAGTCTTCTTCCTCTTCCTCTGGTATGAGTCGCGTAACCTCTCGGGACTTTCTGGTGGCAGGTATAGCTGCACTCATCTGGACTTCGGTAGCGGCTTTGGAGCTGGGACGATCTGGTTGCAGATCCATTTCATGCAGCCATGATGTGCCGGCAATACTGAGTTTTCGAAATTTCATGACGTTCTCCGTTAGTGTTCCCGTCTTGTCCGAGAAAACATAACTAATCTGGCCCAGGTTCTCCAGGATGGTGTTCGTATTACATCTAGCAGGCGTGTCCGTGGCTTCGTCGTACATCTCAATATCGCCATTGAGCATCAACATCTGTCCCAGCTTGACAATCTCCAGACTGACGTACAAGGCAAGCGGAATGACGTTGTTGAATTGAATCGCAAAGCCAATGATGATCTCCTTGAATGCCACGGTAGCATCCTGTAGATACCACGAGTTTGCTTCCGTCGACCTCCGCCAGATAATGTAACCCATGGAACACCCTACAGAGAGCACGATAACATAGAAAGCCAGGGTAATGACAATCTTGTTGGTTATCTTTTCGATGGCTGGCTTCTTTGCTTTGGGGTGCTGATTTGCATTCATCCGGATCTTGCATTCTTCGCCAGTATTGATGACAATGCCTAGCACAGACTTTGTATTTCGAATGGTGCTGCCTCGGTACACAACCTCATTGAGAGTCAAGGGGAGGGTTTTGCCCTCCACAGTGACTCTGCCATCAAATCGGTACAAATCCGGGTTTGGGTCTTCCAGGACAAATTCAGCCTCGACGTCGTGCAATGCCTGAATGGAACCACAGTCCTTGAACGCGGAGAGTGACTCCTTGCTCTTCAGATTTGTTTCTCCGTCGAGCGCCATAGTGTCTACATAGGCGATGCCATTCTCTCCAGTAGATCTTAGGAGCACGACATCAGCCGGCACTTCATCGTCTCGGCACAGCTTCACAACGTCTCCTACTTTGACATCTCGCCAATGCACCTTATTCCACTGAAGGTCATGGTCTTCGAACTCGTTGAACTGATCTTGTCCCTCCTGTTCCACCGTTTCGGAATTGTCAGTTGCCGGTGTGCGCGCGGCGCGACGCCAGTGAAACCAAGAGCGTGATGCTGGGCGCAATGTCGCTGGTGGACGTGGCTTGCCCAGCACAGTCGTGATGTTGGCATTTTCAATCTTGTCCAGTCTGTGCCTCTTGTAGTCGTCGTAACCTTCCTTGAATACAGTCAAGGCCACGAAGAATAGCAACGGGAGAATTGTCGTGTAGCTGCCCGTAGTACTTAAGCCGGGGATAGTTTGCGGTATTCCGACACACAGGAAGTAAAAGTTTGCCAGTCTCGTGAATTGAAATAGCAGCTGCTTGGGAAGGAAGTTGTAGACATTGTACCGAGAGGTCCGAATCGTGTTTGAGATGAAGTGACCATCCCGACGCTCATCGACCAGCGGCGCGTCAGCTCCGATCCGTAACGGCACATGGCGACCATCTTTGGAGGGTTTGAGTGGTTTCTGTCGAAGTATTCCTTCGATCACGTATCTCTTATACCAATCCAACACTTTTGCATCCACCCTGGCACGGGCAGCATCGTGTCGTCGGCGGATTCGGCTGCGGGTGGTGAAAATCAAACTTCCCTTCTCGGTTCCGTCCTCTTGCTTGACATCAGTATCGGCAGGGCCCATCATGCGCTTTTATATAGGCAATTGACCGCATGACAACCAGATCCAAAATCGAGCATGTCCAGAGGTTCGAGCAGCCTTTTCTGCGAGTTGTCTGGGGGCGATTCAGGCGTCAGAGCAGGGCGGGTCAGTTCGGGTCGCTTGGCTCTGCATTTACGAGGAGAAGCTTATGGGTACCGTAGTAGCCAATTCGAACGAAACAAGCGAGTGTGGATTTTGCGGCCCTTGCGCAGGGCGATTGAGGAAGACGGTCGGTCACTTGGCAGTGCTCAAGATATTACAAGCGAATGGACGATGACTTCAAAGAGTCCTCAAAGTGGAAGACACAAACTCGACAACACAGTTTAGAATAAGGCCGTGGTTCCCCATCCAGACCGATCGTTGATGACCAAAACTTCTGTCACGTCCCCCCCCAAAGATTCTAACTTCTGCCCCCCCGTCGGGTCAGATCCACGAGCCATTGCGGGAAAACCGGGCTTGGCGGGTCGCTGAAACCCCTGTAGGATGCAGTGAGTGGTGGGGTTTATGGCTGGACCAGGCTCGATGCGCCGGAATTAGTGGGAAATGTCAATTAAGATCCCGGTGTCAACACACGTGGTTGGCTGATTTGATGCAAGATTGCGTCGTGAGCCCCGCCTTGATGCAGCCCAGCTTTTCCGTCTTGTTGTTCCTTGATTCATTCAGTCGATAATACGGCCGTCGGCCACTGAGTACAAATCAATAACACACCTTTCATGTCCGGGGTTACCATGAGATGAGAACGCTCTGAATAGTTTGATTTACTCAAAATACGGTTACACTTTCCTATGGAACAATGGTTTCCCCTCGTCTCACCGCCACATGTTACCCAAAAAAGACACTTGGCCCTTATAGATCGGAAGTTTAAGCTATCAAAGTGTTGATCTGTCAAGACGCGTTTATTAGACTTTCCCTGCTGCATTTGAAATAAATAAGCACATGAAAACGACATCTTACAACGCACACGGAATACAGATTGAGGCATGCATGTAATTACCAGCCCGAATCTTATTAGCATTTGTAATGTTGCCGTTCATGCAGCCAAAGGTTATCCAAACGATAACAAGACTTGGCGTGTCGAAGTGCTACTTGCAAAATAAACACTGATAGCATGTCAATGAACACCAACTGTAACTACATACATAATCTTACGCTCTGAGGGTTGCCCAATACAATTCGGAGTAACAGTTTGTTCATCGTGCTGAAGCCTCCATCCGCCTATCGCTAGCATCCGCACGAAGTTCGTTCAGGGGAAGCTAATGTTATACATCCATCCATACATACAGGCTGCAAGGAAATGTCCTCACATGTAATCGCTGGCCAATACATGAAATATAATCATTTCTATTTCCAGAACCTTAAGTGCCAATGAGACGTGTGCTAAAGCGCTTGTCTCATGTCTCATTCATGGATGATTAGGTTAACAAGGCTACACCCGGGCAGTTAACACCTTGCTTTTAGCTGCTAATCACGGAACTATTCCGGCGTTGAGGGAGCGTCGATCCCCTATACCATAGTATTGTTACAGTGGTGTAGGAGTAGCTTTGTCCAGATCTGCAACTCTTAATTGAGCCGTCCCAAGGGTGCTGTCAAGGGTGGTGGTATTCATGCTCAGGGCCGTCTTTTTGAGTATAAACATTTGCAGTCCTTTCAAGAATAAATGATCAAGTATACAATCAGATATCGGTATCCTTTGATCGATGTTCTTTCCCGTTGTTCAAAACTAAAACCAATATTACAATAAGTGAGACGTGAAAAATACCGAGTAATAAAGTTCAATGTTCAATGGCTGCCACTAAATTGGCCTGAAATTCTGACGGTTTGAAAAAAAAAAACAAAGAGACAACCTTTTTGAAGGGGGAGAGTGATCGTGGCTTGGCACGGAAATGTACAGTAGGTGGGTAGGTACTCTTAGCGCCACAGTCAGCTGCAGCCACAGTGGTGCCTTGGTAATGCTGGGACCCCTTCAACCCTCCGTCTGATAACGATAGCTGCTCCTCGAGTCCAGATCATCTTGAAACAACCTCGACCAACTCGAGCAGCGGGCAGAGTTGTCTCCGTGCCCTGCCCTGCATGCCTCCAGAATCGCCGGACGTCCCCATCGAGTCCCAGCGTGACTCTGCTGCTCCTACTGCACCTATTCAAAAGCAACCTGATCATGCCACCAGCATGAGCGAACCCACGGCAAAGCAGCCCGAAGCCATCGTGCCGACCAAAAGCGAAGCGACTACAGCAACGACCACTACCGAGGCGGATGGGCAACCCCTTTACCACTTCCAGTCTGTAGCTCAGGATGAATTGAAGGAGGCTGTCTCGCGGGCAGAGGATCCCGCCCCAGAGAATGCAAAGGCCCTGTCGTCTGGAGACTTGGTTGGTCTCGAGACCATAGCCGCAGAAGAGGCAGAAGAAAAGAAGCCCGAGCCGCCTGCCAAAGATGATCCGGCAGATAAAGGGAAGGGCCGCGAGATTGCCACTCAGCTGACAGATGAGAGACTGGAGGATTCAGTCGCCACGTTGAAGCCACGGAAGCCTCAGTACCTGACGATCGAAACGCCTGCTTTTGTTGATCCTACACCGCCAACTCCATCCGCCTCACAACCGCCGTCCAGATCAAGCTCGGCCAGATCCAAGGGCCATGGCCCCGAGCCGTCCCCAACTCGTTCCGACGTTGCCTATGACGATCGGAGATATGCCAGCGAGGATGAGCAGGAGGGCAATTCTAGGTCGGAGATTCAGAGCATCATGGAGCAATTCCCAGAGGAAGGAGGCGGTCCAGACGTGGAGGAAGTCATGAGCCCACGACTAGAGATTGCCTCCCCATTCTTTGGAAATCCTTCGCCACAACACCCGCCCCGAAAATCAAGCCTGGAACCGCTCGGTTCTGGTTTCGTACAACAAATCCAGGAGATGCAAGGCTTGCGGATCTCCACGTCTTCCCCAACCAGCATGAAATCGAAACCGAAAGAGCGCGACAGTGATGATCAGGGACCCCCCGTCCCACCCAAGGATAGTGTGGACGAGACAGCTTCCGGCGAACCTCAGTCGCCTGCAGCAACTATGCACAGGCCGCCACCTCCCGAGCCCGAACCCGAGCCTGCCCTTCCTTTTGATTTCCACCGGTTTCTTGAACAACTGAAGAACAAGAAGGCTGACCCTGTCGCGAGATATTTAAAGTCCTTTTTGCAGGAGTTTGCCAAACGACAGTGGATGGTCCATGAGCAGGTCAAGATCATTAGCGATTTCTTGGCCTTTATTGCCAACAAGATGGCTCAGTGTGAGGTTTGGAGAGAAGTATCAGATGCTGAGTTTGACAATGCACGTGAGGGCATGGAGAAGCTTGTAATGAACAGACTATACACTCAGACGTTCTCTCCAGCTATACCACCACCACAGCCAATCCCGGGTTCCAAGTCTAGAAGGCGTGGCGACAAGGTCATGGGACCGGGTCGCAGAGGCCAGCACCAGGAAGACGTGGAACGCGACGAGATTCTTACGCAAAAGATTAATATTTATGGCTGGGTACGAGAGGAACACCTCGATATCCCTCCCACGAGTGATAGCGGCAAGCGTTTTCTTACACTTGCACAACAAGGTATGTCGTGTGATACAGGGTTTGATGTTTAGTTATCTAACGAGCTCAGAACTCCTCAAGATACGGTCTTACAGAGCACCTAGAGACAAGATCATTTGTGTTCTCAATTGCTGCAAAGTCATCTTTGGTGAGAATTGTCTATACCTTCCTCCAAGACATGCTACTTACACGCTCAGGCCTACTCAAAAATGCGAAATCGGACTCTTCCGCCGATTCCTTCATGCCTCTATTGATTTATGTCGTCCTTCAAAGCAACCCTGATCATCTCGTCTCTAATGTGCAGTATATACTGCGGTTTAGAAACCAGGAAAAGCTGGGCGGCGAAGCTGGCTACTATCTATCATCACTCGTAAGCATAGCAAGAAGATCGACTTACAGCCTTGGACTAACAAATAATAGATGGGTGCTATACAATTCATTGAAAACATGGACCGTACTTCGCTCACAATTACTGATGAGGATTTCGAGAAACATGTAGAGAATGCAGTATCTGTCATTGCCGAGAAACATCGCCATGCCGAAACATCACCCCGGCAGGAGCATTATTCTGAAAAGACTGGCCTGCACTCTCCCGGTGAATCATCGTCAACTCGCCCATCGCTGGATGTGGACTCTACCGGCACACCACGTCGGTCGCTGTCTTCGGACCAGGGCGACGAGAATGCTCCCATAACTGGACTCCTTCGTTCCATACAAAAACCTCTTTCTACTATAGGACGCATGTTCTCAGATGAGCCGAGTAGCTCAGGACCAAGTCACTCGCCCGCACGAACACCACAGCCAGATGGTACGCCGAGACTATCGCCACGGCATAGTTCAGATGGTCGACCTTCGCGAGAAACCCGACAGCAGCTCTCGGCACAGGAGGCAGCCGCTAGGCAAGCAAGTGCTGAAGTTGCCGAAGCTCAACGACTTCATAGAGCTGAGCACAATAATGTTGTGGAAACTCTAGCAGGCATGTTCCCTGATCTGGATCGTGACATCATTAGTGATGTGGTCTACCAGAAAGAGGGCAGGTGAGTTTCTTTCCCCCTCATACTATAATTAAATGTCAATACCGTGCTAATACGTGTTCCAGAGTTGGTCAAGCTGTCGATGCATGTCTGGCCTTGAGTTCATAACAGTCTCAAATGGGGAAATGATCTTTCGTGTTATGCATTAGCGGAGCGATGGTGCATCAGTTTAGGGGTTCGCCGTTTGCGGGAGTGTAGCAGGTGATCTAGCTCCACGTCATGATGGCATTTGTACGAATCATTATACCCCGAATGCTATTTAATTCAATCCAAATATAATACTCTGCTACCTTTGGGGGGGGAAAGAAGAATCAACACCTAAGCAAAGAACTACATTGACATGTGAAAATATAGGCATGTTGATCTTTCTGGTCTGTAGTAATGCACTTGTCCAACGAGATTGTGCCTGTCATGTCGCAGACCCATATATTGGGGGTGAACAAGAACTACGTTGTAGCACTAGGAACTATAAAGAGGGTGGCTAGAACTAAACTATATGTACAATGAACTGTTTTTTTTTGTTCCAAATCGAGCACAAGGGCATTGTTGATAGTGGTTCTCACACAATGCCACAATGCCTTGTGACCAATCCTGCTGATGAAGTACATATAAGCCACAGTGGCTTATCTTTCTGTTCCATTGGGACTCGACACACATGGACAAGAATCAGCTTCCATTCACGATCGGTTCCAGCCACTACCTCGGAATCATACACTACTGACCAACATGTATAGTCCTACCTCTGCCAACCAACCCCGGCGGCATCGTCAACTACGGCCAGGTGTATGTTCGAAACGTCGGGTTTCATTCCGCTGTCCGAATCCAGAATGCGATACTCCGTTCTGGCCAGTGATTCTGCTGCCCAATGCCGAATGCAAAGCGATATCGCTGGAGGATGTAGCGGAGGAGGAGGAATGCTCCCTAGGTCTACCCAAAGATCTTTCCACGTTGCCCCGTATCACGTGCCCCACTCAATCACTCCCCGATGCTGATATTGACAGTTACTGTACAGCCCGGAGCTCGATGAGAAGCGCGTTCTTGCGGTTCCGAAAGGTCTACGGTGAAGAATCTGTAGAATGGAAGAGGGTACTTGGTGAGTTTACTATCCAGTGTATGCTTCATCAGGAGACTTTGTCAAAGTGTACCTTTGACCCGTTCCAGATCATGAATGCCAATCATGTCAGTCTCGTGGCGCAGGTCGAGACGGATTGCAAAATGTGGTTCCGCCGGCATCTGGGGGATGACCAGACGAGGCTCTGGTGGGAGCAGGTGGAGGAGCTGGGTTGGTGGCTGGTCCACCACGATTGTAAAGAGACTCCGATGCGTGAGGGGCCTGATGACATTGTCTCTGAAGGCCGCGTCGCCTTTCGAGATCCTTTTTCTGATAGTCGGCGTGGCTCGTCCAGTACTGACGGCGGTTCTTTTTCATCGAGTGTCGACGATCCCTTCGCCGACTTCTGAAAGTCCACTTCTCTCTGGTATCTAGATAGGTATGTGTCATTATGCCGGCGTTCTTGTAAGAGATCATGAAGACAGGTTCTTCAATGGGCATATTGCGTGAGGTAAGTCATGAATTAGATTAGACATGTAATGGAATATAGGCTAATTTGGCTCTCATCACCATTGATTGCACTACGTGATACAGCTATATCATCCAGGATAAAGATAACTACATAGTCTAAATACCTGATGGGAGATGTGATATATGAGTGAATGACCATGTCTCGGGAACATTTTGATTCGATTATATAACAGCAGTATTCATTGCCATGAACTTGCCGTCTGCTATGCTGGTAGTTCACTACCATCTTCACGAGCTAACTGACGCTTGTACAGAATGATTTATGCATCCATGTTCAAATGCGTCAATTAGGTAGACTCATTCGTCTTTCCATACATATCCGGAAATGCAGGCTTTGTTTGCGACCCGTAAGGAATAATCCGTACCATGTGCCGCCGCTCGCCGTCCTTGAAATCCGGAACCGCAGTATGAGCAGCACTCCGTTGATCCCATACAACGACGGAGCCCTTCTCCCATCTTACACGACAACTAAAGTCGAGGCTTTTGATATGATCGTTCAAAAACTTGAGTAGGGTATCCGACTCCTCGGGCAGCATGCCCTCGATCCTGCGCGCAATTGTCGGGTTGACAAATAGCGAAGGCTTGCCCGTCACGGGATGCCGGATCACGAGGGGATGAGTTGTCGATACGGCTTCACGCAAGGCCCGCTCGGTTCCCACCCTGGCAACTTCTCCCACAGATGCCGAGGTGTGAAAGAGGCTCAGGGGCGCAAGAAGGCTTTTAAAGGTTGGCGAGAGGGCCTCGTATGCTGCCGTGAGGCTGGTAAAGGCCGTATCGCCACCGCCGGACGCGGGCATCTCGAGAACCCAGAAGAAGGTGGTTGAGGGTACGTTGCGGGTAAAAGTCTGGTCAATGTGCCACAGGTCGTAGGATGTACGTGGACCGAGGAGTGTCCTCAAGTTTCCTCTGCATAGTGTGAGATTTTTTCAGTTACTTCTTGTAGTTGAAGTATTCTGGTAGGCTTACGCATTCTCGTCGGCAAATACAACATGGAACTCGGGTCCCGTGCCTTCAGGGTACCCCATAGTTGGATGCTGGTAGGCAAGCCTCTGTTTAGTACAGTTCTTTCAGAATGTCACCATCGCTTTTAGGTACCTGATGTAATGGCCCATAGTGCTTGGCTATCTCAAGTTGCCTCTCGAATCCAATATCGGCAAAGTCTTGGTCTCTCTGCATTTCATCTCGTAAACAACAGCTCCTTTGCTTAGTGATGGTGTGCATGACTCACAAAGACGAGGACTCCTCTTTCTGCGGCGAACAGAGCGATCTCACTAAGTCTCACAATGAGTATTTTGTAATGCTTGGACAATAGTTCATTTACACCTCGAGGTGCGAAAAGTCTCACACTCTATAAATATAGGCGAAAGCGACACTTGTCATGCTGTGGTGTGAACAATAAAATGGATATACTCGCGTACTCTAATCCCTCTTGAGAGAGCTTACTGAGCTGGATTCCTCTCAGCTCAGTGCCGATGCGAGGCGTAATATTCGTTACTTCCACATCTGGTCTAAGCAGGTGAGGTTTTGCCGGATCGGCGCGAGTACCCGGCTCATTACCCTCAAATGGCGGGACATCTATTGTTGCAGCGTAGCCATCCGGTCGGGTGGGTAGATATGCTGGGTATAGTGGCTGCGATGATGTCTTGGCTGTAGGCATTGTGGCTAGTGATAGTGATGAATAGGGTACGTGATTGATGCGAAACTATATCGATAGACAGCTGGCTTGCGAGTGGCGCATCCAGTATGATGTGCTCTCATTCAATTCATGGTATTATATTCATCAACACGTAGAGCGCTCCCAAAGCAAGTGTCAGTTCGCACGCATCGGGTCCTTGTCCATCGGGTTCCACCCGACGGCAAAGGAGCATCTCAAAGACTTGGCGACTGGTATTGTCGAGATGCTATTCACTGATAAGTAGCGGCCATTGGTTAGTAGAAAACAAAGACCCCACAACAGACAATAACATCATCAACAGGGTATCACACGACATACATACATTCATGGGGATTTTGGCGAATCACAGAATACTGAATTCGTGCATTATTTTGACAATCTGGAACCGTGTGGTACCCAAGGATGAAAGGCACGCTAAATGGCATTTATGATTGTAGTATACCTGAAGATTTTCATCGCATGGCATGACTCGGGTGGTAGTCTACACATTTTATGTAAATATGTCTCGAGCACTTCAATGTTGCATTATCTCAAGGGTTGTGATCACGACATCGCCTTGAAAGATTATGTGTTTTCGGCAATTGTCCGGTATCATTACATTTAGATCGTAGGGTAGCAATACAGTGAAAGAATCAGGAAGAGAGAAGAGGCCTGACCAACAATACCCGTCAAGAGTCTATATGGCTTGATTTTGACATCTAGGGATCAATTGAGTGGTTGTCTGCTATTCCGATCTGTCTGTAGAGACTAAAGCTCTTCCAACATCCTCCCACGGCGACAATGTCGTTCCCAGATGATGCGTCGGCGCCCCAAGAACCATTGCCATCTAAACAATCGCAGTCATGGTTGGGGAGAATTCATCCTTACTTTAAAGATCCAGAGCATGTACTTGTCCTCAAACTTGACGCTTTCCTTTTAGTATGGGCATTCAGGTAAGTCAAAAGAACATCAGAAATGCAAGGTGCATCTCCCTGTCTTGGCTCTGTGCGCTAATATACTAACAGTAAGTTCTCGATATTATCTCCATACAAGTTCTGAGAAAATCATACTCGTTGAGCCATGTAGTAGAGCATTATTGACTTGTGCACACTAGTTGCTGGTCTGCTCAAAGACATGGACCAATCAGGTACAACGCAGGCATATGTTTCGGGCATGAAGGAAGCCCTCTCGCTCTATGGTAACGAGCTGGTCGAGTTCACAACATACTTTTCAATCGGATACGCCATATTCCTTGTTCCAGCCCAGATGGCGCAGACTCGCGTCCGACCGTCTCTCTTCCTGCCTCTCTGTGAGATTATCTGGGGCGCCTTGACACTGGTCACCTATCGAGCCAAGAACGCGCAGACAGTCTTCGCATTAAGATTCTTTCTGGGTGTGTTTGAGTCAAGTTCCTGGCCAGGAATCGTCAGCTTGATCTTCAATTGGTACACACCCAAGGAGCTCGGGAAACGAGTGGCCATCTTTGGTGTCAGTGGCGTCGCTGGGAATATGTTCCTAGGCATTCTCCAGGCGGCACTGTATAAGAACCTTAATGGCGTAAACGGCCTTGAGGGCTGGCAATGGCTGTTCATCGTCTCTGGTATCATCACCATGACCTGGGGCTTTGTGGGCCTGGTCGCAATCCCCGACTCTCCCAGCTTTACGCGAGCTCTGTATCTTAGCAAGGAAGAACGCACAATTGCCCACCAGAGAATGTCGCAGGTCGGCGCAACAACCGCCAAGCTCGTTTCATGGAAGCTGGTGCGAAGCAAGATCAGACTACTCCTCGCCAGTCCAGTGGCTTACCTGTTCCTCGGTGCATATCTCCAATTTGCCTGGTCCCAGCGCGCAAATTCATACATTCTCTTGTATCTCAAGGGTCTGAAAGATGTCTCAGGAAATCCAATGTACTCAACCTATACGGTCAACCTGATTCCCTTGGGTGGGTATGCTATATCCATCGTTTGCAACATTGGTCTCAACGCTCTGAGCGACTGGAAGGAATGGCGTTGGCAAGTCGCATGCGGCGCGGCGGGTCTCCAGCTAATCGCTACCGCAGTACTATCCGGATGGCCAGACTCTCACCCGACGATCCTGACGTTCTACTTTCTCACCTACGCCACCTCGGCGTGGGGCTACGCCCTGATCGCCTGGCTCGCCATCATCCTGCGCAAAGAGCCCGAGGCGCGATCCATCCTCGTGGCGGCTACCGTGACACTGGTGTACGTGGGCCACGCCACGATTCCGCTCAGCGCCTGGAAGACAAGCGACTCTCCCCGATATCCCATTGGCTTCCCCATGGCTGCAGCGTTTAGTGTCGGCAGTATTGTTCTTATGCTGGGAATGCGCTATTATGTACGCAAATACCCGGCTATCCTGGATCATGGACTTGATTGGAAGGTGAATGAGAGCCTAATCGTTGTGGAAAATGGAGTTGAGGAGATGTCTTCGGATGAAAAGGTTGGAAAAGTCCCTGCTGAATCTCGAGGTCCAGTCTAGGCGTGGCTGGTGGCATTAGACTTTCAAAAATACATGGGTCACTGCTGGATTATACATTGTGGTTCAAGACTTAAATTGTGACCTACATTCATCATAACAGATTTTCTATGCTAGGGTTGCTGACATCCATGAGCGATGGCCAATCGACCATTCACCACAAGCCGTCCGCACCTGTTACTACTTGGCGAACCGACATCAGAGCCGAAATCCTCTTCGTCATCACGCTCCCATCACTAGGATATCGTATGGCAAAATTCCACCTCGACACCTGTAACCAGCTTAAAGATTTGCTCAATGCGTTCTCCAATGAGTTATTGTTAGATAATGGGTGTTGTATCCCATATACCAGGGTAGGTGGAGGATCGCGCTGGCCAATGCTGTGGCGTCTAGATGTCGAGCCGGGGCCGTCCAAATGGGCCTTCGCCTCATTGAGCATTTAAAACTGAATGCGGAAAATATAAAGTTAATAAATCATTGAATGAGCATCTATTATATCAGACCAGCTTAAACTCCAATAGGAAAGCATCAATTCGTGCGACAATAAGGCTTCCCGATTAGCAGGTTATTCCGTTCCGTAAGCGATGCTGCAGGCAACCGTTAACCACCTTGAACCCCTCATTTACAGTAGCGAATATTGCAACTCCTAGAACTACTGATAACTCATATCGCTTTTGGGTTTATCAAAGTTCGCAGCAACCACTATGCGTCTGCTGAATGTGCGGACGTATCAGCTTGAGGAATTCTTTGAATCCTCGCGACCAGAATACGCTATTCTGTCTCACACGTGGGGCGAAAATGAAACCACCTACCAAGATCTCCGAGACGGCCGCAAAGAGGGAAAAGGTTGGGATAAAATCGAAGCATTCTGTCAGAAATCTAAAAGAGCAGGCTATAAGTATGGATGGGTGGACACCTGCTGCATTGACAAGTCAAGCAGTGCTGAGTTGTCGGAAGCCATCAACTCCATGTATCAGTGGTACAAGGATTCTGAAATCTGCTACGTTTATATGTCAGACGTGCCGCCAAACAATAATCACTTTGATGAAAGCTCGGCATTTCGCAGGAGTCGATGGTTCCAACGAGGCTGGACGCTTCAAGAATTTCTAGCTCCAGACGCAATCATCTTCTTTGATGACTCCTGGCATTACTGCTTCGAACTGATATTATCACGCCCAAGAGGTATTCCAGAAAACCACGCACACGAAAGTTTGGTCACATTGCTGTCTGAGATAACCGGAGTCAACGAATACGTTGTGCGAACAGGGGATTTCGAGTCTACGATCATTGCCCAACGGCTTTCCTGGGCATCTCATAGGGTGACAACAAGGATAGAGGACATGGCCTACAGTCTTCTAGGCATACTTGATATCAATATGCCCCTTCTCTATGGAGAAGGAAAAGCTGCCTTTCAGCGTCTCCAGGAGGAGGTCCTAAAAACCAAGCTGGACCAGAGTTATCTAAGCTGGGGACTCAATATGACATGGGATCAAATGCCAGACGGTGACTTGCATCTGGCAGAATCGCCTGCATTCTTCCAAAATTGCCAGAACCTGGGGCGATCCTGGATCTTTGATGATGGCTTGACCGAAATGAGATTCCAATCTGTCACAAATCAGGGCCTACTTATCGAACTCCCCATAATGGAAATCAATAAGAGGCATAATGTTGTACTGGCACTGCTTCAATATGGACCTGTCAAGCACCGAGACTATGGAAGTAATTTTTGTACTGCAATTCCGTTATTCCACTTCCCAGGGCACTCTTATTTTCGAAGACTTGATGGCAGCACACCGTTTTTTGCCCCTTACAAACTACTTCGAAGGGCCCGAAACAGGCAAATTTGCCTTTTGAATTACAAGAACATGACTTTCGGACTTGAAACGCCTCAACCCATCATTTCCAAGGCAAAATGGATTCCTTCGCGGTGGATTCATGGACATATCTGGATTACTGTCACCAGACTCTTGGGAACCGGGTACCGCATGACAGCATACTACCCATCTCATGACACCCCAAGGACATCAACTATCACAACATTAGGACTTCCGTATGGAATTGACTGCTTCTTCCTAGAATTTACCAATGGACGATCCAGAGTCGGAGCCTGTTTCCATGGAACCTTACGATCACAGAGCGATTTGCGGATGCGGTTCTTCAGGATCCACCGTGGCTCAGCGCTGAAGATAGCTCTCTCCATTCAGCGGTCGTGGAATCTTCACGGGGGCAAGAAAAAGTGGTTTGACAAGGAGCTTGAAGTGGAAGAGTTATGCAACGACTCTGCATGCCCCGATACCAGCCATCCGCATTTGATATACGAGACCCGAGTCACTTCCATGGGCACTGATATCTATTTGAAACAGATTCTAGATGACGGGACATCGTGAAACTGTTATTCCAGATATGGATCCCAAATATCCCAGAGACGCTGAAGGATCGTGTGCACGCTAGCCAGGCAGAAGCTCGTCTGACCGTGGGAACTCTGAGCTACGAGGAGATTTGCTGAGTTTCTCTGATCACATCATTATTCTTATTAGGGGTTGAGATTTCCGTCTCTTAATCTCGAGATCCCCGGATTACCAACGCGACGCCCACGCACGCGCAGCAGCAAGTGACCCAACAGCCGAGGTCCCCATGGTTCAAAGGAAGCAATTCAACCAGGATGAAACTATAGCACCCAACTGCAAGGTGTGTAGATAGTCAGTAGTATACTCATACCCAAGAAAAGGAACACTGAAACGGAGTTCATGGATTAGAGACGGGGTGAAAGGCTCCAGACTGGAACAGCTAGAAATCATATGACAACCATCAGATGACGGATTTGCTGTTGATTGAATCTGGGTTATGACTAATAGACAGCTTTCTCCTTGGGATAAGTGAGCCGGTGCGCCTATAAGCGAACTTTAATCAAGTATTTAGTCATGTTCATAGTGCTTTGGACTGTGTGGTGCTGCGTTGGTCCGCCAAATAGTGTCGCGGTGCGATATCGCATTCGGCTTATATGAGCTGGACCATTGGTCTTTATCTTATCACATTGCAAGAACAAGTTTGATTCGACGGAAGATCATTCTACCGTCGCGTCGTAGATGAAACCATGGTCACGGGCTCTATGGACAATCGTGAGCTCATATTCATGCGACATCTCCAGATCTTCTTTGAACACTACTTGAAAAACCTCGTGAAGAAGCGCTACAGGTCAATATGATCGATCACCAAGGCTACACTGTCGCGTCCTCTAGATTGGCCCTGAACAGTAATGTTTGAATTCCAAGTCTGATAACCCAGCTCCAGATAGCTAGTCGACAAATTTTGTGCCAATCGCTAGAATTTGGAGCCACTATCAATCTCAATCTCAAAGTTGCATTGAGATTCAATCTTCCGTCGACTCGAGTCCATTTTTTTTGAATTATTTAGAATTTATGGTGAAAAGAAGTGCCAGGGTCAGAGCGCCAGAGGGCTGCATGGGAGAATCTTCGACCTGAGGAAAGAAATGGCATCGCTAAAGTCTTAGGCCTGTTTTGCCGGGTCGATGTCCGCTCGAGGGAGTCCATCGCTTCTACCGACGGACCGTGGATCGTAGACGAGCGTGGTGATGCCAGCCTCTTGAAAGGTCCGTGCGACTTTCATGATACGGAAGACTCAGAGGGAAGTTGAACTGCGTGCGATTGAATTCCCTGAACTTAGCGAGAGCACAGAATAGTCCGGAGCACTTGACGCAGGAAGATAACTCACCCCTGGGGTCATTATGATGCCCGGCCCCTTTGCAGGTGCTGGATAAAGATACCCTGACAGCACCAAACCATCGATTGTCTTAAACTCCACGTCTTCTTGGCTCCCCATCTTTTCAAAAACAACTATAATAATAACAGTAAGAGGTAAATTCCAGTTGAAAAAAGATGTTCAGCTCCCAAAATAATACTGGCATGCCCGAATGGTGGATTCGGCGTCAGCATACGCACTGTGCCCAAGAAAAACTTCTTGATCCCACATCGGGATGATTATGATATGAGATGTTACTGCAATCGAACGGAAAAGTCGTATTCTAATTCCTAATTTTGTCCGCACCAGTGTGACTAAGCAATGAACTTACGCTGGACGATACCTGCTCCATTTAACACGTGAGTGTACGGTACAACTGTATAATAAGCTTATGTATCCTCGCGAGTGTCCGTAACCACAATCTAATAAACGCGGCTAATGTCTTGCCAAATAACGCTGAGACTTTATGGTTTCTTGTCTTCTTAAATGATGGCAGAGTCTTGGCAGCGTGGCTATGGTCCTGCTGGATTTGTTAACAAGCTAACACGTTTCACAGCAGCTTCGCGTTGCAAGTCTAAACTTGCTCCAGATTCCATTGAGATGAACTTTTTGCGAACTAGAATGCGACGTCTACATCATTTAGAAGTCGTCGATATAGGCAGCGGCTAAAGTTGGAAAGTTCCGCCATAAGGCTCCCGGGCGCCTTGATCCTAGCACTTCTCTTCTCGCCATAACGCCTCTCGATATTCATGGCGTGGTAAACAATCATTAGCGGACAAATCGTCAAGAGAACCTTTGCACACACCATTTTGTATAGCAAACGTGAGAAAGGCTTTGGCATCAAATAATGCCTTGCTTTGTCTTTGTATCGTGTACACATCTGGACGCATCCGACAAATCCACGGAGTTGAGCTATACATGACTAAACACGCACAGTCTGGACGTGGGCCTGGTATCACAGGGTTGTGTTGTGTCGTTACTTGGCGAGCCGGGATCATAAACCCAAATGCTCGTTATCAGGCTCTCCTCATTGGGCTGCGGTGGAGTTTCCCCCTTGGCACCTATAACCAGCCTAGGGCCTTGCTGACCGCGTCCCTAATGAATGATCTGATAATTCCATTTACGGCGACATGCCCGCCGGTTTCCGGAATGCCGCCTTTTACTTCTTCCGACACTTTGGCCTGCCGCCAAACGGCGTCTGTTCCCTTTCGTATTGTAATTACAGTACGTATGTAGGTTGGTGGCACAGGGTGACCGCTGCCTTCCCGACAACTGCCGCTACCGCCGCCGCTGCTACTGCTCACGTCAACAAGTAATCCGGACACTACCCGGATATCATCAATCCAGGTTCATCGTAATATATCTCAGTCCAGTGATACAGATAGACGATGGAGGAAGCTACACTCACCCCTTTGCCAGTGCAGGCGCCCGCAGCACCTCCCGCGGCCAAGGCGACGACCAACAATGAGGCAGTCATCAGTGATAGCTCGGGCAGCGATGGTTGGAAACCCACCAAACGGTTCCTCCTGGCGTTCATGTCGCTCCTCACCATTGTGGCCGCCGTGGCGATTGAGTCCACCAGTCTGCCCACCGCGCTGCCCATCATGAGTGCCGAGCTGGGCGGCACCGCTCTGGAAGCCTTCTGGTCTGGCACCGGATATCTTTTGGCTTCGACTATAATCCAGCCCACGGTCGCGTCAATGTCGCATGTCCTAGGCCGAAAGTTGGTATGTTTATAATATTCCTAGTCGCTCGAGAGTGTCGTGGCTCACACTAAACCGCCGATAGATGTTGTACATCAGCAGTGCTGGGTTCGCGGGCGGATCGCTCATTGCTGCACTGGCGCAGAATTTCAATGTCGTCCTTATTGGACGGACAGTTCAGGTAAGAAATGAATTGCCGCATATACTCTATCACCAACTAACAAGATGTGTTAGGGAGCAGGAGGTATGCCATTGGTCTATTCATAGTGGTGACAGTCTTCGAATGCTTACACTGTGTGTCTCAATAGGTGGAGGACTCATCGTACTTCTGGAGGTAAGTATTTCTCCCTTCTTCCTCGGCCATCGACTTTATGCATGGAAACCAAACTGACAATTTGTCAAGATTCTCATCTCCGATCTCGTTCCTCTCGAACATCGCGGTACATGGTTCAGTATCAACGCAGTCATGTGGGGCATTGGTACTGCCACTGGACCTCTGATCGGAGCTGGATTCGCTCAGGAAGTTGTAAGTATCACAAACGTAAATGTTTTCTGGCGGCGCTGATTTTTCGCAGACTTGGAGGTGGATCTTCTGGCTCAACCTGCCCATTGTTGGCCTCGGAATGATCTTTGTCACACTCTTCTTGAAGCAGGCTCAGGTACCGGGACAAATCGTTGAGAAACTCAAGAAGTTTGATTGGCTTGGCTCTGTGCTGTTTTCCGTCAGCTCTGCCAGCTTTTTGTTTGGTATCACTGCTGGAGGTGTTCGATTTGCATGGTATGATCAGTCTGCGATTATATGGTTACAATATACACGGTGTTGACAACAAGCAGGTTGTCATATCAGACTTTATTGCCATTGATTCTGGGTTTCCTTGGAATGCTCGGCTTCGTCTACTGGGAGTTTAACCTCGCCTCGGAGCCCATTGTTGACAAGCGCATCTTCCAGACCTGGACGGCGATCTCTACGTACATCCAAACCATGTTACACGGTCTCATCTTATGGGCAGCCATATATTTTCTTAGTAAGACAACATTTTCTCAAGGGCTGATCCGAGATCAGTCTCTATGGCGAACACTGAGCTTACCGATTACTGCAGCCTTGTACTATCAAGCCGTGAAATTGTACTCGCCAGTCACATCAGCAGTCGCCCTTCTCCCAGAAACGGTCGGCTTGTCCTTGTCGAGCATTGCAGTAGGATACTTCACTGGCAGATGGAAAAGCTACCGCTGGGCCTTGTGGGGAGGTTGGTCCCTCACAACCCTCGGTGCCGGTCTCTTGTACCTGCTTGGTACAGGCACCAATGTAACCCAGTGGGTTTTCTTGAACATACCTTTTGGTGTTGGCACTGGTATGCTCTTTACGGCACAAATCCTCGCAATCCAAGCCGGGACTGAGTACGTACATCCCTCTATCTCCTTCCGGCTCACGCCCTATGCTTTGTTTCTGGTTTCACCTATTTTAACTATTCTTAGACCCCACCTCAACGGTGCAGCCGCCGGCTGCTTTTCCTTCATCCGCATCTTTGGCCAGGCTCTTGGCGTCGCTCTCTCCGGGGTCATTTTCCAGAATTCTTTGAAACAAGAACTCCTCAGAATCGCGGGGTTCGCTTCGCTTGCCGATATGTACTCGCGCGATGCCACAGCAGCAGTCACTCTGATACAGGCCATGGAAGATGGTGACACCAAGACAAAGATGATCCAGGCATTCTCGGATGCCTTGAGTTCAATCTGGCTTTCTCTGTTGGCATTCTCGGCAGCTGGATTATTGCTAAGTCTGACGGTCAAGGGATATTCGATGACCCAAGAGCATGTCACGACCCAGCATCTGGTTCAGGACAAGGGGGGATTAGTGGATGAGGAAGCTGGCGTCCAAACAGCGGCGAGACCCGAGAAAAAAGCTTAATCATAGTTTAACTTCCCCCTCTATCACCACTTAGGGATGGGACCCCCATACTTCTGTTGCCTGATATATATGGCAGACCAATACCTTTGCAGATTCATTTAATTTGCGGCACGGCAGATCGCCGACGCACGCACTTCAATATGCAGGAATCATGGATGTGACAACCTTTGGTGTCGTTGTCTGTGAGTTTTACAGGAGATCAAACATTACATGGCGTTGAATCTTTTTTCAACCTGCATATCCATCAAGATAACCCTGGTTGCGTCCGCTCTGCATTGCTTCTTTGCAGTCGAACGATGAATGCGGCATATGTGCTTTATTTTCGGCTCCTAGAATCTGAATTCTGGACGACTCCCATGTCCAGTAGACAATGTTTGTGTGCAAAACTTCAGGTACGCACTATCAAGAGTGTCTTATTAGAAGCTCAGAAACCGTCTCCTCGCTTGGCCAACATTACTTTGGACATGCATGAGTATCGATCCACCTGGGCTGTCTTCCAACCATTTTTGCCTAAACTTTAAATTCTCCTGGTGAAAACTTACATCATTCCACCACCAAGTCGCTCCCCACGGAACAGACTAAGGACCGTTGGTGCCGACCTATCCATATCTTCGGTTTTCCCTCCCCCACGTATGTACACTAGTCGTGGCTCGTCGGCTTCCTATTCGAATCCATCAATGTTGGAGTTCCCTTTTCTATTCAGAGACAAGAATCATGACTAGGCTGAGGTGGTTGCGTCCATGATCCTGCAGTCTTGACACCAACACTAGGATCGGACACGTATTTTACAACGCCGTCTTGAAAGAAAGCCAAGCAAAGACGTCATCACTGGCACCCATGAAGCCCAGATTCCCCCACAATGGAACAGGTCTTTTTCTGTTCTGGATCATCGGACTTGCCTGTGATCATACTATGTAAAGAGCTGAACAGGGAGCGGTATCTCCAAAGCCAGCCATGGCAAAGTTTGTCCGGGCATCCAGCCCTTGTCGCCATCATTAGCAGATAACCTTAAACTCGCTCCTGTCTTAGATGTACTGCTAAATTACTACAAATGCGCAAGCAATCCTCCGGCATCTTACGCGGGGGAACCCTGGCCGATTAGAGTTGCGGCGGCATGTAGAGATACACCTACTGCGCGAGGGAAAGTGGAAAAGGAAAAAAGATTGATTAAGGGCCGATCTTATTCCCAGCCTTCTACGTCGTCGTTGAGACGCATGTTGGCGTTTGACCTGACTGACACAACATCTCCTGCAGCAGCGTCCCAGAATCAGCAGCGTTCAAAATCCGATGAGATCAGGGGTCAGCGAATCAATTTCCACGAGATCCTGAGACCGCATCGACCTTGGCGTTACAATACTGCGATAGAAGCTGCAAGGGCCTCAATTGAAGGCGTACCACAAGGTGAATCAAATCATAGCAGCTCTCACACCGTTCCACCGTTGCGCGGGAGGAGCAGCGAGGGGGTTTCGAGATGGGCTCTATTCAACAAGTCAGCCCATTGGACAGGGTGGTAAATTCGTGGCAGGAACATCATGACCGAAGTGAAAATTACGAACACAATCGTCCTAATGAGCCTCGGGGTCTTTCGTTTCAGCTCCCCGAAATAGACACGGATTTCATGTAAGACGCCACACAACGGATTTAGCCAAATACTTGCCCAAGACCTGACATATTTGCCTTTATAGCGACCCTGGCGATGCTGATGCAAAAGTCTATTGGCCATTACCAGATCAGTACGAGCGTGAACCAGAATCAGCGAATATGCCACCAGGGCACGAATACACGACTGGAATCAAGGCTGCTCAAGATGTCGTCACCATGGACCAGCACGGCAAAAAGTACACGCGCGCCTGGGAATCGCCTCAGATAAATGGATCTTCGGCAAATGGGAGGTTCATGTTTGGAAAGGAAACACCTAGGAGAGTAGGAGGTGGATGGGCAACATCGTCGAAAGGTAACTCGTCCTCTCCTATGCAGAGAGCTGTGCCAGGAATACTTCGGAGCAAGCACCTGGCTCGAGTCAAAGAGCCCGGCCTCGCGGGCTCATCCACGCCTCCGCCAATTTCGCGATCGAGAAGATACGTGTTTGAGAGCGACGATGAGCTCCCGAGCCCCATTAGTCCCGACAGCTTCGGTCCGAGACCACCCACGGCACCGCAGCCCTATACTCGTCATCATTTTGACGATGCAGCACGGGCAAGTCGCGAAATAGAAAGGCCGCGAACTGCGATACGATCTGACCGCCACGTCTCCCCTCGAATCTTGACGCCAAAGAGGCAGCACTCTGACCAGGGGGGCTCAAGTCGGACCCAATCGAGATCACCGACAACAGATGATTCCAGCAGACAAGTTGCAACGCCGGCACTTGACCGCGTACTCAAGTTTGAGGAGGCCGAAAAACACCAGACCACGGGCAAGGCGCCCAACTTTTCGCTGCGTCGTACAGGGCATTTGCGGCCCATCGTGACGGATCTGCCGCGAAGGGAAGAACAACCACAGTTGCAGCCTATAGTCACGGATATTCCACCAAGGACCGAGACGCACGATTTTTACGTCCGAAACGACCGCGACTCGGCCATTGGCATGTCGGATCAGTCGAGATCTACCCGGGACCAATATCCAGGCAGTCCCAGCCACGAGAACTCGATGCTCAGCCATAGCAGCTCTCGGAGAAGTGAAGGATCTACTCACCACCCCGCCGACTTTTTCAGCCAGGGTATATTTCAGGTTGTTATTCACAACCCAGCGACAGCCTATCAACTACAAAAGTTTTGTGAAACTCAATTCTGTGGCGAGAATGTTGAGTTTCTGCAAAAGGTAAGGATTTCGAGATGAAGATACGACGTATCCGTCCCGCGTAAGTACTGACTGCTTCGTGTCATTCGTAGGTCGAATTTTATCGGACCACCGTAAATAATCTCGCAGGAATTCTCGCAGATATTCACAAGACTTTTGTATCCAACCAGTCGCGAAAACAGGTCAATGTTCCGGGCGACCTCATGGAAGCCGCGCATAATGATATGAAGTCCTTGGTTACCAACACTCTACCATCCATGGAATCAATGTTTGACGGCATGCAGCAAAAGATTGAACAACTCCTCTTTGACGATATATACCCGCGATTCGTGCGCCACCAGGTGACCATGGAGACTGCCAGGTCTCTGACCACCGACCGCTACCGGTATCAAGGACTTGGGGATTGTTTCTGCTTGTCAAGTCCAGCGTGAGTATTCCCATGGAAGCACAACTCCTCCGTCCATGACCAACTGACACGCAAATGATAGACAAGCCGATAACCCCGTCGTCTACGCTTCGGATGGGTTTGTCAAGGTCACTGGCTACAGCCGGTCTGAAGTGATACCGCGAAATTGTCGGTTTCTTCAAGGTCCCCAGACAGACAGGACAGCAATCAAGCGCTTAAGAAGAGCCCTCAGGGAGGAAAGAGAGTCAGTGGAGCTGCTGCTCAACTACAAGAAAGACGGTACTCCATTCTGGAATCTCTTGTATATGGGTATGCCGCGATCATTCATCTCCCAAGATTATCCCACAAGCTTACGTGAAAAACCAGCTCCTCTGTGCGACGATAATGGCAATGTCGTCTTCTTCCTGGGCGGGCAGATCAACTGCTCGACCACGATCCATACCAACGTGGACGTCATGCGGGTGCTCTCGGTTCCCTGCGACACACCGAGCCCCGAGGAGTTGCGCTTACAGCAGGAAAGCATGCAGCAGCAACAGTTCCAAGCCAGTATGCAGCACCCCAAGCGCAGGTCATTTTTCAAGAATCTCATCAGCAATGCGCTGCCGACAAGCGCTCCCTCGACGCAACAGTCGCCGTCGTCATCGTCGCAGTCGCCGCAGCAGCACGAGCACGGGCAGCCAGGACAGTCGATGCCAACTGGAGGACCCTTGGGGTTTTCGCCCGCGCCCACGTCGGCTGGCTCTGAAGTTCAACAGCAGCAGCAACAATCACAACCAGGTCTGGAGGGCAGGGTGCTGGATCGTATGGGCGGGCGCGACCTCATGTCGCAGATGCAAGAGTTTTATAGCGCCTACTCCAAGTACATTGTGGTGCGGGCCGAGAACTTTAGCATCAAGTTCTACTCGGCCGAAATCGTCGAGTCGCTCGTGCCGACCAACACGGGGCCCAGCAACGAGCAGATGCTACCACCGGGCTCGATAGGCCCGGAGCGACCGCCGGCGCTGGCCCGACCGCCCGTGGTCGGACAGGACATCTTTCGCTACTTCAAGCAGCACCAGCCCGGGACCATTCAGGCCGATTTCAAGAGCTCGGTCAAAAAGGCCATCAAGTCGGGCATGCCCGCCAGCGCCGGGATTCGGCTGCAGACCCGCCGGAGTGCCGCGTACCGGGGTGACGAGAACTTCATGACGCACTGGACGCCGTTGAAGAATGAGCATGGCGCGGTGCACTGGGTCGTGGTCACCCTGGCTTCGCTGACGCCTGATATGCAGAATCCAATTTGATTTTATTACGTACCTGAACATGACGAAAAATGTTGGGGGACTGAGTGAGGAGAGAGACTTGGGTGACTGGTTGATAATCGTAAGGATGAATGGGTCGTGTGGTTGCGAGAAATGAGTCTACATATCATAGTCACTTGGATTGTTCTATAGAAGTTACGGGTCATGCATCTTTTAGATAGTAGAACAGCAAGGCGGACCGTTATAGGGCTAATCATTGTACATTACTTTTTGTATTCAAGGCAAAGAGATACACGCGAGACAATTATATACTGTTATGTAATTGATTTGAGAAATAGTGCATGAATGACAGCGCTCTTGAATATAGCTAGACTATGATCTTCAGGGTATCAAGGAAAAAGAACATTCTTCCGCTCAAACACCTTGTTCCAATTTCCGACGCTTGCCAGCCCTTTAGCATCAACTCGCTTTTCCCTCCTCAACCCAAACGGATCGGCCATGGCCGTCATGCTCTCCCACAGCGCCCGGTCCTCGGAACTCTCGTACGCGCACCCGTGGTCCTGGACGCACCCCACAAACGGCCTGACCTCGGGCTCGCACACGGTGCCCGCGGTCGGCAGCTCGCCCGTCTGAAAGTAGCGCCGGACGGCGCGGGCGGTGCACAGCGACGGGTTGGACGGCGAGCAGTGGCCCTGCGAGTCCTGGTGCAGCACCACGCTGCCCGGGAACAGCTCGGCCGCGACCCGCCGGGCGTTGCGCAGCGGCGTCACGGGGTCGTGCGTGTTGCCAATGACGAGCAGCGGGTGCGACGTGTTAGCCCACTCGGCCGTCTGGAAGGAGAAGGTCGGCCGCCAGGCCGGCTCGATGCCGTAGCCGAGACAGCCGAGCTTGTTGCGCGCCCAGCTGGGGCTCACCCAGCGGCTCTGCGACGTGAGCTCCTCGAGATACGCGCGGTAGCTGTCCTGGGTCACGTTGGGAGTGCCGCCGATATCCATGCAGCCAATGGCTTGATTGGGACCCAGCATGGAATTATACGGCGCTACGCAAGGTAGACGCGGCAAGCTTGGAATAATTTTATTCTTGTCGTCCTCAATGGTGCATCCCTTTGCTGGTTCTAGTCTTGCCTGTTTCTGCGACGCCAAGTCCGTCAGGGCCGGGGATGTCGTGTTGCGTTCTTCGAGCGCCACGACCATGTCCCAGAATGTCTCCGCCGTAGCAAAGGAAAAGTATATAGAACTCAGCATGTACAGATGCGCATCGCCATATGTAATAATCTCTGGCCCAGGATTCTTCTTGCCACTCTCGCTCGAGGGCCTAGGCAGGGTAATAGGGATTGGGCTTGTCTTAAGCGATAATAAAATTGACGTGAAGCGGGCTTCAATGGCCGCAGGCGACGGTTCCGTATAGAGCGGGCATTTGTCCGGCCCAGCCTGGAAACAATACTCGCTAAACTTGGCCACGACCTTGTCCGAGTCGAGCAGTTGGGTGAGCCAGGCCCCGGCATAGTGGTCCGCGGGGTCGACTACGCCGTCCAGGATCAGCCTGCCGACCTTGTCGGGATGGAGCGCGGCAAAGGTCGAGCCGATGAGCGTGCCGTAGCTCATGCCCCAGTACTGCAGCTTTTCCTCGCCGGAGTGATGAGCTGTCCGCTTTGTGACTTTATCTTGGACGCGATCGTCGATATGTTTCATGTCCGAGAGAAGCCTCCGGGCCTCGGCAGCTCTCCACTCGCCTTCCTTTTCGATAATCTCCACCATGTCTTCGACAACTTGCGCCGTGTTGGCATAACGGAGGATCCCATCATCGGTTTCATCCCTGGCGCAGCTCGCCCCCAAGGCAGACGCCTTGGCCCACTCGTAACCGATGATGCTCTCGCTCGACCACAAGAGACCATAGTCGAGATCTCCCAGCATCCACGCCTGCTGATTAAATCCGTCTGGGAAGCATCGCAGAGCTGGGGTCGTATTGTTTACGCCCCGCGGATCAAAGGACAATATGTCGAAATACTTGTGATTCTTTGCTGCTTCCCCGTGGCGGACCTCTCGAGTCAATGTCGCTGCATCGCCCGGAGCTTCGGGGCTATCCACAATGGTTTGAATGTGCCGCCCCTCTTTAAGAACTTGATATACCCCAGACTCTCCGGGTCCGCCGGGGTTGGTGACAATGGGACCGCCGTACCGAGGATCCGTGACCGGCACCTTGGCGGGCAACTTGATGACGGCAATGGCTGCACGCGGACCTATCGCTTGTTCTTCCGTCGAGGCGTTCCAGTTCAGTGGAACTGATAGACGGGCGCACTGAAAGGTGCCAAAGCACGGCGTATATTGAAGTGAGGGGCTCGGCTCGATATCGCCCCATCGAAACTCGTCGCGGTCGAGAGTCGTGTCGCCAGCATGCTGTTTTATTCCGAGGAAAGACGAGAGCCGTATAGCAAATGATGAATTGTTTATTGTCGGTTCGGACAGGAAGAGGGGGGAAAATGTCCAAAGGGCAAAGGCAGCAATGCAAACAATGTAGGGCCGGTACCGGCTTTGCAACGGCTGGTTCACCACACGTCTACGATCGTGTGTAACATCTTGTCTGCCTGAGAGATGAGTTTTAGTCCACGAGTCTTTGGGCGACGACATGGCGATTTATTCCACAAGCATAGCAGTGGTACGAATAAAAGACACAACAGAACAAAGGGGGAAAACAACAAAACACGTAAAAGGAGGGGAAACCCATTATCCAGCGACGGCTTGGTGATCCCGCGAATAGTCGGATCTGATAAGGCCCCAGGCTGCGGGACCCGTGTCCACTCGATCCGATCCTTCGGGACTTTGACCCCGCTGATCGTATCGAATCCCTGCACGTCAGTGTGTACTATGTAAGTACATTTCAAGCGCAATCATAGGTATGACACAGGGTGATGTTTTCATGATATATATAAAAACACAAGGGATACTCCAATCATATCTCTGTTAGGATGATATTCAAGAACTACTGATCGCCACGAAATCAAGGCTGGCTCCGGCCCGGTGCATTACCCTCTGCAAGGTTCTGCGTACTAGTCCCCTTCTTCATCTCCTCTCTCCACGTCTGCCTCTCCTGCTTGGACACGCCAGGGCCCTCATAGACACTACCATACAGGCCCGTGGCCCACGATGCACCATCCTTGGCCTTTTGACTCTCGGGTGTCTGGCTCTTGTTCTTCTTGGTGAACCGACGACGGTACCACTTGCCATACGCCAGCAGATAGTACAGACGGAAACACAAAAAGGCAAACTTGTCGTGCTCGAGGTCCTCGGGGTACTCGGCGCCGAGGTCGACGGCGGCGGCAATGCCCGACATGACGGCCACCTCGTGGGCGTTGACCAGGGTCCAGGACGCCGCGAAGCGCGTGTGGTTCTTGGCCTGCAGAAACATCATCCAGGGGATCACAAACAGGTAGTGCGTCCAGCCGTGGCAGAGCTGGTGCCACCAGTCGCGGCGGATGATCTTGTCCTCGCGAATCTCGGAGTCGGTCCACAGTGCTCGGTCCCGATCCTTGTTGAGGTAAATGGTCTGGAACACGTGCTGCTCAAAGGGTACGTTTTCGGGGAACTGGCTCTGGTAGTTGGTCGTGTCAAAGCACATTTCCAGCTTACTCTTGTCCTCGGAGTACATTTTGATGTAGTACATGGGCCGGAAGCTATTAACGCCAAAGTTGAGCCGTGAAGTCTGATCCACGCCATTGGCCTTGGAAACGGCCAAGTCCTCACGGTAAAAGTTCTCATAGTGCTTCTTCATGTAGTCGGCGTCATTGTGGGTGATGGTAATGTCGTCGCTGAATCGGGCCGAGCCCAGCACGCGCTTCTCCTTCCAGTTTGCCGTTCGGCCGAGGACCTTTTTAGCTGTATCCGCCAAGCAGCACAAGACAATCTCGTCATAGACCTCCTCGCCGGACGGGGCATCTAGGTCTCCACCAGTGGGATTGTGACCATCCTCGACAGGAGTTCTTGGTTTGAGTCTCACAATGACGCCGCGCTTGTTCCGCTGGACAATTTCCGTCAATTCAGTAGACAGGCGTACAGTGACACCTCTGGAAATGAGGTCCTTCTTCCAGGTGCCATAAAACTCTGAAAAGTTTGGAAAAACAATCATAGGCGGCTGATTGTGAACGATTGTGTTCTTGTCTGGTGGGTACCACATGCCATAGGTAGGTGATGTGCACAGCCGCTCAAACATGATGGCAGGAACTTCGGGCGTCGCATTTCCAGTGCCGAGAAAGAGAGCCGTCATGGGGAGAGCAATAGTATTGATAAAGTCCTCCGAAAACATGAACAGCTTAAAGACCAGGCGGAGCGGCATGAGAGCGAAAAAGAGCTCAAACCAGCGCATAATCTTGAGGAGCCTGTACAGGCGCTTGACTTCCTTCTGGTGCTTGACCAAGAGCTTTGTGGGAAACACATTTGACCAAAACGTCTCGTCCTTGCCAAACGACACGTGCAAGTTTACAGGATCGGCATGATATCCCTGCCTCGCAAACATGGTCGTGGTGTGGTGGAAAATGTACGAGCCGCCCTGGACGCCCTGGTTACACCACGATGCACCGTGGCGCTCCTTGTCGATGGGAATGGAGAATGCTTGGCCACCGCAGTAGTCGACGGCGTCAATCAGAGTCACGTCAAACTTCTCTGGATGCTGCGACAAGTGATAGGCAGTGGACATGCTACATTTCACGTCCTGTCAGCAAGCCAGATTCGGCTGCATTGCAAGCGCAACTTACCCAGCAGCGCCAGCGCCGACGACTAGTACACGCTTCCGTCCATCTGCAGACTTTCCATGTCCATTCTGCCCATTTTGGCCGTTTTGTCCGTTTAGAGCCATGTGTGAGGTACCTTGTCGTTCGATGTCGCGATCAAATGTATTATAAGCCATTGACTTGACTTGAAAGTACGCAAAATTAAAAACAGAGAGCGCCTTTCTACTTGTGAGCTCTCATCTATGTCTTCTTCATGGGCTACGAAAAAAAAAAAAACACATGTACACATAATTATAGTACTATCAACATTCCCAAAGGCTGGTCGTTGGGCTAGTGTTGATGACGGGTTGACTTAGACCCGTTACGTCATTGACTTCAAGCCCTAAATCGTAGCTTTTGGCGCATCTAGATGAGGGCCCATGTTTGATCATCGGCAACACAGAGAAACCACGTGTACGTTGGCCCAGAGCTGACAAGTCGGAAAAGAAGACTAAGATTAAACTACATGTAGCCTATGCAGTTTTGACCCTAGGTGCTGCAAAGAGATCTGAAATTCGATACGATCTTGCATTGTGCAGCTGATGTGGGCTGGTGTCCGCATTTCGAGATGCTCTAAGGGTGTATACAATGTGGGGACATTCTCTAGCCTCGACATTGGATCCATTACATACATGTGCGTACGTATCTATGTATGAATGCGCAATGGCTGCGGTCGTCCGCTTGCATGAATGACATTAGGTCGTCAATGAACGCCCGAGGACTCGTAAACATTTCCCCAGCCAGTCTCCGGAGATGATTATTGTATTATAGATAAGCACGTATATGTCTGCGTGGCATTTAGTTCTTAGTTATTATCAGCGCTCTTTCATGCCGCTGCAGTATGATTGTTGTACTGGGCTAGACGTGAAATGATCTGCCATAATAAAGTAAATACATTTGAAAGCAGGAGGTCGCTTGTAAACGGTAGTCTCTGGTAACGCCTCCTAGGCCCGGGGTATCGAAGTGTACATTTGTTAAAAGTAAGAGAGAGATTATGCGCCTCTATCGCCGCCCATTTACGTACCAGCCCATTCCCACGTGAATGCTCAGAATAAAAACGTCATATCGCTCAACGCCAGTATTATTATGTGACCCTTGCCACCAGAACCAGAACAGTGGGCAACCAGTCCATCACCAGTAGCTTCCAAGCACCCGGAAAAGACACCGAACGGGAGTTTCCAAATTATTACCGGGTGCTGGAATGACTCGAGGAGATAGCTTCATTTGATGGTTGGAAGAGTTCGAGAGCGTGTTTCAAGGTATATCATGTGAAATACACTTTGTCTCTCGCAAGGAACTCGGCGGCTTGGGACGTGAAAAGGTTACACAGGTTGGATTCCTTCCAGAATTTGCCTTGCAGCTTCAATTCGTCGTCTAAAGACACGACTCTCTGAACCTGCGCGTCCATTTTCTGAAAGACCCAATACACATTTGCCCAGGCTGGCAACCATTCGCTCAACAAGCATTTGATCTTCCTTTTCGAGCTGCCCGATGGGCTTTTCTCCAAGGTTGATGCTGTCACAAAGGCTCGCGGTCTCACTCATAAGAGTCTCGGAGATCTTTTTAAGCCCTTGGTCCGGTGACTCGCAAGGGGTCAGGACACCATTGGGCTTCGGACGGTTGACCAGCGGAAAACTTCTATTCGTACCAGCCGAACCCAGGGACGAGACCGAAGGACGATGCATGTACGTAGCTGCACTGCTCTGAGGCCTTTGTATCAGCGTGGCGCGAGGTTGACTCAGGTCAGTATGCGAAGTCGGCCTGCCCAAGTCCAAAGTGATTCGTTTGCTCTTGTTAGGGGTGTGCGAGCGAGTCCTCTTAGGCGCGGTGGTTCCCTGTGCTGGAAAGTACTCCATGCCCTCATTATTCTCTGCTCTAGTGATCCTGCCTTCGGTTGCCGTGAGGAAGGAGTCCACACTAGAGAGAGATGCATTGCTACCTCTCCGGCCGCGTTGATATTCGCCATTAATGGTAGGTCCACGAGTCGTCTCAACAGAGTCCTCTGAGCTAAAGCTGGCCCGGCTGCCGCGGCTGCGTGACCGTGTCAGTTTCCTCTGCGTCATGCTGCCCATGGCGCTGTGGAGGAAAAAGTGCTCATAATCAAATGCATCTTCACGATCCTCGTGAGAAACCTGGTGCTGTACAGTGTCATGGTACAGCGATTCGCCTCCTTCACTCATGACATCTTGGAAGTCGGTCTCGTCGTCTTCAATATCATCGTAGCCGTCTTCAGTTCGCATGTCTTCGAGATCGTCGTCAAGCGCTGCCCCTCCATTGGCCATTGCGGGATAGTCGGTGGTAATTGCTTCTGCGAATCTCGTTTCGGTGTCCTGATTCCAACCAGTTCGTGGCGACATGGCCTCCTGTTCAGAGTATATAGAGTCGCTGATGATGGACATGTTGTCGTTTATTTCTTGGTCCTCATCATCGCCGATATCACTCTCGTGCAGACTTTCTACTCCGTCGTTCCATTTGTTGATGTCTTTCATGCTCTTGCCACTTGGCAGCTCAATCTTGCTGTCCGAACTGAGCTCCCGTGCGTGAGTAAAAGGACTGGCAGAACGCAGGCTTTGTACACTACGTCGTTTCATGCTATCTGCCCGAGCTTGATCTCTCAAACTTGAAAGTCTACCCTTGAGCTCGGCCATGTGATCCTTGATGTCGCGCATTTGTGCAGTGGAAGCAGATCTCCGAAGTCCTTTGTCATCGTAAGAGCCAAAAGTTGGGTTAAGGAATGTATCCAGCTTGGCATCTTCGAGGCTATCTTGTGTAGGTACTGCCGGTCGGGAAGCATCATCCTCACCGAGCTGCTCTAGGGTGTACTTGCTGTCGTGCATGGAGACTTTGCTCTTTGTGTATGCTGCATTTCCATAGACTGAGTTGACGTGGTTTTCATTCGGAGGACTGTCTCTCTTAGATTCTGCACTCCGAAAAGAAGAACTTCGTAACAACTGCTGATAGGAGCCTGTCACACCAAGTGCGCTTGAAGATCTTGGCGATAGAGTGGCAGGTTTGAAGTCGTTTGTGTTTAGCAGGCCATTTTCGCTCGAGATTCGACTATGTCCAATGAAACCCCTTGGTGGCCCCGAGTCGTGGTGTCGTTGTAGAGCAGTTCCTGGCCTGGAATATGGTGTCGGAGATGCCTCTGAACCACCCGAATCCACTGACAATGACGATCGAGCTCGGTTCAGATTACCCTCCATATTCTTATTCCTTGCGTCAGTCCTGTATACGATCTTTGCCGAGCAGTCTTTGTCGGAAGACAGCAAAAAAGGGTTTGCTCTGAACTTACTGTCAATCTCCGCTTAGCATTGGCAAGAATTTGTTCTGCCCTGCGACTCAATGCCGTAGAGTAACGTTCCTCGGCCTCTCGAGCAGCTTCCTCCTCTGGCGTCCTCTCGTCGGCACCATCATAGAAGACATACGAGTCGGCAACACTCTCCTCATCATCACCCTGGAAGTTGCTATCCACAACACTGACGGAGTCGTCAAAGTCGGCAAAAGTTCCGGGGTTGTCGCCATTCGTAATCGTGCTGGTAGATTCCATGGACAAGCGTCTTTCCCGATCTCGTGACATGACCTTGGGCTCCGACTTCTTCGTTTTCTTCTTCTTGGCGGCCTCATAGGCGGGGTTGTTGGACGACTGCCTCACGCCAAAGCCAGCCTTGTAGTAACCATTGCGCGGCGACTTGACGGGTCCGCCAACTGTACTCTCGGCCTCTGTGACCTCGCCGATATCTGACAACATGGTGCCATTTCCATATATGATGGGCGTGGTGGGCGCGTGGGCCACATTCATGTTGTAGGCAGAGACGCCCAAGTCGAAGCCGCCGTTATTCCACATCATTAAAGGCGACCGCGACCGGTCGGGGGAGTCAGGAAGATGGTCGGGCAAGATCATGTCGGGATTCGTGAGCGTGGGCGAAGGTGGCTGTGGATAAGGAGGAATCGAGCCCGATGATCCTGTCTTCCCGTGCGACGGGGCATACATGGCCATTTGTGCGGCCATGGCTGGCTTGCAGCAAGTAAACTCGGCCCTGCTCTAAGAAAGAAAAAGCTACTTTTGTTGCCTGCTTGCCTGCCTGCTTGCCGAGGCCGGGTTCGTCTATCGCGCGTCCCAGCTGGATCTGTTGTGCGACTGCTTCCTGCGGGCGACCCCCCAGTCCCCAATTAAGAAACTCGGGTTCCTGTTTGGGATCAGAAGCGGCGCATCGGTTGTGTACTGCAACGTTTCCGATTGCCCGCTATCGTATGCAAGACAGCCAAGACACTTTTGACAGAATATACGGGAATAGTTGGAGCCGTCCCGCGCGCGGGAAGCGAATAGGTGTGTGTACGTGCGTGCGTAGGTGGTGTCGAGTGTCTGTCTGATCGCTGAGCGATTGGTGCGATTTCACCCAAGAGTATTCAAGGAAAGCAACCAAATGGCAGCTGCTGATTGTATGGTCGGTAGCCCACGCCCGGTCTTGCCCAAATGTATTACGCACTCTTTTTCTCTTTTAAGGTTGCGGCAGGCGCATGCAGTTGGCTGCGCAAACGCCCCAGGATGTGGAAGCAAGAAAAAAAGGTACGAAGGATAGAGCGAGTGAGAGCTTAGATCAAGGTAGCGCACCAGGGGTCGTTGAAAACAAAACGAGGATATCGTGCTGCGCGGAAGAGCACAGCATAATGCGATACAGAAAAAGCTCGTGTCGAGTAGATGTCGTCTGAAGTTTTGACAGTCTGGAATCTCTAGCCTGGTAGCAGCAAAAAAGAAAAGAAGAGGCAAGAAAGGATGGCAGTGTCTGTAATCTAGTAATCTGCCAGCACTGTGTGTACACGTACAGAATAATGTACCAGTGACTGGCTGCTCTCATGGATTGCCGCAACACTACAGCAGCTACCGGTCGATATGTGAGCAGAAGCCAGCCAACGAGCAAGCCAAAAACCTTCGTCCCCAGCTCATTGCAGTTCTCTCGAGGATAATAGGGAAATTCGCCCGGGGGGAAGAACGAGAGTCACGACATGATCCATGATTGGCGAAAGCGCAGTGAGAATCAATTGATCGACCCCCGCAGCCATGTCCAAATCCAATTATTACCTACCTTAGCACTGCGATCCCCTGAACCTTGCACGACCTGGACTGGTTCCTGGGCCTGCGGGGCCTCCTACTACGTACTACTGTGTACAGGGTGCTGATGAGGTGGGACAGGGTGTGCGCTGGGTGGACGAAAGGGTGGGCTCCATTCAACTTGCTGGAGTCAATTGGTCTTCTCTCAGTTCTGCTTCGGTGCTGCGATCTTTGCCTGGCAAAGCCTGGATTATCTTCTTGGTGTCTCGTTTTAGCTTCGCCTGAGAGGCAAGGCCTGGTACTACGCACTTGGCTTCCACTCCCGGCAGTTCTTAGCTGCCACAGCGGTGCGCCGCTCGACTGAAAAGGACCATTCATGAAGCATGATTCAGTCCTCCCGAGCTGCAGACTCACAGTTAGACGAGACTTGAACGGCTAGGGAAGAACATCTCGCACCGTCTAGTCGTCAAGGAACGGGAATGACTTGCCGGCTTATTACCACGACATCATACATGTTAATGTGGAAAGTCATGCGCAAGATCAACACTTATAGCCCTATAGCATACATCTTTTGATATGCTTACAAGATGGTGGGATGGCATACTGTGTAGTACAGGTACAAGGACGACAGGAGGACACATGAAAAAAGCGCCTCTTTCCAAGGCCCAGCCCAGCCGTTTGAAGAAACGAAGGAGAAGAAAAGGAAAAATGAAAATGGAGCTCTTGACAGAATCGGGTTGGTACCGTTCAAGACCATCAGCATCCTCCGAGATGAGCTACAACGTGAGCGTCCGAATGATCTGCACTTTAACACTCCCAAAAATTTCGCTCATCAATGTCATTCTACAGGACCCCATCAGGGGAGGTTTAGTTGGATTATCGTCTCCCTCTAATAAGGTAGCTCCCTTGCAGGCAAAAGGGTGTAGTGCTAGCAGCAAAGTGCTAGGCTCTAGCCGGGGGGCGGCCCTGCTGGATCCCTCTCCCTCCCTTGCCCCCCCAGTGCAAACCACATGTGCAGTGGCCGGGGCCGTCTTATTAGCAAGCTGCCAAGCAACAGGGATGCTCGTCCAAACTTTTCTCGAAAGTCTTGAACTTCGTCCCGGCGGGTCAGAGATCCAGATTACCGACTGATGAGAGTTGTTTGCTGCTCGTCTTTGCACCCCATGTAAACGGTAAATTGTCTTTATTTACAATTGAGTTTCGCAAATGTAGGTAGGTAGTATCGTCGAGTTATATATCCTGGAAAACCTTGAATGATTCCTTTACTTTGGAATCTGCAAGCCAGAAAACCTTCTGTACATTTGGTAAACGCTCGGGCCTGTAACCGACAGACAAGAGGCCTTGATGCATGGGGACTTCTGCAGCTCGAAATTGATACGGTCGGGAATGCGACGATTGCTAAATTGTACCCCCAGTCTCCCTCTCCATTTCTGCGATATGGGGCAGATTGCGACTAAAATGCCACGAGTAGAAGAATACGTAGATAATATCCGGCATTTTTAATAGACCTTCACTAGAGAATACCAGCCCACATCCGTACCCTCCCCCTTACGCATCCGTACCCTCCCTGGTCGGTTTTTACATACAAAAAACGGCCGTGCACTGCACCAGCCGCAGCCCCGCCACACTGTACTAGAGCGAAAGCCACGCAAAAAGATACATGTCCTCAAAACACCATTAATCCAAGATTTCTCAACCAAGAAAAATAGGAAAAATGCGCAGATGCATTAGGATTAGTTATTAGGGCTTAGTTATTAGTATTAGGGTTTTTAGGGTTAGCCGGGAGTTCGAGGGGCGGTGTGAGCCCTTCGCTATCTGGTATATGGTAATCTGCTTATGTGCGTGTGTACTTGTAGAAGGGGGAGTGTACGGATGCGTAAGGGGGAGGGTACGGATGTGGGCTGGAGAATACAGGGACCAGCCTTATGTATAGTGGTATCATCTCACTTGCATAATCGCTTCTGGATACGATATCTGTGTGTCATATTGAGCAATTAAATTCCATCAAAGCGAAAATCGCTATATCAAGTTTCACTCCACCACTGTGGGTAAGATCAGATCCCTGCCCACAAACTGCCAAGTGAGCCAAAAATTTTGAGCCGCTGCCCTGTTTGCAACTTCAATCTTTCATCACCACAGCACTCGCCGCGCGGAGCCAAGATGACACGCCCGCAAGCGCCGGTCAATGTGAGATGTCGGTTATCGTGAGGGACCTTGATCGCGGTATGATCCGTTGCATCGTAACAGCCTTGAGGTCCAAAGCACGTCGACGCACGTTGAGCACGGAACAAAGTTGTTCTCGTTGCATCTGATATTAGTACGTTGCCGACAGCCTTGAATGACAAGTCGCAATGGCTTAGCAGTTCGATTACAGGTGAGTCGATTTTCTTGATTCGTTTCCCTGGTTTGCTTCTATATGATGTTTAACTTCAAGAATTCTGCAATTCTGAAAAGACCCTTCGGGGTCGAAACGGTGGATAACCTCTTGACCTGATTTATGAGCAATTTCATTCATTTATTCTACTATTCATGTACGATAAGGAATCCAACTGCTGACAGACCATGACCAGTGCAACTTTCCTGAACCCCATCCTCTTAGCCGTCCATAGGAATAAAATCAGGGTAGCGTGCTCCCACAATATCAATCTTCTTCAAAATAGCGTCCAGCTCCGAGTATTCCTCATCCGTGATCTCAACCAGCGTAGAGTTCTCATGCACCCTAGAAGCCTTGGTGGCTCCAGGAATGGGGATGGCCACGACGCCAGCTTTCGCGCCGGCCGCCCGGATCCAGTTGATGGAAAGCTGCGCGGGGGTGACGCTCTTTTTGGCGGCAATGGTCTCAATGTGCTTGACGAGCTCGAGGTTGAGGGGAAACACATCAGGCTGGTACCGAGGATAGATGCGCAGGTTCTCAGGAATCTCCTCGACCGTCTTGATCTGTCCACTCAGGATGCCGCGACCTAGGGGTGAGTAGGCGACAATGGGAATGTCGAGCTCCTTGGCAGCTGCCACGAGACCGTTTTGCAGGGGGTCTGTAGAGAATCTAGAGCATAATGTTAAAAACGAAATCATTTTGTCGTTCTTTCAAATTTGTCTACTCACAGTGAAAATTCAATCTCGACCGCAGCCAGTTTGGTGATCTTGGCTGCCTCGCGCAACGTCGAGGCCTTGACCTCGGAAATGCCAATGCCGCCAATCTTTCCAGTCTGGACGTACTCCTTGTTCATGACGTCAAACGTGACCTCGAGCGGCGTCTTGTGGTCGCGGCGGGCACACTCGAAAATGTCAATCTTCTTGCGGCCCTTGAGCAGCGTGATGCAGTTGTCAATAGAGCGCCGGATCCCCTCGGGCGACCCGTCCGGGCCGCCTCCGTGGCTGCCCGCTGCTCCCTTGACCGAGAGCACGACTCGGTCGGCATCCTCGGGATACTTTGCAAAGTAGCGCTCCAGCAGATGCATCGAGTTGTACTCGGCTGTGCCGTAGAATTCGCCTGCATTCCAAAAATTGAGGCCATCTTCTAGAGCAGCGCGCATAGTCTCGATAGCCTCATCCGTTGGGGTTGGCTCTGCGCGCCATGTGAAGCCTATGTGGTTCAAGCCGCTCAGTAAGTCACTTTTATGTGAAAGTTAAAGTTGAAATACTTACCCATAAGGCCATAGCCGATAGGGCCAATTTCTTTTCCAACAAGTTGAGGCATATCGTCACGTTTGTTGATAATTTTCAGGCGGGGAAATGGTGTTGCGAATGAAGTGTTTGTGAGGGGCAGATGTCGTGATGTCAGTTTGATAGCAATAACCGGGGTTAATAAAGCTCAGTAGTGAATTTGAGTTCTATCTTGTTCTGTTGTTATCGGAGCACCTCCAACTAGGCCTGGACAATGCCCTCATATATAGCTCTAGATCTATACGTAGTCCCACGCCTCCATTTTCAAATATCGACCACGGCCCATCGACGGAGATAATCCCAGATATCCACTATCAATGCCATTAAGTCACGATTATCTTCGTGATGTTCATATTGCGCAGTCCACGAAGCAGGACTCATGTCGTCAAATTGCCAAGATAACCTCTGAACTGCGACGGACCTTAAGCCCGGCATTGACGTCTGCGGAGCTCATCGACCAATCTCAGCTTGCGTTAAGGTATACGCTACCCGTAGCCAGTATTTTCTCACTGTCGGCTTTAGAATCTTCAAGTTTGCAAATCCGATCCCTGTCAGATCAGTGTTATACTGATCCTTCACATTATTTCCATTTTTGCTTCACTGCTTCTAACCTCTATCCAGAAACACAACATGATGTATTCCACTTTCTGTAAATGTCCTTATTAAAACAATTCTAATTTTTTTCCCCTTAAACATATGAAATCCCGACAATTGCAAAAGAAATTCGATATTTACGCATGGTGCCTCTGGTGCGCTAAGCCACGGGAACCGTTTGACCCTCGGGAGCGCCCAAAATCTGCGGACTTTAGGCGGCCGATAAAATGGCGTGGACAACACCCGCCCGGCTTAGTCAACCACAAGCCCAAAAGACATGACGGAGTTGTTATTGATCTATACTCCGTGTCCGACTTGATTGACTTATTTCATGTTTGGTCATGTTTTCTTTCCTATTTCCGAGAAAGCATTATATCCTTTCCCTATGTAAGGAATTCAGGAGTCCCGATTTGAAAGAATTGCCCGCAAGACTGATGCGGTTAGCAACATATTTACAACGTCATCTACGCGCTGCTGTGTCACGCAAGTAACCTGTTCATGGATGATTTTTTGATCCTTGAGCATCAACTCTAAGAATATTACACTGGTGCATTGAGATCTTTGTTTTAATGGGCCCTGAAGAGTAATGTTCAACCAATATTTTTCCTGCTGGCTGGAATCAATCATATATGTTGAAGATTCTATGCATCTACAAGGATGAATGCATCTAGGCGACAGTCCCGCTTCCTGCTAGCCAGTAAGAAGTCTGATTGATATGCTCCACCATCATGATCTCAACCCTGCAACTTTGATACCTGGTACGAATCCATTTATTTCCTGGATACCAGTATCACTAAAACACCTTTCTGGTGAGGCTGCATTGCCAACCGCGAGACGATAGCATGGAGTCGCACGATGGGGGCTCGGATGCCCTCCACGCAACGGTCCAGTAGGTGAGCCTGGCTGGTTTTCATCGATCAATAATCCTCTCACAAAATACTTGCTCAAGCTTTGTACATTTTGTAATGTAGCAATATCTACTTTGACTAACACAGAATGCACTCTGCAGTCCACTCAAGATATTCGATCTTGCAAAATCCCAAGGACGCTATCTATACGCCTGTGCACCTATGGTGCGGTATAGCAAGGTTCGACTCAAATTCATCTATCCTCCTCTCATTGTCCATCTATCACCGCAGAGGACTAACAATTACATTATAGCTTGCCTTTCGCCAAACAGTCCAGCACTATGGCACCGACTTGTGCTGGTCGCCCATGATTCTGGCCAAGGAGTTCAACCGGAACCAATTTGCACGGGACAGCGACCTGACCGTGTCCACGAGGGGGCCGCAACCACACACAATTGTGCAGTTCGGATCCAACTCGCCGCTGGAGCTCTCGCGGGCCGCGAGTCTGGCGGTCCCGTTTGCCGGCGGCGTGGACCTCAACTGCGGATGCCCGCAGTCGTGGGCGTGCGCCGAGACGCTGGGCGCGGCGCTCATGGAACGCCGCGAGCTGGTCCGCGACATGGTGGTCGAGACGCGGGCGCGGCTGCGGCGCGACGGCTGGGCCGTGGACCGCGACGCCTCGGTCGACGACCCGCGGGGCCGCAGCGTCAGCGTCAAGATTCGTGTGCACAAGGACCTCCGCCGCACCATGGATTTCATCACCACGGTGCTGGGTGACACTAGCAGCGGCGGCGGCAATAACCGCAATATTGACTGGCTGACCATTCACCCGCGCACGCGGAGCACACCGTCGAGGACACCAATCAGCGTTGAGGCTCTCGAGATCTTGACGGAAAAGTATGGTCGTGATGTACCCATTCTGGTCAGCGGCGACGTCTTTACCCTCAGCACCCTTCCCTACACATCCCATCTCGTCGATCCGGCCCCGACTTTTACCTCGACGGCGCACGTCTCCGAGGCTGGCGAGATGCACAAACAAGACCAACAGCAGACGAGAACAAAGCCAAACTTGCCCAACTTACGCGGCCTCATGTCGGCGCGCGCCTTGCTGGCGAACCCGGCCCTTTTCGCAGGATATGAGACGTGCCCCTGGGAGGCCGTCGATGTGTTTCTGGAAAAGGTGGCCAAGGCACCACTGCCGCTCAAGCTGGCTGTCCACCACCTAGGCGAAATGACAGGGCCCGGATATGGACCCGATAAAAAGGCACTGCTAGGCAAGAAGGAAAGAATAAAGCTGGTGGAATGCTCCAACTGGATCGATGTTTTAGATACACTCGAGGAGTTGCGACGGAGCAAAGGATGATTGTAACCCAAGGAAGGAGGAAAAAGAAAGAAATACAAAATGGACATGAAGCAAGACCAGGTTCAGTTGCGTAGTGCCATCAACAAAGAAGAACCTAGATGGTCCATTAAATGAAGGTATAACGAGCAGCTGCAGAAGCTTTCGACAAGATGGAACCTTGCCGCCTATAGCTTTTAAATCATTTTTTTACAAAGAGTATTATTGACATACAAACAGGGTGATCTATCTCGTAAGGATTCTTTCGTATGCATCAAACCACCTCGATGCTTGAAAACCTAACCTGGAATTGCGCGACTGCAAATGATCTCCTTCCAATTGGTATCTTGCGCTGAACCCCGTGTACCGAACGAGAACTAGCCTGTACTGTGAAAATGCTAGATTGGAAAGACCCCTAGAACTCCAATCCGTGCCATGATGCCATTGAGGCACTCTTGGACCGAAGCTTCTTGCCTCAACGCCGGTGAATCATTTCCAACTCCCCTAGGTGAATACATGAATGCTGATCAAGTGGTACGAGCCCTTGCTCGCCCAGTCATCAACAATTATTTCGTCTGGCCTTTCTTTGGCATATATTGCCATGAAGCACCATAATTTCCCGACAGTAACTTTGGAGCGTTTGTCGTTGTCTGATTATTTACACACACCGGTATGTGTACTGATGCTGATGTGTTATGAGATATGCTTTATCTTTGGGAATCCTATTTCGATCGAATTTCGTATGGTAGTCATATGAATCTCGACTCTGGCGAAACACCCAATAACCCGAGAGACCTTGCCACATCCTCAAGCAAGAACGGTGAATCCTCATCTGAGCTGGCTCGAGACATGGCTTTGCTCGAGGACGATGATGATGGTTTCTCCTCCGAGCTCTACTCTTCAACTTCACCCTCATCGTCACTGCTCATGCGCTGTCGCTTCTGTTCCTGTGACTCGGACAGTTGCGAATCAACCTCACGGCGTTTCCTGGGACTTCCTGGATCATTGCCATTTGGAGGATGCACAGCTGGGATGTTTGCGGCTTCTTTCAAAGCTGCATCAGAGTCGCCAGGGGCTTGAGAAGCCTCCTCAACGGCGGCAGAGACAGCGTCACGACTTTCGCTACCGTTGGGTCGGACTTTTGGACTTTGCGTGTCGCGATCTGTAAGTGGCGTAGGATTGGTGCTCGAGCCCTCACCTGCCTTACGAGAGTGCTCCAGCTTGAACTCGGGGCTGCCTTGGTATGGGTTTTCCTTGTCGGGCTTCTTCAGAGGATTTTCCACGTAGAACGCGCGGAGGACTTCAACGGCTTGGCAAATCTTTTCCTCATTGGCATTCAAATGAGTCCACCAGGTCTTGCCGTTGATGTCATCAATTTGCTCCTTGGCATAAATGCTGCTAAAGTATATGCTAGCAATAGCAATGCTGCGAGCGTCCATAAGAAGTGGGAGGAGGGTGAGGCAAGAGTCGTTCAAGAAGGCCCAAGCAGCATGCCTCAGGCTCTTGTTGTGAATACAGCCAATGGCTTCCAGGGCCTTGTAAAGCTGAGAGTAGGGAGCATCCACCATCAGGTCAAAGGTCAGCTTCTCGAGCATTATTTCCTCGTTGTGCAGGATGCTATCCCGCCAACGCCAGTACTCTTTTGATTGCTCGTCAATAATCAACTTGGCGTTCTTTTGGGCGACCCGGGCGACGGCGATGATGATATCTTTCGTTTTGCGGCAGTTCTCCTCGGTCTTGTTTGCTAGAAACAGGGCAGTTGCCGCAATGTTCTGGGAGCAGTCATTTCGTTAGTTGTATGTGAGATGAGGATAGCAACGCATAGCAACTCACATAGTGATGGATGCCGCCCCTCTCCTCGGCCATGCTCATACGCATGTAAAATCGATGAAAGTATACGCCTGCGACATATAATGTAGTCTGAGGAAGTTGGAGAAGAGTGCCTGCTTGGTAGATAAAGTTGACACCCTTGGCTCGTCGAAGTCTCTCCTCGGCCGGTTGCATGCCCTCTAGGATGCTCGGAGCGCTCAGGACCTCATCCTCGGTGAAGAACCACTGTTTCTCAGCCATCTTGGCCGGATCCAACGTGGTGCGCGGTGTTGACTGGCCGCCAGTACGCTGCGACGAGCTTTGGCGCGGCGAGGAAGTCCGAGTAGAGTATGGTACTTGGGTGGGAGGCGATGGAGCAGCCGGTGGTACGTCGCGTCGCTTTGCGGGTGACTTGGACGGGCGGCTGGAATGGGAGCTGGTGTTCACAGGTCTCGCCGGCGGCTGGTAGGACTCACGTCCCGGCGGTCGGTAGCGATCAATACTAGCCATGGTCTTGCGGGCGCCGGGTGTTTCTGAACTGGTCGTCGACGACTCAGGAGCGACCAAATACGTTGAGCGTGTGAGGGCGGTTGGCGGCTCGTGTCTCAGCTCGCGCGAGCTTGAGCGTCATTGGTGTGCTGGAGTATTCCGTATTGGTGCACAAGGCCAAGTGCAAGGGCAAAGGATATGTAGATGCCAGACTGAGCGAGGGGCTGTCTGGGTTAAAAACACCAAAAATCGAACCAATCTTTTTATCCTAGGGCCATCCTCTGCGTTGACGACGTCGTGCTGTCAATGGACCCTTCATCCCAGTGGGTCTTTCTTCGCCTCTCATTCTTTCCCATCGGGTCGGCGCCAGTCCAGTGTGGCGGCAGGCGGGCAGCAACCAACCGCGATTGATGGGGTCCGTGCTCGCTTATCGGACTGAAAGTGGGGCACTCAGAACTGGCACTATGTATTGTACCTACCTAAGGTTAGGCACTATGCAGCTAACCTAGGAGATTGAATCCTCTGAAGACTGCATAGGTAACATATCAGCACCTAGGCAGCCAGGCCATGCATGTATGCTGCTCATAGTCTTTTTGGAGTTTTTATTACGATCTTGGGTATCTAAACTTTTCTCCTCGGACAGAGTAATCAGAGCGCCTCACCGTCGTTACGACCCCATAATTTGACTGTGCGATCATGTCCGCCACTCACAATCCATCTGGCGTCTCGACTTATATCCACACTGGCAACTGGGCCAGTGTGCCCATCGAGCGTTGAGATGAGTGACCAATCGTCTGCAGAGAATACCTTGACCTGTTTGTCAAATCCTGCCGTCACAAAAATGGTGCTCGTCTTCTTTGGCTGGCGCACGCCCTTCTCGTCCAGCCCTGGCGAGACTGTACCCAACAGAGGATCGTCTAGGCCTTTATACCATCTGAGATCTGCCACTGCGCTTGTGTGCGCTCCAATGCCGCCAGTCCTTGCTACTTTTCTCACATCCCAGCATTTGACCCATCCATCCGCCGAACCTGTTAGCAGTCGATGTCCATCAGAACTCCAGTCGAGGCCGTAGATTGGCTTGCTGTGTCCATCTAGATGTCCATCCAGGATCATAATGGTCCTTCCGGTGCGCAGATCCCACACTCGACCAATATTGTCCTGGCCCGCGCTTGCTAGTAATGAGCCGTCGGTATTGAAGCTCACAGCAAAGACGCCCTTGGCGTGGCCTTCTTGAAGCAGCAGCTCTTGGGCCGTCTGCACGTCCCAAAGCCTCCACGTCGTATCTTCGCTTGCGCTGGCCAGGTACCGACCTGAAGGGTGGAACTCTACTCTGCAAACGCGTTGGGCATGTCCTTGTAGCGTTGCTAATGGTGTATCTTTCGTCAGGCTCCAAAGGTTGACCTGTCCTTCCGCGCCTCCTGAGGCTAGGTTGACCGATTCTTGACTGACACCTGCCTCTGGTAAAGTTGCGCCTGGAAACCAGCTTAGTCCTCCAATCTTATTTGTATGGCCCCGTAGTGTGGCCTTTTCCTCCATGCTAGGGATCTCGATGAGCTTGATACCGCCGCCCCAATTGCCGGCTGCAACCAAGTTTCCATTTGGTGCTATTCGTGTCATACTGACGTGCCTGTCGCCGGCTGTCTGACTTCCTTGTAACTCAAAGGGCTTTATGCGCTCCCTGATTTCTTTTCTGAATTTGACGTGCGTGCGCAGTTGAATTGTGCTGTCCTCTTTTAAGCTTTCTAGACGCTTCTTTGAGCGCGGAAGCGAGAACCTCGCAATGTCTTGTCTGGCGCGCAGCAGCTCATCGCTGCCTTGTGTGTAGAACTCTTCCTCTTGGTCCTCGGCATCGTCCTCGTCTTCGGGCACATCCTCCATATCCACATCGGCGCTCTCGCCGGCTGCGGCAGCCTTTTCCACTTGCACCGTCATGAGCTCGCGTAATCTGTCTCGTCGGTCCGCAGGGCCCTCGCCAAAGAGTGTGACAGGCTCACCCATCTCACGCAGCTTGGCCCGGACACGTCCATCGTCGGTTGGGACCGCTATGCTCGCGGCCAAACGCTTGCGGTCAAACTGAGAGAGGATGGCCGAGGCCTTTTCCGGCGCGATGCCGGCGGTCGCCGTGGGCAGGTCGTAGTCATGGTCGGTAGGAAGCTCGTCCAGGCTGATGCCCCGGCTCTAGTGAAAAGTTAGTGGCAGTTCATCGGTAGAAAAAGACATGGTAATGGAAATTCACTGACTTCTTGGGCGTCTTCGACATACGCTTGCCGCGACGGGTGCATCATCTTGGCGGTGCGTAAAAGAAAAGAGTGATGGAGCGAAGTGAAAGTACGAAGCTTGGGATCGTTCTTGAAAGCCAAATGGGTGACATGAAAGCTCAGCGGGTGAACAGCACGAGCTACCAAATTTTAGTGGGTCAACTCAAGTACCCGCGTACCTGGTATACATTCAATGTTGTCATAGCCCAAGTACTGTTAGAGGAACATTCATGTATCAGAAGCATAAATTACAACATTGGTCACATTCAGATTTCAATTAAATCATCCTCTGACAGCCTGTCATCCGATTCATATTATTTTGCTAATATCCTCCCCAAGCTGCTCTTGGAATCAATCATTAGATTGTATTGCTTCTAAAGCACACTGTGCTAATCCGCAAATCATCAACAATTAGTCTCGTACCAAGGAATCGAGGGAATACGTTCATTCGATAAAGTGTTCCAGTTCAAGCGAATTATAGATTTAGCCACACCAATAGTTACAATGACACCAGCGTCACAGTGATGGATTTGGATGATGGTGAACAAATTGACTACCTTGTAACTTCTATAGAAAGCACAAATAAACACACAACCTAGGCGGAATCACATATAATAACGAATTTAGACTTTGAAAATAAGCCTCTCGACGTTGTCTATGCAGCATCAAAACAAGGACTACTACAACACTTGCGCGGAACTGCGTGGATACATGTTGACATCTCGCGTAATATAACGTGGACAAAAGTACGAGATACCTCATTCAATCAAAAACTCTAACCTAGGTAAGTATATGAAGTTGGAGCTTGGCGGGACTTGGCCGATGGATACTTTTACTCAAAGATCTCGAACCCAACCAAGTCAGGCGCCGGGTTGCTTCCTACAGCTGCAAACACAACCTCATTCTGGTCACCCGCAGCGAAGCCATCGACCTCGATCAGCAGACGTCCCGTGTCAGACCAGTCACCTCCGCTGATGGGGAAGGCCCATCTCTTTGCTTGCTCGCCGTTGACGCTAACAGTCAGGTTCCTCGTGTTGTCACCCCAGTCCCACGCGGTAGCCAGCGCAATGTCGTAATTGATAAAGTCGACACCAAGCAACTTTGTACCCGCCGTCGCGGCCGAGACGGAAGAGATGGTCAGGGAGCTGGATGTCGCTGGGTATAGGTCGCCCACCTTTTGTCCGGTAGGCAGGCAGGTATTGGCTGAGCATGTCACCACGGCGGCTTGGCCGGCCAAGGCACCAGAGACAGCGCTGTAGTATCCTGCAGCCTTGGGGGTCGAGCTCGAAGAGGCAATGTTGGAAAGGACCAAGATCTTGAGCTCGTGACCTGCCAAGTTGAATGTCTGAGATCCCGACAAGGTACCCAAGTCTGAGGCAGCCCAGACATCTCGTACATCCGCGGAGGCTACTCCAAGAATAGAGGCCAGGTCGACACTGATTGTTTGAGAGTTGTTTCGCCAGTTTGAAATACCGAGTACGATTCGAAAATCTGACAGATTTCCTGCCCATAAATCATACTCCTCCTCGGTGTATCGCCTTGTCAACTTGACGGGCTCACCCAACGAGTCTTGATTGATGGCAATAACTTCCGCATTGGAAAGAATATCCAAAGAATCTTGTGGCGTGATGGAAGTGTCGAGAGCGGCACCAATTCCCAGAGGAGACTTGTTGATAGCCCATAAGCCAAAGTGGAAGCGCTCTTCCTCGAGAGATAGAGCCTTGAGGCCAACACTGAATGCTTGTTAGCTCTATGTGCCTTGCAAGAATACTCTAATCCCATTGTGTCACTTACATCAACATGTCCATGTCGGCATATGCACCGACAGTGGTGTACTTGTAGTACGGGACCACCTCGTTGGTAATTCGCCATATGCTTCGCCACGCGTTGTATATATCATTGCTGATTCTCCAAGAGTTGCCAATGGCAGAGGCCCTTTTATGATTTGTCAGTCTCTGCCACCACATTTTCACTGAAATATCAATATTCCGTAGGCAAGAATCACTTACCAGGCGCCAACGTCCTGACCTACTCCCCACTGGCAAACGAAGTAGTTGATATCGCGATCGACAGCATCTAGGGCAGCTGCCATTGTCTGGAATCGGGCAGGAGAACCCGACTCTGCCGAGTCGTAATCTGCCATTGTAACATTGTTGACTGGGTAGCAGTTGTCATATCTTGCAAAAACTCAACAACTTCTCAGGCGTACATCTGATAGAAAATGAGTGACTTACTTCAGTGAATCGCCACCCCAGTCAGCAAAAGTCTGTGCATCAATCTCCTCATAGCCTGACTTATATTAGCTGGAATATTATTCTATACTTGCGAAATTTCGAGTTGGGTGCCATACCCAGACTGGCTGGAAGGTCAGTGCTACCGCACTGCAAGTAGCCTCCGCCCGAATACAATCCGTACTTGAGTCCAAGGCCGTGAATGAACTCGCCCAGCGCCACGGGGCCTGAAGGGAATAAGTCCTCATTAAACTGTATTCTGCCCTCGGAATCGCGGTCTGGAGCGGGCCACCCGCAGTCGGTGGTGACATAGACGTACCCAAGAGCAGCGAGACCTAGATCAACGAGCCCTTGCGCATTGGTGTGAATAATCTCCTCGGTGGGACTGCATCCGTAGTAGTTGTAGCTGTTCCAGCCCATGGGCGGAGTCGATGTCCTGGCATTGACTGCACTGGCTGTCGGCAGCCATGCCATCGCCGCGGTGGTGAGCCATGCGATCCTTTCTGATCTTGAGGGCGTCATTTTCAAAATCGGTATCCGTGCTCGAGATGGCCTAGGAAAAGGTCACCACGATAGACTCACGGGGACAAGACTTATATATGCCATCGCAATTCCGGTGGACTGACTCTCCTAACACATGCAAGAAAGCTCATCTCGGACAGTTACGTAGCATTGCACCCCACAAGACTCCAAGTTTGAGCAGAAGTTACTCGCACAAGCCGGCTCCAGGTTTCTCCATCCAGTCGCGAGAGGTCTTAATGTATGTACTAATACAGGCACGAGGAAAGGGTGGAATAGTAGCTATGCGGGGAAACCTGGTCTGTATAGTTTGTAACCCCACAGGATCTCTCACTTCGGTATGAAAGCCGACCCGAACCTCGTATACAGCGGCCAAACTAAGCGGGCCTATCAGGTACGACTTTTGACGGATAGTGGTATGCTGACCCCCAATGACGCGTCCATTCATAGCCGCCAGACGAAATTGACCCGATCTTTATAACACGGGGCGGCTGTTGCAAAGAGACGGGTCTTTTTTATTTAATTTACCTTTGTTGTTAGATTAGACGTAGCGACTAGAGATGGGGATAAAATGAATAATCAGATTTATGACATTTCCACTCTTCTCTCCATGTCAGTGATACTGGAGTAAGAGTTACAAATCACCAGTATTCTCTGTTATACGTTCTTGCCTATCCCAAGCAACATCTTGATCACACCACATTTCAAGGCTCTTCTTCATCTGTTGCAAATAGAACGGATACAGAAATTGCACCGGTCGTCTGAAACTTGTATTTTGAGTTGTGTAATATAATTTTTGCACTTTCTCGGACTAGTAATGCCAACCAATCATGAGTGAATAATAATCCAACCCCATGTATTCATTGTGCTATTATATACTTTACACATCTATGTTTATTGTACAGACCCTTCATATCTACTTTAAGCGTTCCAATAAATGATATATCCCTTCATGTGGTCTCTATTTGACGCGCTGCATCAAAGTTCCACGCGCCCGCTTGTGACTGGATCGGCTACATCTACTTTCTGATCAGTCTTCGATATCTCCAAATCGACTTCTTCACTAATGGCGTCAAGTTCGGATGACAGCCAAGTCGCACGAGTCGGGAACTCACAAATTCCGGCCAAAAGGAGGTACTTCTCAAACACACCAAGATTTACAAGTCGAGCTCGGTAGACAGAGGCGAGACTCGTCTGAGTGGTCAACGACTCCAGCAAAATATCCCGATGGCCATCTCCCTCTGCGCGGGCAAGCCTCCTCGCAGCCATGATATGTCTCACTTTGCAGGCCATGACGAGCCAATGCGCAAACATTTGTCTCGTCGTGGTGGGCAGGTCGCCTTTGGAGCCAAGTTCCCGCCTCTTGCACCTCGCCCAGGCCTCTGCTCGTCTCTGGTCGACTTCGGGAACATCCCTGATGGTTCCCTGTCGCAAAAAGTGCAGCATATCCTCGACAGACACTCCAGGCGCTCTGCTCCGATCGATAGGTATGCCGCGCAGGCGCTGGACAAAGTCCTCGGTGACGACGGGGGTCTCGATGGCGCCAGCTTCTTCGTTTAGTTCCAAGATGGCCTCGACTTGCCGACGCATCTCCTTGTCCGCCGCGTCGCATTCGGTACAGAGTGGATATGAACAGTCGGCGATATTACGAGTCTCGACGCTGCTGCACTCGCCAAAAGTGTCATTGTTGGCTTCGGCCTCGTCGCAAAGCACCATTTCGAACCCATGCGCATTGGTGTCATCGATCGGATGGCCGAATAAGGCGCAGGTCTTGTATGTGTTGACCAAGAGACACATAATGTTTTGTCCTATTTACTGTTTTAAATAGATCGGTGGATTGATCTGTCTTGGACTTTCCCCAATATTCTTTGTGCTCACCCATGCCCCGAAACGGGCCAGTTGAGCTGTGCACCCATGACGATTTATAATACATTCATAGTCACATAATGTCTTTGTCTGGTGGTTGGACTTTTCATGGATTGTTTCAAAGACCACAAAGAAAATTGATGTTTCGAACAACAAATACATTGTTGGAAATAATTGAAAGCCGGCAAAGAAATCCGAAGCGGTCAAACAGTTGCCCCTATGGCAAATAAATGCTACAAGAAAAATGAAAAAAAAAAAGGTGCAATTTGGCCCAAACTTATACAGAAAATATATGTGAGCTAGTCACATTGGTCTGGCACCTATTGCTTGTGGAAGATTGGTGGCATGTCCTACTGCATATATGTTGGTAGTATGATATGTCGGGTATCGTGACGTTCTATTCTGCCGGGATCTTATTTCTATTTTCAGTTACTTTTGTTCAATTAGGCGAATCAATCTGACTGGCTAATGAATGCCGATTTCTCAAGGCGGCTCAATCTGAAGAAATATATTATCGGCTATTGTGTGGGGCGAATCTGACTCTATACTGCAATTCGCCAAGCCGGATAATTCGTGGAATGAGAGATTCTCTCCATCTGCCGCGTCTAATATGGCCTACTTCCATTTCAAAGTCGACATTGCCATTGGCCTATTTGAGTTGCACATACCTGAACGTCCATGTAGATAAACCGAGTCGCTGCTCGCAGCGCGAAAGCGAATGTGACAACAAATGATTCAACGAAGCGCAGAAGTTTTGACGCCACACTTTATGCGTGATCTCTCCCGACACGAAATTGCAAAGGATTGAAGATGAAGAATCTAAGCACTCTAGTGGCGTTGTTGCTGTCATGTCGTTCAGCACTTGCCCAAACACCAGCCGGCTTCACACCAAATGTCACGGCTCATCTCGATGTTGTCTTTGGCACCAAAGTTGTGGACCCTCCCGGAACGGCCCTGAGCAAGTCAGGTAAAAGGGATTTGCTACTCGGTGGCAGATCATTTGCTGATAAAGTCATCTTTAGACACCTCTAGACAGCCTAGCATTGGCACGTCTACTGCTCTCAATGGCTCGTATCTATGGATGATGATTGGTAATATTGAAGCCACCCTGCTTTTAGGAAGTGTAATACTAATTTGAAAATAGACCTTGATGCGTAAGTTGTATTCGACCAGAGATGATAATACTAATTCATTCCGTTTTCGGGATATGTGGTGTCGTTTACTGACCAACGCCTATATAGATCGACAAACTTTGCGAACCCTCAAGCAGGAAAACCGGCCACTTACTTGCACACGGTTCTTCGCGACTTTAAATCCACGGGTCAAAAGTCTAGCAGCGGTACATACACCCTGACTACGACTGCCACAGGGCCAGTGTCTTGGTTTGTAAGTCTTTGGGTCATTCTCGAGCATTGGAATCAACCCTCAAGTTGTGACGATATTAGTATGAAATGGCTAATCATTGGCATTGTGTAAAATAGGCCCCGGCACCTCCAGCTGAGAATCCTCCGCACCCTCATCGCTATACCAATCTGCTCTGGGAGCAGCCCGCCAACTGGGTCATTCCTCAAGAGGCGAGCAGCCAGCTCCAGAACAAGAGGAGCGGGTTCAATGTCGCCGACTTTCAAAAGGCAGCGGGATTGAGTGATCCAGTTTATGCAAACTACTTCAATGTTACTGGTTAATGTACAACCTAGGAAGCCTACAGCGTGCTTGGGTTGAATGCAGTCCGCGGCACTTAGTACGACCCTTGGAGGCTTGGCCGCATGTAGGAAACAGTGAAACCAGCAGAGTGCAATCAATTTTGATCATTGTGTTTCAAGAAAACCAAGTTCTGCGTGACTTTGAATGAACATTTTTCAAATACACTAAATGGGTCATCAACCAAAGGACTCTTCATCTGTTTTTGTGCTGCATTAATGCTCGTTCGTCCTTGAGTGTAATACTAGGTGCCGGTGGCAACTAGTGTAGGAACGCCCCACCCCCACATTCAGCTCTTGCCGTTTCCAGCAACCTCTTAACGCCGCCCAAACCCCGTAGGCAACCAGGCAGCCAACTGATTTGCCCCAGATATCAGATTGTCAAGGTGCTTTCTTTTTTTTCTTTCTCACTGTTCATCCCAAATTTTCATCCACAGCAGATGCGGCACCAATACTTCCTTTCCATCAACTTCAGCCCACTACTAGCAAATTGAGAACACCGCCCCGCACCTGCCCAAGGTGTGAGATGGACTATGGATGATTGGTTGAAATATTACATCCCGGCGGGATGCTTACGGATCGCTAGAGATGACCTTGATTCATCATGCCAGACCCCGAGAGATCTCAGCGTGAAAGACTGGCAATTGTTCACTCTCAAGAGCGATAAACTGCACGACACTACGTCTTTTCTTGACCTTGAAATTCAGACAAGTCTGCTGAATACGCAGCCACTATCCGCATTTGTGGACCTGTTTGACCACCGATGGATACGTCTCACAATTCTTGACGAACTCGTCCGTGTCTACATTTTGCCTCAAGATGTTCTTAGACGGACGCAAGAAAAGGCCGGCGACACGAGACTGTCCAAAATGCTCGGCGCACTATTGAAACAACTGGATTATTCACCGGATGCGTGGAATGGTACCGCCGATTCCCTTCCATATAGCTATCCAGCCACGGATGCCCACGGAAATCACCACACGGAAAAGGACATGTCTCTTTTGGAACGTTTCAACCAACTCCCTTCGCCTGACCCACAACTTGACCTCGTCACTCCAGACTCTTTCAATGCTATTGCCATGCAAGGGATCCTAGACAGCACGTTGGCTGGACTGCAAACTACGCTCTATGCTCATCAGAGGCGCTCGGCTGCTGTTATGCTACAACGTGAGGCGGAGCCTGGCCGGGTGATTGATCCTCGATTACGCAAGGCTTTCGACCAGAAGAAAGAGGCGTGGTACTACGACACTGATGCGGGTGTCGTGCTTCGTGAACCACGATACTATGACAGAGTTTCGGGTGGCATTCTTGCAGAGGAAATGGGCTTGGGCAAGACGCTCATCTGTTTGGCGCTTATTCTGGCCACAAAGGACTTGCCAACGGAAGCCCCAGATGCTTTGACAGTTGAAGTTCCCATCAGACCCCGGACTGGTTCCTTGGTTGGTAAGTATCCAGACTAGGTGGCTTCACGATTCCTTCATCCCCAAACAACTAGCTGACATGATTTGGACCACAAGATATGACTGCAGCTGCCATCAATCGATGCTCTTTCCCCTGGAAACGATTCCTTGCGTCATCCCCTTCTCAGCCAGGTTATTATGCCGAGGGCTGTGTAAGAGCCTTGGAGTCTTCAGAAAATAATGCTTCTTACGAGCTCCGGGATCCGTTGGTTGAAACTAGAAAATGTGGCCGCATTGCAGCTCCAGCATCTCCCACCGAGAAGATCCATTTGAGTCAGACCAGTCTCATCATCGTACCGAACAATCTCGTCATCCAATGGCAACAGGAGATTGCCAAGCATACCTCGGGATTAAAGGTCCTGACTATCGTTGCTACAGCAGATGCCATACCGCCAGTCTCTATTTTGCTAGGCTATGATATACTACTCTTCTCTCAAGGGAAGTTTGAACATATGGAAAGACTACGGATAAGCATGCCTGGGCAGAGCCATTCCCCCCTGGAACGTATAAGGTTCAAAAGATGCATCATTGATGAGGGTCACAAATTGGGCTCTTCTCGGAGTTCTACCTGGAAAAGTGACCTGATGAGCCATCTCAGCAGGCTTCATGTTGCCGCACGTTGGGCTATTACCGGAACACCATCACGAGGGTTGTATGGTGTTGGCGTAAAGAGCGCATCCCAAGAAGCCACGGAAAGCGAAAAAGTCCAACCTCAGGAGTTGCAATCAATACATAAACAAGAGCGAGATGACCTACAGAGAATTGGTAATATGGCCACCAAATTCTTAGGGGTCAGACCTTGGTCGAACACGCGGGACGAAGCCGGTGATACGATCGCATCATGGAACGTTTATGTGATGCAACCACAACATCACAAGAAGAGCAGCGGGCGCCTGGACTGCCTGAAAGCTACTCTGGAATCGCTCATCATCCGGAATCAACTATCGGACGTCAGCCAATTCCTCCCGCCACTTGAGGAGAAAATCGTTCTACTCGATGGTTCATTCCAGGACATGCTCGCACTAAACTTATTCTCAATGATGATCATATTCAATTCCGTCCAATCTCAACGAACAGACCAGGATTACATGTTCCACCCGCGGCAGCGCAAAGCTCTTGACCAACTGGTCAGCAATCTCAAACAGGCAAGCTTTTTCGGAGGGGTGTTTTACTCAGTCGCAGAGATCCAGAAGTCGTTGGACACGGCCAAGAGCTTCTTGGAAGAGAAGAAAGTGCCCATAAGTCAAGAGGACCACAGCCTTATCAAAGAAGCCATAGCTTTGGGCGAAATTGCCATGGGCAATCAATTGAAAGCTGTCAGCAACCAGTTTCATGCCATGCCTCTATACATCGAGAATTTCCCAGGAGGCAACGGAAGGTCTTGGTCATTGGACGATGTAGACACTCACCCCGGCGACCCTGTATGCACAGATGCGAGCCTTGTACATCAGCTCCAAAAGTTCCTCAACCCGTGTCTAGACGCTCCCATGTCTCTCAAGGTAATGATTGACAGTGGTCAATTGACCCTACGAGGCGATGCCGCCAGATTGCAAGCAGCAAAGGAAGCCGCAGAAGCGAGCGATGACAAGTCGAATTCAAACTCACAACCCTCTGCTTTGGCTGGGAATACTCCGAAGGGAGTCGACCATCATACAATCCGCAAGATGGCTGTGCCCACTGAACAGGCGACGTTGGATCTCACTGCTGATAATGTCGCCAACATTCAGATTGCCGAACCCTTAGCCAAAACCAGGATTATTTCGACGGTGTCAGCAAAGTTGTCCTATCTGATTGATGCCATTGTCAAGTACCAAGATGAGGAACAAATTATTGTTTTCTACGAGAATGACAACGTAGCATGGTACTTGGCGGGAGCACTCGAAATTGTAAGTGAGACCAATTCTTTCTGTAATATCACACAACTGACTGGTGTCAAGCTGCAAATTCAACATCTCATCTACACAAGAAAGGGCCTCGACGCCAAACGGCGCGCGCAATACGTCAGCACTTTCACGCGCAACTCCAAGTTTCGCGTGCTGCTGATGGACATCAGCCAAGCTGCCTTTGGTCTGGATATGCGCAGCGCCTCGCGCATCTACTTTATCAGCCCGGTGCTGAACCCGCAGGTCGAGGCCCAGGCCATTGGTCGCGCCCGGCGCATCAGCCAACAAAAGCCTGTAACGGTCGAAACCTTGGTATTGCGTGGTAGCATTGAGGAAGTCATGGTCGAGCGCCGCCGGAACATGACGCAAGCCGAACACCGCCGCGTCAAGGATATCTTGGACGACAAGCCCATGCACGACTGGATTCGCAACGCGCGCATCATGCCAATGCCCGAGAATATTACAGCAGACGATAGTGTTGCGCAGACGGCCAGGCTCCGGACGCCTCAATTCGTCTTTGGCCGCGGATTTGGCAGGGACTCGGATCCCGACGCGGATCTCATCATGGACAGCCCAACGGCCCTGTCAAAGGCCAAGGGGACGACTGCTGACAAGAGCGGCGATGGCGGCAATGTCGAGCGCGCACCGCTACCATTCAAGCTTGGCAGCGGTCTAAAGAGAAAGCAGTCTCGCTCGTCGACACCGATGCCGGCAGAAGACGGGGTTGATTCAGCTGGTGCCGCCGATGCTCCTCCCAAGAAGAAGAAGAAGAAGGCGGTCCGTGTTGCTTTTGCAGATGATGTGTAATAGCTTTTAGGCTTTACCTGTCCTTATAAGACATGTATCTTTGTGGCTGATCTTGTTTTTGTCTCATTGATTAGAACGTTTGGCTAGAGATGCTGTATAGATGTCATTGGACCTTGAGCTAAACATGATCACAATCCAGACAAATACAAAGTCATATATATCATGACACGAATGCTTGAATATGGTAAATTGAAATTTTTTCAATTGTCCTTATGCTAGGATAGTACCAAAAAACTGGGACTTTTCTTTTTGTACAGAAAACGCCGTAAACATAAAAGTCCTTTCTGCCCCAAAGTCCGCCCAAAAGTGTTGACACGGCTCGACTCCTGGCAATCTAGAATGCAGTAGTAGTAGTAAAAATTTTGAAAATCATAAATTCGTCACAAATCCATCTCCTAATCACAGTCATGGAGACTCTTTTTTTTTTAAATCTCATTGCTGGGATACTCGACCTTGCGAGTAGGCGAGAACTCCTCCTTGATGCTGCGGGCACTGACAAAGCGGGTCAAAAAGTTCAAGCTGCCAGCCTTGTCGTTGGTGCCGCTGGCGCGGGCGCCGCCAAAGGGCTGCTGGCCGACGACGGCGCCGGTGCTCTTGCAGTTGATGTAAAAGTTGCCGGCGCTGTTGCGCAGGGCGTTCTCGGCGTAGACGACGGCGTGGCGGTCCGCGGCGAAGATGGCGCCCGTCAGGCCGTACTCGCCCGTCGAGTCGACGACCTTGCAAATGTCGGCAAAGGCGGTGGCGGCGTCGACCGAGACGTCGTCGTAGACGTGGGCCACGAGCACGGGGCCAAAGAGCTCGGTGGAAAAGAGCTTGTGGTTGGGCGTCTTGGCCTCGTAGACGGTCGGGTGGATGTAGTAGCCCTTGCTGCCGTCGTACTTGCCGCCGGCGAGGAGGGTCAGCTCAGAGTCGTTCTTGGCGGCGTCAATGACGCCCGACAGCTTGTCAAAGCTGGGCTTGTGGATGACGGGGCCGATAAAGTTCTGCGCCTCAAAGGGCTGGCCAATCTTGAGGGCCTCAATCTCGGAGACCATCTTCTCCTTGAACTGAGGCCAGACGGACTTGGGCACGTAGAGACGGCTGGTGGCGCTGCACTTTTGGCCTTGGTACTCAAAGGCACCGCGGACGGTCTGGATGGCGGCGTTCTCAATATCGGCACTGGGGTGGACCAGGTGGAAGTTCTTGCCACCAGTCTCACCCACGATGCGTGGGTAGCCACGGTAGCGGCCCTCGGCAGTTCCCTGGCCAATGGCGCCGTACAGCTTGCGGAAGACGGAAGTGCTACCAGTGTAGTGCAGAGCAGCAAACTCCTTGTGAGCCAGGACGGCCTGGGTAATCTCCTCGGGCGGGCCGGGGACGAACTGAATAACATCCTTCGGCAGACCGGCCTCGATCAGGATCTGGTACAGCAGCCAGTTGGAGGCAATGGCCGAGTCAGAGGGCTTCCAAACCACAACGTTACCAAGGAGGGCGGGGGCACCGGGCAAGTTTCCGGCAATGGCGGTAAAGTTGAAGGGTGAGACGGCGTAGACGAAACCCTCGAGAGGTCGGTACTCGACGCGGTTCCAGACGCCCGGGGCATGGTGAACAGGCTGCTGGGAGTAGAGCTCCTCGGCGTAGGAGACGTTGAAGCGGAGAAAGTCGCACAGCTCGGCGGCGGCGTCGATCTCGGCCTGCCATGCGTTCTTGCCCTGGCCGACCATGGTGGCGGCCATGATGTCGTAGCGGTACTTGCCGGAGATCAGGTCGGCGGCCTTGAGGAAGACGGCAGCGCGGTCGGCAAAGGGCAGAGCAGCCCAGGCCTCCCTGGCGGCGAGGGCAGACTCTATGGCCTGGTTGACATGCTCGGGTGTAGCGAGAGAGTAGGTAGCAACGGTCTGAGAGTGGTTGGAGGGGTTGAACTGCTTCGAGGTCTGAGAAGTCTTGATCTGTTTTCAGGCGTCAGTATTTGTTGTAAAGTAGAAACTGTCCTGTGAAGAAAAACGCACCTCCTTGCCGCCCACAACCAGGGGAACCTCGAGGGGAAGCTTCTGCTGCAAACTGTCGACAGCAGCGTATAGACCCTTGCGCTGCTCGGAGCCCTTGGCATAGTGGTGCTATAATACATGTGGTTAGTAAAAGCTCTCCCGTTCATCTCATGCGACGTTTGAAAAAACATACGTTGGGCTCGTTGAGCACCTTGGGGACCTTGAAGGTGGCCAGGTTGGACATTCTGCTGGTCGTGCTCAGAGACCGTCTGGCGGTAAGAGATGCCTGAGCCGAGACGGCGGCGTGCCTCGAGACGGCACGGGTAGCAGCAGTTGCTGGCATACCGGCCTGGAAGACCTTTGAAAGTGGCATCAAGCCATTGCCCCTGCGAACTGCGGCCATTGTGATGATGTTGTCCTTTTCTGTTCCTTTCTTTGGTCTTTCGGAACTGTTTGGCCGCTTATCGGTCGTCCGTAAGTGGGATGAGAAGGCGTCAAATGCTGTAAGAATGTTCCGATACCAACAAAGGTGAACACACACAAAAGCGACGCAAGAAAGAAAAAAGAGGGTATCACTAGCAAATTCTCGCTTTTCCGCACACTTCTTCCAACTGCTTGCTTTTCTGCTTGTCAATGCGGACGTTGCATGTGTCCCCTTCTTATGAAGCTTCGCCAGGGACCGCCGATAGCTCTGATAGCTGGTAGCTGATAGCTTCGCTCGCTTTGTCTCGGCTCACTGAGTCGGCAGCAGTGGGGTAATCCCCAATCGAAGGCTCCGCAATCGCCCCAGAACCAACGTTGTGATAGGTCAATCAACTGCGATAGAATGGTTAACCCCCTGTCAGCCTGCGCTACCTATGGTGGGGAGATAGTTGGGGCAGGGGTCCTTTTTGCTTGCCCTCCGCCGCTCTGGGACTTGCTTGGTAGCCGACGTTCTAACAACTACGTAGTATACTCAGGCCGATGTTCGGGCCCGTCACCTTTGCTGGTCTGATTATTGCCAATCTTGTAGTATTAAGAAGCCGAGGACTTGGATATCCATTAGGCAAACTCCGTCAATCTCACGCCATCGAGTTTGATACTTGCAGCTCACTTTCTTCTCCCATGTCCAATGGCTATCTATGTAGAGATGCAATCGATCATGTGGCCACAAACCCTTACAAAGTGCACACCGCATACAAGATGCCGACAATTCTACTGATAAAAGAAAAGGGCTGGGGCGGTACGGTCCGCAGCCACTCGTCGTGCTTACCTACATACAACAGATAGATAGCAAAATGTACAGGGCATATGGAAATAGAGTTTCTCTCTTGCCGTTGATCAAGGTTCGTGTTACCCACCTTGTTGCAACCACCCGAACGCCCAGTTTGCCAATCTGCTAGCCAGCCCAGTACATTAGCCGTACCAAACATCTCACGGCGTTGCACGCAGTCTTTTGCATACAAGAAATAACTATGCAGCCCTCTTCTTTGCCCAATCATGGACATTCCAGATGAGCAATGTTTCGCAGTAAAGGAATAGTTTTACTATAGTCCCGACGGACCCATTTTATAGTGGCACCTCTTTTTGGTAATTCTATCCTGATGGCAGACAGCCGAGCGGCGTCCGTCGGCAAGTGGGTCACTGGCGAGTCCATCGTTGCGTTTCTCTTTGCCAATCTTGAGCCTCACAATGCCGAACAACAAGTCTTGTTCTTTGAGGCGACGACACTAAAAGCTCGGTCTCTGGCCGACAGCTCGGCTTTGTACCAAGTGGCCCGTCAAGCGTATCGAATTACAAAATCTATTTCCTCACTTGTTTACAAATGAAAGCAGATCTGTCTTGGCACTTTTTGCTTTATTTTATCTTGCCTGTATTACAGAAATAACACTCTTCTAGACTCCACCGTGTGAGAGAGACTATCAATGGTATAATTATCAGGAAACCTTCTTCGCCCATCATTAGGTGGACTCAACAGTCCGGGTATTGCATGTTTTCCACCATCACTCCACTCTCTTTCCGACTTTCATGAATAATAACGTCACCGTATTTCCATCTCTAATGGCTGGCCGCCGTGGCGGCTCCAGAGCCCGGTCGGTTTCCGGCCGAGGCTGCCCCTGTAGTGCCGGGTCTCGCACTCGTTCCTGGTCTTGAGCCTCTACCCGGCAAGTGGAGGCGGTGGTGGTGAGGAGGCGGGTACTTTTCCGGAAGATGCTCAAGCAGAGGGATGGTCAAGCCGTATGGCTCCGTGTGACCCTCGCGGTTGTGCTGGTCAATCTCTACACGAATGCAGCAGTCCAACGATCCGTCATTGTTCTTGCCATGCGTGGCAGGCGATGCAGCCTTGTGCTTCGTGCCGGCTCCTGCTTCACCCTTGTGCAGGAAAGCATGACCATCTTTGCCCTCGAATTCGTGGTCACCTGCTGGCGCGGCGTGCTCGGCATCGGTACCATTGGTGACAGCTCCATTCACAGAACCATTGGCGGTGGCAGCGCGGTTGTTGGGTGAGTTTTCCGTCAAGATGGCATAATTGCGACTTGGCATCGTGACATGGTTGGAGTTCATTGTCTTGTTGCTGTCACCAGGATCCTTGTCAAATAGACTCATGAGCGTCTCATCCGTGTCTGCGTTGAGGTGGTGAATCTTGTTGCGCTTTGCCAGCAGATTTGCAATGGCGGCCGGTGGAGGCTTGTTCACAATGGCAGAAGAAACCACATTGACCATGTAGCGATGGTCGTGCACCGCGGGGATTTTGAGTTCGGGGTTCGAGTAGAAGCGTCCCAAAGCAGCAAGATGGACGTCACCACCCAGGATGGTGATTCTGATGGAGAATTCAGAGCAGATTGTCTGAAGGCGCTCGACGAATGAGTTACGCTCCTTCTTATGAGTCTTGGCCGTGTAGTGGTCGTCAAGATCATCGAGCAAATCAACACTACCATCGAAATGGTTGAAGAGACCGCCACCAAAGCCAAATCTTCGGTTCAAGAACTTCATGGGTGCAATCAAAGGGCTAGAGAAAACGTTTTCCAACCAGGTCAGGCGCTAATTTTTTTTTTGAGTCAGTAACAAAATCGAAATCAGATATGCACCAGATTTACTCACAGGATAGGCAATGGGAATACCGAGTAGCAGAATCATGTGCTTGTAAGGGTTGCCCGATTGCTGCGCAGCACCAAGTTCGCTTCGCAAGCGATTAAAAATCAAGTCATAAGTCTCAGGGTAGTTCACCTGGTGTCGAGTACGTTCTGTTCGGGCATCGATACCCAGGAATGCAATGCGAGCTCCTAGTCTCGAGAACATGTTCATCGAGTGCTCGGCGACATAAGGACCCGGCTTGTGTCCAACAATGTAGCCGGGCTCCGACTGCAAGGTGGGCTCCGAGACAAATGTGTCTTGCAGCTGGTTCTTATCCACTCCATCACCGGCCTCCATGGTTGTAGGGGCGTCGGTGGTGTAAGTCGAGGCCGGTGGTGCCAAGTGGTGCTGGAACAACATGTAGTACTTGTGAGCGGTTCCACCAATGCCACGGAAAACGTCACACTTCATGAACTCGTTGACATATGAACCAAAACCATCGATGATGTCGTGGTCATCCCAGATGTTGAGCTGCGGAATCTGTCCATTGGCCTCGGCAAAGGGCTCAGTCGAGTACCATCTGAGATAGTTATGGAGATAGTACTCATCGCACTCATCACGCAACTTTCCAGGGAAGGGATAATCTCTTCTCTTCTTGGGATTGCCAATGTCACTCCATGGCCTAAGTGGACCATCCACACGAATACCGTCATTGTAGATTTGATCACCTCCTCCAATCATCACGTGAAAGGGGTTCTCAGCATGGCGTCGCAGCACATCGTTCCAGAGGGCCGGACCGCTCCAGGCGTCTTCGTCAGTTCCGACACTGAATCCATTACATGAATGGAACATGATTCTCATCGACTCGGTCGTAGCCGGAATAAAAAAGTAGTTGGTGGAAGACTGCGTTGAGCTCTTGTAGCGCACATCGGTAATGGAGTATGCCCACTTGGTCTCGACTTCCAACATATCACAAGTGATGGAGAACTGCCAGAATGTGTTACGCGGGTCCGAGTAGAGGCACTTTCCCAGCACCTCCGTTCCGTGCTGAGTGTTGATGGCCCCGTTGGTATGGTTGGCCCCACTGGCCCCAGCGCCCTCTCCGACGAGACCATGTTGACTGTCGGCTGTCTCAACCCGTCCTATATGCAGAGTAGGCTGAAAGTGCTGAACCTTGCCTCCTCCCTTGGTCACAATGAGAACACTGCCATACCAGACATTGCCCTCTTGGCGACGGTAGTTGAGGAGCGGACCGCAGATAACCTCTTTGCCATCATGGCTCAGCGCCTGCGCATCCCTAGCTCCGTCCGTAAGTCCATGCCCTTCGTCAATCACGATGGGTTGGAAGCTGCCAGCGCCGTCTGTGCTGGGCTGCTCGGGCTCTACTCTGGTTGAGTTGAGAAAGTTGGTCAGGTCTTTTGTGTTGGCGCTCGCCGTGTGAGGGTCGCGCGCTTCACCTGCATGCTTGGCATAGGCGCCCGACTCCTGGTGGCGCCATTGACTCGCCGAGCGATACGGGTTAGGACGTCCGTTCTCGTCGTACTCGGGTTGAAGTTCGTGGGGTTGCGACATGATGGTTTAGGATGATCGCAACTTGCGCCAGTGGACGAAAGATTTGTAGTTTTTGGAGCTCGAAGACAAGGAGAATAGCGTTGTGCGCACGAGGCGAGCTTTGTAGTCTCCAAGAACTCGATATATGGAAGCTGCGCTGACCTGTTGTGGCTGTGGTAGGACAAACGGAGGGTGGACGAATGAGCACGTAGCAGTCGCTTCTGGATTGTCGGCGCAATACTTATCCCACGTTTTCTGTGAGACGTGGAAACTGGCTAAACGGTAACCGGTCGACTCCTTGTATCACACGCCCGCCCGCGAACGAAGGAGGGAATTCAGAGGTTGGTAAAATTTAGGGTCGGACGGTACGACGCGGGAGTAAGCAGATGCAAGCTCGAAGGATAGCTGTGGGCGAAGCTTGGTTGGTAGCTTGTTTAGCAAACTTGGACGTTGAAAGGAATGCAAAAGAATCAGGACAGGCGGCAGTGACAACAATCACAAGCTGAGAATAGGACAACTGTGGCCAACTACTAGAGGAGGAAATAAAAATAATATTATGAAGCTGGCGAAATTCTTCCCAACTCGATTACAGAGGACCACAAAGTGGGTAGGTATGTAGTGGAAAGGTAGATGGGATCTGGGAAAGGAAAGATCGAGGGAGCTCAAACAGGTACCTTGGCCCACTGCCCTGTGCTGCCCTGCTCAGTAGTCAGTCATCTCAATGCTGGTTGGTAGGGCGATGCAATGCGCCAGGCGCAAGAAGGAAGAGGGAGAAAAAAATAAAAGCAATCTCGGCCAAGGAAGACGTATGCCAAGACGACAAGGTCAGCGATGGAGGGACGCGACTGTCACGATGCTAAAAAGTGGCTAAGGGCCCGAGTCTGCAATTTAAATGGCCGGCATCTCATTCGATGATGCGCATGTATGATCCAGTTGAAAGTAAGTTGCGGGCGTACGTTGATGGTCGTTTATTGTGGTCAAAAGATGATATATTGGCTAAGTGTACTCTATCGGGGCTACGCCCCACTAAAAAGCCTTAACGACCAACTCACGCTAACACAGTGTATCGATCGCACGCGGGCGTACATAGGCTGGTGCCGAGGGGTTGAAACTACTGTCAAATAGTATACATTATGAACGATATATTCGAAAATAGCATTGACTACAGAGAGAGAGAAGGCTACTGGCATTGACTTTGTTTGCTTCATTATTCCGCCTTCTTTTTTGTCAAAGTCCAAAAAGCTCAAGGTTGGTTCATGTTTGCGACCGAACCTAGGTACCCTGCCTAGGTACCTACCTGGTCAGTAATGTACACTAAAACTGGGACTGGGTTTCCTATGAACTGCTCAAGTGGCTCTAGACGCGACATGCCGGTCAGAGCTCCAGCCTAATCTACACATCAGCTCATCTCAATTGAAACAAGAAGCGCACAGGGGCGACAAGTTGGAGGCCGCTTGGATATGAGACACTACAATTCGTTTTCTCACATGTGCCAATTATATAATATCTCTTTCTTTTCCTGTTCCATTTCCACGTATGATTCGTTGCAAAAGAAGATGCAAACCATGCCGCAACCCGAGCAATGCATCGCACGTAGCATCATCATCTTTCCTTGTCACTGATGACTGCATCTGCATCAATGTACCTGCCGGCCCCAGCTTCCCAGCCAACCAGACTTTTTCTTTTCTTCTTACGGGAAGCTAATTAAGCTGCAGGGGTGAGCTGAGACTCGAAGGGGAATTGGGGCAGCTCAGCAGCTCTGCCGCAAAAAAGATGCGGATGGGGGAGGGGAGGGGTGTGAAAATGGTCATTTCCAGTGGGTGGGGAATTTCAAGATCTCCATTTGGCATTGGCAAGCATGGCAAGTAGCATGGTGTTATGCCTCGATCCCTGCTGGGGCCGCCCGCTATCTAAACCACCAAATCATATGACGTTGATTGAAATGCCAAGTCGGTTCTAGCGGCACGTATTGTCGTTGCAAACTTCAATGGTTGGGAAAAAAAAACGAAGTTATCGTGAATTAATCTGCGAGCAGTGGCCAAGAGGAATTTATACAATCATACAACATCAAGCATTATGGAAGGGGGAAATACAAGATCAATGTACGACAGTAGCGGGTCATGTTAGACCCATCTTACCATATTCCAAATCATGGCTGAGCAGGTGGACAATGCACAATATGATACTATAAATTCTATGGAGTAGGAGCCACCTATAATCTACCAGTACGATGCAAACACCATGGTAATGTACATTTCTAAATAAGCCAAGCCTCGTGATACTCATTTGCGCAATGAACGCCTCCTTCAAGCTTCCAATGGGAAAAGGACAGTAGCCAATCGGGCTTACTTTTCACTGCTGGGCTTTTGCTCCACCAATTTGCCCATAACATCTATCGTCTTGGACTGCTCCTTTTCCCTTTCCGCCGCAGCCTTTGCGCGGTCCGTCATGTGCTTCTGTACGAGCTCAATGCCCAATAATCCGGCAGCAATACCGCCAAAGTGCGAAGCAACGTCGAGGTTCATGGCCGCTCTCGAGATGGAGAACAGACCTGCCCAGACATGCAGACCAACGATGAGACCGAGGAACACCGCACCAGAAGGTCCCGAGTAGGGATCCGGCGGCAGTCCCATGAGCTTAAACTCCTCCTTTCTGTGCATCCAGAAGAATGCTGTTATGATACCGTAGATGGCTCCTGATGCGCCGAGCGTGGTGAACTGAATTCCGCGGAACAGCACGAGATTGAACATGCTTGCCAAAAATCCAAGAGTGCCCGATGCAAAATAAATGGCCAAGAAGTTGCCCCGACCAATCTCGTCATGAAGACGAATACCAAAGAACCAGAGCGCAAGCATGTTGCCAGCCATGTGGCCCCAGCTGTGATGGGAGAAGATGGCGCCGAGGAGCTGCAGAGGTCGGGGAGTCGCGGGGATTACCAGCATGTATCTGTTCAGTATAGACCATGCGGGCGGGAACTTCCAAAGGGCAAAAATTCCAATGTTGATGAGCATCAGTCCAATACAGGTCGCGGCAGCCGGTGGTATGTCGGGCCACACTCTACGATCCCGCTTGGGCGGCGTGTAGTAGGCAGCCAGCACGAGACATGCGCCGAGGACCAGCAGTGTAAACGTGGTAGCGGGTAGCAGACGCTCCCAGGCCTTCATCTCGGGCGGCGCTTGAAGGTCCGAAGTGGCTCGCTCTGCGTGCTTTTGCCTCCAGGGGCTCATAGCTTTTGGTGCCGCTGTCTCCGTTTGTAGACCACCAATGTTACCCAGGGCCTCTTCTTCTTCACGCTTGAGTCGCTCCTCCTCCGCAAGTCTCTCTTCCTCTTCTCTTTTGGCAATATTGCGCTTGCGAATCCGGTCAAACATGGTCTCTCCATACAGCGAGCCATCGGCCTCCTTCCGTGGTAGACGGCCCGTCGGCAGTTGGGGCTCTTCTGTAGTGTCTTGCACCTCGGCTGAGGTGGCTCGGGATTTTTGTACACTTGTCTCTTCGTGCTGCTCCTGAGTCTGTTCGACGGCTACTTGCTCTTCGAGAAGTCGCAACTCGTCTTCGGCTCGTAGACCAGCATTGATCACCTCGTCTACCGGAATATGCTTGCGCAGATATTCAAGCGCCTTGATCTTCTCGTCCGCAAGGTAGTCGGCAGTGTTCTGTTGCAGGTCCGGATCGTCCAACGTTCCCGCCACTCTGCGTCCGTGTATAATCTTGAGCAGTTGATTTGCGCTCGTCGGGGTAATTTTGGACCCGAATATCTGTTTAACCTCTGTCCCATTCAATGGCTCCTTGCGAAAGGGTAGCCCTTTTGCATCTTCGTAGCTGTCGGGTAGCTGACTGTAGTGTACTATGGCGCGGAACGTGAATATGGTTCGGGCCACGGTCCGGGGGAGGAATTGATCATGCTTTGATTGCCGAGACTGTCGCAGCAGCATCGACGGGCGGCCGAGGCCTATGCTGCAAGTGTGGCATGACTGCGATTTGACACGCGACGTCGTTGATAGCTGTCTGATGGCGGCCGCCGTGGATTGCCTGCAGATGGCCCGAATGCCAATCTGGAAGCTCGACGCCGGCGCCGCCAGCGAGGTAAGGACGTTCATGACCCCCTTGATCTCAGACCCGAGCGCCGGATCTGGCTGAACCCATGGGAGGCACACGAACGGGGTAATAAATGCTCAGGGAGCTAGAGGGTCGAAATGGCCGATTCCAAGATGTTAAGGTGTGACGGTCGTATGAGAGCTATCTGCTGTACTGGGAAATTTTAGTTACAGCTTCCGGCACTTACCGAGCTAGTGGAACCCGGACTAAGCATTGCACGAGTATCGACAATACAAGACCTACATTTTGCATCTTCACATTGAAAAGACTCCTATGTTCTTACTCTTTTTCTAATTTCTCTTTACAACTTCTTTTTCATTTCTCATTTCTATCTGATTTTAAACCTTTCATTTTCCTTTCACGTACGATTTCTAGGAATTTTATAATAATAGTAGGTTCGCTGGTGCCAGGAAAGCAAAGCTAGCTACTATACTGGTGTTTGGTAGGGAGTGATGGTCAAAACGGAAGTCTTCTAGGTTAGGAGTTTCATCAGAATAATTTCAGGGTTGCGACGGGTGAAGTGAACGTCAATTATTTCGCCAGAGATGTACCACCAAAAGCATCCAGGCAAAGCGCAACCATTGTGCTCTGCCAGGTGCCAATAAGGAACGTATTCCAGCTTGTGCCAGCAATGATACTCGTTCACATCAATTCTAGACAGGGTATCTTAGGGATAGGTTCCAACACTGTTTATGAGAATTGATAGAACTGATGACTCAGTTGTCAGCTCAGTTTATGCTAAACCTAAAGAAAACATGGTTGTCCCATCAATTAAGCATTAGACTGGTCAAAGTTTCGGATCAAATCGTAATAGAACTTCAGAGCCTCCACATGCGAGTACATGTCGATGGCCTCATCAACAGTGTGGATATTCTGGGATCCATCCTTGCGCGTCGGTACCCAGCGGTAGACATTGTCGGACAATTCTTAAGAAGTCAGTTATTCATACTGGTATAAGCGCTGCAAAGAGCCGACTTACTCAGGTAGTATCTTGTGTCAGTGTTTCCGGTCATCAATTCACCAACCGGGACGACTGTGCCGTCGGGAAAGGCAAAAGTGTGCTGGATGGTACCCGAAAAGACATCCCACACGGCACCAGAGGTGAGCGAGATGGGCGCATTGTCAGTACCCTGCTTGGCCGTGATGGTGAGGGTTCCGTTGTAGTCGACATCATAGGCCGGGTGGAACTCTTCAAAGGCCGCCTCGCCCTTGTACGCCTCAATGGCGACGCCGTACTTTGCGGCAATGGGCTTGGCGAGGCTCAGGACCTTCTTCTTGATCTCGTCGGCCGTGTTGTGCGGCGCCACGCGGTAGTTGACGCCGAGCTTGACCTTCTCGGGCATGGCGTTGATCTTGAGGCCGGCGTTGATCAAGTCAACTGACTGAGATGTCTGAATACGGAATTGAGTGAAGCGGTCGACGGTAGCCAATTCTTGGGCAAGAGTGTCGAGGTCGCCAGACTTGATCAGCTTGGTGACTTCGGGTTCTGCATTCGGAGAGTACCTGGCCTGGCAGACCAAGTGGTTGTAGATTGGCGAATCCTTGATCAGCTTGGGCTGGTAAGGATTGGCCTCGAGCTCAACGACAATCTCGGACATGATACCAATACCAGTGTGAGGCAGAGGAATGGACGAGTGACCTCCATTCACCTTGAGATCCAGCCAAACATCAATGTGTCCCTTCTCTGTCACGGCGGGCAGAGCGTCTAAACAGTATTAATGATGAGAAGATAGGTAATACGCGATGGCTCTGGTTCACTTACAGAGAACCTTGTCCTCCAACAGCTCAAGGCCCATGCCGCCCTCATCCAAGATGATGGCCATGGATTGCTCTCCATACCGTTCCTCGAGGAAAGGTCCAATGGTACCAGCACCACGGGTTCCAGACTCTTCATCAAATCCGAGAGCCACAAGGATAGTTCGCTTAGGGACCCACTCTGAGTTTGACAGAAGTGTCTCGAGGGCCGAGAAGATGGCAGAGAGACTGTTCTTGTCATCTGATGAACCTCTTCCCCACAACCAGCGTCCATCGAAATGGGCCGAGAAGGGCGGGTACTTCCAGCTCGATGCGTCTTGCACAGGCACGACATCTTGGTGGGCCGTCAACATGATGGGCTTCAGAGATGAGTCTGTGCCTTTGATGGTGAAGACCAAGCCAAAGGTGTTGACAGTTTCACGGGTCATCCGCGCGTGGCTACTTACATTAGTACAACTCGTGCACAGTTGTCAATTTCCCGACGGACACAGGAAAACACGACTTACACAGTAGGATACAGCTCTTTCAATGTATCGTGGAGAGTGTAGAAGATGTCCCATCTGGGGTCTTCACCGGGTTCACCATTGTCATCATATGAAACAGACGGCACCTTGACAAGAGTGCCATGGCGCTCGACCTGCTTCAAGAGGGCCTTCTCATTGTCAAACAGTTCCTGCGCCGACGGCAGACCATCTGCAGAAGGGTCCAAGACTTTGGGCAGTTCGCACTGAAAGTCCTGTGACTCGACCTGCCCCAAAACTTGTTGTCCTCCGTTGGTGGCAAGGAACGGCCGTCCGGTTGCCGCCGATAGGACGACCGGCAACCCGGCCGCCGTGGTCAACTTTGACCAAAGCATCGTACTTGGTCTATCGGTTCAAAACAGGACAAGAAAAAATGATTCAGGACCGCAATCGAAAGCAACAACACGACTATCGTAAACGCACGCTACAGATTGTGGTTGAAGCACGGAGAATCAATTGAGAAACTTTTGCTGCTCACCGAGCGCTTAGAGATGTCGCATCGCATCCGCTCCGATACAAGGCCTATGCAACTTACCCCAAAAATGGCGTCAGGATATGGGATTCCACAATTGTCCCCCCAGATCCCCCAAGAGGTAAAGACGGCGTTCGCGTATCAGGGATCTCAATGCAAGAATGCGGGGGCACGATAGGCTTTCTCCGATGGTGTGAGCGGGCAACCAGTAATTTGTAATAAGCGAAAAGGCATATAATCTGTACGGAATATGTCGTACTTCGTTTGCCGTCTCAACAGCTGGTCACGATGTGAATTTCTTTCCAAGTGTCCTTTTTCTTTCCCACTTGATGCATTCTCTTCTATCAAGTACATTGCTATTATTTGATGGATTGTATACTTCAATTGCAGACAATTGCAAAAGGCGAGCAGCCAATCCGGCATCCGATCCGACAAGGCCGATATCTTTCGGCTCCCAGGTCCGAATGTCGGTGCCCCGCAAATAGTGCACCTAGGTTGGTAGTATAATAAGACTATGAAAACCTAAAACTGCTGAATACTACCAAAAATCCCCAACATCTTCAACAAAGACTTAAGCACCACGGCTGGTAGTTGCCCGTAACGCGCCCATGAGTTGCATGCAAGCTGACGGAATGCCACCTGCCCAAATATAGCACCACCTCTGGTTTATTCTCTCTTTTTCTTTTCGTTTTCTTCTCTTTTTTCTCTTTCCTTTCGGGTATTACAAAATATACCTGGGTGCCTAGTTGACAATAACGCGGCGAATAAAGTCATCATAACGTGATTCACCCGAAGAAAAAAAAAACAGAAGTTTGAAATTGGCCTGCTTGACCGTAAGAACACCAAAAAGCTTCAAGAGTCCAGAGACTGTCCCCTAATGTAGGAATCGCACCAGTGACCTTGTTGTTTATCCTTCAACATAACTTCACCGCCTTTCAACCACTTCTTAAGATCTGATTTCTATGATGAATATATGACCTGAATCACAAGCTGTGGCAATATCCGGGCGGTAACCAAAAGAGAGCTCTCCCGACTTGCACAACCCAATCTTTGTCTTCACTGATGTAGAGCTATTCGCTCTGTCATCTTCATTCTCCGTAAGCCATAAAGGAATAATGGCGTCGTCTGGTAGGCTGTCCATATAGACTTTGGTATGAATTATTCGTGTGCAAATACTTGAATAGAGGACCCAATCGTTCTCAACCTTATTAACCGAGCTTATGGGTACAATCTGTCTACCACTTGACAGCGCGACTTTATCCGCAAAGTCAAATGTGTCTTGATTGCCATAAAACGCTCCTCAGAAGCAATATGGCTAGGCTAATGAACGCAGGAATATTGAACTGACATCAATGGGTGAGGATATTCGAATATGTAGAAAGCCAAAGGATACTGAGAATCTAGGCAAGTTGGAATGATTGGACCCGACGCCGACGAGTAGTCAGAGGTCACTATACAAAGAGCCTCTCATTCAGTGTTACTTTCCGGCACGAATGTCTTCGGCAAGATGACCATTGTACACCATTGATTTATGTAAGTAAAGCCGACCGACATAGACCTGATCCTTTTTTTTTTTCCTTGGCCGAGGACGACATTGTCGTCCCTGACGCTGAGGCCCTATGGTCGTAGGCCATACCGGCCGCGATTCGTTGCAAAGAAGCGACGCCAGGTACGCACCGCATCTTTCAAAACAAAACGTTATTCTCTGACCTTCTATGGTAATTCTTACCTCCATGTAGAGCATGGCTGAAGTCGCGCGATCATTTTCATCGAGTGTCGCTTGCATGCAGTATGTTTTTGGCAATCGGACAATGTTGGAGAAAATGCCATGTATTGTGATTTGGATGACTGCTGCCAGTAGCACGCGATGAATGGATTTTCGAAGCGACTCTACTTCGTAGACGAGCGACACTGCCTTTGGGCCAGCGTCATGTGATACACCTGCATATTCTGTGATTCCGCCTGGGCAGGGCCCTGACTTTTGCATTTCAGCTCCATGTCAACCTCTGTGCCTAACCTAGCCAGCCTAGGTACCTTCCGGGGCGGCGCTTACGCGCGAACCACGAAATCTGCCTTGCCAACGCCATTACATTGACAGAGGCCCGGAAGTGTGCATTGCAGCCAAAATCCATCACAATGCTTCCGTGAGTCAATATTTTTCACCAAACAACTGCGATCGAGCAGCCCACGAAATGATTGTGAGGTCCACCGAGTGCCTGCTGCAGCAAATATTGTCTCCATGAGATCAACGTGTGACTGAACATGGACCCCCCACCGAAGCGACGGAGACTCGACGAGCCGCCTCCACATCCAAGAGATGGGTGGTTGAGTGATGCATCAAACACTGGACCTCGCAGTAGTCATTCAACGAGCGTCTTCGATGGCACAGGCATTTCGACTTCCCACGGCGATTTTCGTGTCGGACGCGATGTCAATATCTTTACGAATCACGGTGGCCACTCACAGCCTATTGATACCAGAAGCGCACTTCTCGAGTCGCTCCGATTCGACCAGATCGATGCACGCCGGCTGACCATCAAGAATGCTTACTCTCACACCTGTCGCTGGTTCCTGGAGACCGAACAATACAAGCAGTGGGACGCCAGGGGATCCTTGCGCGGCCGCCATAATGAGTTTCTGTGGATCAAGGGCAAGCCGGGAGCTGGAAAGTCGACCCTTATGAAGTTCCTACATGGCCACATTTCCAAACAGATCACCAAAAATGCCAGGAAGGAAGCCCTCATATCTTTCTTCTTCAATGCGCGGGGCCAAGATTTAGAGAAGTCAATTGCTGGCTTATACCGCTCCTTGCTACTACAGCTACTGGATATGAAGCCAGATTTGCAATACGTCCTAGATTCGTTTAGACCAGGTCATGAATGGACAATTGAGTCACTTACGTATGTCCTGGAGGAAGCTGCTCAAGGCCTTGGAGAGAGTCAACTTGTCTGTCTAATTGACGCACTGGATGAATGCGATCAAGGCCAGGTCCGCGATATGGTTACCTTTCTGGAAAGACTCACACTGGACCGGAGCTCACTACGTATATGTTTTGCCAGCAGACACTATCCGTTTATCAACATACAAACAGACCTCAGTACCGTCCTCGAAGAGCGCAAGGGCCATCAGGAAGACATAACAACATATCTGAATAGCGCACTACGGATTGGTCGCAACAAGCGTGCTGAAAAGATTCGCTCTAGACTGCAGGAAAAAGCATGCGGTGTTTTTATGTGGGTTATCCTCGTAGTCGATATCCTGAATAAAGACTACAACGCTGGGGACGTACTTGAGCTCGAAGATAGGATCGAACAGCTACCCGGAGACCTTCATTCGCTTTTCCGCGATGTACTGACCCGCTATACGGATAACCGGAAAGAGCTTCGGCTGTGTTTTCAATGGATATTGTTTTCAAAGCGTCCTTTGACCCCGTCACAGCTATATATTGCGATATTATCGGGATCGAATCCAAAAAGATTATCCAAATGGAATCGTGATGACTTCGAGGAAGCTGATGCCGAAAGATATATACTTGATAAGTCGAAAGGACTGACTGAGTTGACCAAGTCCAAAATCCCGACCGTACAGTTTATGCATGAGTCAGTAAATGACTTCTTACAGAAAGAGAATGGTCTTATTTGGCTGTTTCCCGATTTGGAGGCTAATATCGAAGGATATAGCCATGAGGCACTCAAAGATTGCTGCTTAGCATACACGAGCATCGTGGCCGATCAGTTTGCGGTCGAGTCATCAAAGGAGTTGTCTCGCTACAAAGCGATTCGTGCATTTCCGCTACTGGAATACGCCAATCCAGGTACCTTGTATCACGCTGAAGAGGCGGGAAAATACGGGATTAAGCAATGCGACTTTCTGGCAAACTTTCCACGATTGGAGTGGGTGCGACAACGAAACATCCTCGAAAAGTTTCAAAATCGTTGGTACACACTGCAGGTCAGCCTTTTATACATTCTGGCTGGGGCCGGGCACTCGACGCTGATCAGATCCTACGAAAACCGCCAGTCATGTTTTGAGATTGAAGCCGAGCGTCACAGAATTCCGATTTTGGCAGCCATAGCAAGGGCGCAGAGGCCAACAGTGCAGGTGATGCTAGAGCTCGAGGCAATCAGAATGTCATCTCTTAATTTTGAAGAGTTCTGCGGCCGATATCCACCACGACCAGATGAACCGTCAACACTAGACTTTCAGTTCAAGGCTGGCCAACAGATACTTCCTCAGCTTGTTGAGCATGGCAGCGACTTTGTTTCTATGTTCTTCCTCATGTCGAGGTGTGCAGAACTGACAGAGAAAGAGAAAGACGATCTGTTATATTTGGCATTGAAATTTAACAGACCGGCGACTTCGAAGTTTCTCATCAACTGCGACTCTCGTATACCGGAGACCTTTTCGGAAGGCATGACGCCACTGCATTATGCTTCTTCACAAGGGAATAGCGAGCTAGCAAAGTTGCTCCTTGATCGTGGCAGTGACGTGTTAGCAATCAACAAACGTGGAGAGACAGCATTGCATCTAGCTTCATCAGTTGACATGGCTAAACTTCTCATCGACTACGGAAGCAATATTGAGGCTATTGACGGGCAAGGTCGCACCCCCTTATTGAGCATGTGCATTAAAGGGTCAATCGCAATGGCTACATTTCTCATCAAGAGCGGCGCCAATGTGTTGGCTACTGACAAGAGAGGAAATGCCCCATTGCACGAGGCGTGGCGAGACAAGTCAGCTTTACTGGCCATGCTGCTCGTCGAGAAAGGTGCTAATGTTTCTGCTACCAACGAGAACGGAGCAACACCATTACATGAGGCAGTGTGTTGGAGTACATCATCGTCAGTGGCATTGGCTAAACTTCTTATTGATAGCGGTGCGAAGGTTTCCGCCACTATCAATATAGGAGAAACCCCATTACACAGGGCATGCTTGAGGAATTCGTCCGCAATGGCCAAACTTCTCATTGACCACGGCGCCAGTGTGTCGGCCATCGATCGGAACGAACGCACACCATTGCATTTTGCTTGCGACTCAGGGTCAGTCGGAGTAGCCAGAATTCTTGTCGACAACGGGGCCAATGTGTCGGCTATCACAAAGGATGGAAATACACCATTACACAATGTGGCGCAGTGGTCAAGGTACTTCCCTTCCAGAATGGCAAAATTTCTCATCGACAATGGAGCCAGTGTGTCGGCCCGTAACCACAAAGGAGAAATCCCATTACATCGAGCTGTAAGTGGAAACTTGTACGGAACAGAAGCGAGAGAAATGGTCAAACTTCTTATCAAAAATGGCGCAGATGTATCGGCCGTTGACCAGAACGGAGACACATCATTGCACCACCTGGGTGCATACTCAGCTGAAGTGGCCCGAGTCTTGATTGATCACGGTTCCAATGTCTTGGCAACCAATAATGACGGACAGACGCCATTGCATTGCCTTGCGAGAAGGGATCACAATGGCACGTTGGTCAAGCTATTGATTGACCATGGAGCTGATGCGTCAATTGGCGATCACTATGGAAATACACCATTACTGGTGGCTTCCTCTCTGGGGAATATTGCAATAGTCCATTTACTTCTCGATTGTGATGTTGATGTTTCGGCGGCCAACAAAGACGGGAAGACACCATTGCTGGCAGCTTCATCAGGGAAGCATTATAACGTAGTCGAGCTACTACGTGCGCACATACACCTAGGTACCTAGGTATACTAAGTACATATAGTGGACGAAATAGTGTAGGATTATTTCGTATACTATAGAAGAACCTAAGTTCTGGATAAGGTTCAAGTACAACAACTTATAGCTGTCAGTAACCTATCAATTAATCTTGTTGCACATTTACTTCTTCCGTTGCTGCCGTTCAAGATACGTTTGAAACTTTATCTGCCAGAAGGAATGTAGCACCATCTCTCGCCCTTTCTGTCGATCTGCACCTTGTCCGTGTGTATTTTCCCTTCAGACATTACAGAATATGATTTATAATAGTGACTTGGCATATAATGATAACAAAGCGCAATACACCTGTGTGCTGCCTGATCAGGATCATCACCAGCACTTGCTGTTGCACCTGACAGCCTCTGTATGTCTTCGTGGCTGTGCGGCAATGCAAGGACAATATGACAATGTATCTACCCCCGCTTTGGTATCATACTCAAACTGAAGCATCTCACGCTGCCTTTTGGCGCCATCTTTTCTCTCATCTTCGCGCGTCTGATTAATACCCTCTACATCATGTCCAGCCAGCGTACTCCAGCACCCGGCCTGCCTGCAGAATATGTGACCAGGAAGACACACAATGGACTATTTGTCAGCATGCCGATGCCCCTCCAGACTCCAGACTCTGTGAGAACTGTCAAGGCTGGAATGGTCTTACTCACATCACATCACAATCTGTGCCGGCGATGAGCTAAAGCTCAGCCGTTCGATATTTCAGCCGCCGGAGTTTGCAGACTGCCAATCTATGCCCTATCTCTGCTGACCGCGTTACGCCACTCGAATTTCGGCCTGGACAAGCATTGTAGAAAGCCCAGAAATGCCTCGTCTGCAATACTCTGGTGGCCAGTTTGAGCAAACATTGTCCAGTCCCCAAACCTGTCAGTGTTGCACTATGGAGGCTGTGGCCTGCTAAAGGGCACTCTCCAAGTTCATGTAAGCCGGCAAGACCAAGATATTGATCGCCCTTGGAATGGCGAGCGTATACTGATGTTCTTTGTGGCATGGGCCTAAAATTGCAATGGGGTTGATGATACAGTTGAGATTTGTTTCCGAAATAGTTGAAGCTACAAGCTGGTTGAATACATTTTAAGACCATGTCAGAACCGAATAGAATATAGAATTCATCACAAGCACGTTCCAAGAGGACTACCAACGTCACATCGACTATTACGGCCTGCCTGCGTCCCAATGTGGCATCATTATCCCCAGTTCTCAGGAAGCCGTTCGCTATTATGGAATCTCCGAAGGGGTCATTCAAGTTGCAAGAACAAAGCGAGGATGTCCGGCGTTTGGTACGACAATGGCACGCCTCGGCCTGAGAGCGAAATTGGCCGTGGAGTCTAGCAAGAAAGAACAATTATTGACATCACCAATGAAAACGACAGCGCCATCGGTAATATCTGACCGGCGGCATAATCTATCAACATACATAGAAAATTAATTTAAAAGAGAGCCTGTAATTCGAAAAGAAACGAATGAAAATAATTAAAAAGATCAAGACAAATAAAATAAAAGTAAGGAAAAAAGGAAGAAAATAAATAAAAGCAAAGCTTAAAGCTGTAATAACTATATATTCTTGCTAATGCAAATACATACTAGTAATTTTCGCCTTAAGTATTCAGATTTTCACAAATGCAACCTGTATTCAACATGAAAAAGAAAATTAAAGACGCTCCACATCTACGAAATTAAAATGTGAACAAACAGACTTGATAACCCTTCCTGTTGCGTCATCCGAAGGGTGTCACGCAACGCAGTCACTCTGCGGTGCATCAATCGCCGCTTTGCTTGCATCAGTCAACTAACTTCGGCGTCGGCGCCTCTCTCGATATCTCTTATCTCGTGCAACGTGTCTGGCATTACGGTGTGGTTCATCAACATTCGAAGCGGTCTCCCTCATCCTTAATGGTGGTGGCTGATACAAATCATCTAGCCGTCGTTTTGGAGCTTTGGGGTCATTCTTGTGAGATTGTTGATCCCCTGACAGAGAACCTCGATAGTTCGTGGTGGAATGACTATCTGGAAAACGAGCTCTAGGTTGCGACTGGCTGTCACTTGCGCCACTGTTGCTAGAGCCAAGCCCACTATCCTGATGCCTAATTGACGTGCACAGGTCATAATTTGGCTCAAATGACGGATCTTCGGGCATGTAAGGATTGGTCTCTTCGGAAACAGAAGGCTCTCCATGGTCATGATAAGACCATTTCAGGATTGAGTTATGGCCGAAGATGACAGCACCGTCTTGCGGTATGGACCGTGGGGCTGCTTTCGCCTTGAACAAGTCTCGCGCTGTGGCTTTGCTGGACATCAAGACCTGCGCAAGATCTTGGTGTTTTCCTGAGTTACTTTGACAATCGTCGAAACTGGCTTTATCCTGGTGCCAGTATACACCTTCGCACAAAAGGGCAGGCTGGCTCTGTGGATTTCCGTGTAGTTCCATGATTTCCTCAAGATCCCTCACCCCTGCACTGAGGTAATAGCGGCCTTTGGGAACCAAGGCGCAACCAGAGCACAGATTTTGTGATGCGACTGGGTCTAACAGGTGGCCAAATCCATCTCCAAGAAGCGTTATGGCCTGGATACTCCGGACAAAATCTACCCAACTTTTCCCCATTGTGTCCAGCGTCGCTACATGTGGATAAAAGGGGTCACAGTCGCTGGCAATGTCCTTAAAGTCCCATCCTTCTAGTCGGCTGCGCATGTGAAGCTTAAGCTTAACTCCGTTCTGACCGGATACATCAGTCTGATGATCGATGAGCTTTTCCAGGACATTGAATATGTGGTTGACGCGGTCTTGGAATAGAACATAGGAGATCTTTTGCTTTGTTGTCGTTTTCGATTGGTCTGATTCACTTATTTCCTCGTAGTGCTCTACCGCATGGGGATATACTCTGAGCTGCATATTTCGTCGATTCAGCAGCTCCTCGATAGCCGAGTCGGCTGTGTGGGGTGTGGAAGCGGCCTCCATCAGCTCTGACTTGAACAGAAACTCTTTGCTGAACTTGTCGGCCTTATTGATCTCGAGAGAGGCTCGAACAAGATGGAGAAGTGCGCTGGTTCCATTCACTAGCCATCCACGCTTATCTGCTTCATCCCAGAAAACCACGTGCTTTTTGGAGATCCATTGTAGACGGGGGATGTAACCATCTCTTGCGACATGTACCGGCCGGTCTTTGTTGCCGATTGCGAATGTTGCCCCCGCCGAGATAATCTTGCCACCTGTCACAGATATCTTTTCCAAAGCGCATCCGCTACCAGTCATTGGAAGTCGTGATCTTCCAATGGTATAATTTGCCTCACCAGATCCTAATATTAAAGTTAGTATAATCAGCGATAGGAGGAGTGTATGTTGCCAAGAACGCGACAACAAAGCTTGGTGATTTACCCGCGAGATATTTGACGTGAGAACACCATCCAACGAAATGCCGTGAATGCTCCATGTGCCCGATACTGATGTTTCTGCAGCATTGATGCGTGACATCAAGATAAGAGATATGTTCGCCATGCTTGTCGAAACTAAGATGCCACAAGAGTTCACTACCCATGCTCCAAGTGAGTGCCAACATCGTCGAGAACCCCTTCAGAAAAAGAGTGTCCTTGAACATCTGCACCTCTTTTGTCTGGATAAGAGCAGCCATCATTTCCAGGGAAAGCTCCAGACCAGATCCGTCTGTCTCTCTTTGGGGTATAGGGTACGTCATAGCAATCGTGGGGTTCCGGAAAAGATTGTGCCAGCATTCACCCTCTCGCTCGGATGCTGGATTCCGTACCCTTGACAAATTGAAACCGAGTCTACAAGAGTACTCTTGTAATTGTGGTTCATCAAACGCCGGATTCTTTGACGACTGAATTATTTGGCGGACGTAAGGCGTGCACCCGGCAACCCCAGACCCATATGGTGAAATGTGCAAGGCTGATCCCAGCCATCCAAGTTGCTCTGCGATCTCAACTATAGTGTAGATACCTCCCTCGATTCGGACTTGGAGCTCAGAATCTGTAATTAATGCAGTCGCCTGACTGCCGTCTTCAAGATCGTCTGACTTATGTTAGAAAGTCTCTGTTCACCCTTTCATGCAGATCAAAAACGCTTACAACTATACGGTGCCCCCATTGGGGCTGAAGAAACATCATCAATCAAAGATGCCATAAAGAGTCCTGTATTAGGCCACATGAGCTTCATGTAGTCCCGACAGGAGGTTGCGAATGCGTCTCGAAAAGAACCAGTCAAAGTGATGGTATCGCTGATTGTATGCCCATTCAAATCCTGGTTTGAGAACTGTGCATCCAAGAATCCCTTCGGGTTCCATTCCACTGTGAATGTTACAATTTCGGTGTCAGGGGTTTTGTGGCGGCTGATCCTTCGAGGTCGCTCTATGGAGCTGAGAAGTTCGTTGGAGATCCGCGTTGTGGCGCTGTCTTTGAATGTCATCATACCAATATCTCTTTTCAGATTCGCCATTAACCACCTGTAGGCTACGTTGGAAGATACGATTCTCGTATATATTTCCATCTCCGGTACGACAGTCTCTGCGTTGCATTCGTCATCTTCGTCATCATCTTTGTCAAAGAGATTCACAACAGATACCGGGGATGGTGGCTCAGATAGTACATGTGATTCGTTCGTATCCATGGACTCTATTTCTTGAAAGTTATCCAATCGTTGAAACCAATCGTCCAGCCGATTTTGGAGGATGGGAAGCGGAGTTGTGCTTCTTGCGGTCTCGATTTCATCTGGAACCTGTTCACCCAGAATTCTGCGAATCTCCTCGGCGATGCTTCTATATTCAGGAAAATCAGATTAGTCAATTGCAATGAAGCTTTTTTCGAACAGACGAAGCCATCTTACCTTCTGTGTTTATGAATGAAATACATGATATCTCTGTGATCCTGTGTGGAGTTTTTCCCACCGATCCTCAGAGCGAAGGCGCGAATAGCGTCAGGAAGCTTTTCGTAAAGTATCTCTATAATATCGTTGTTGCCATTTCCTAAAAAGAGCTCTCGAATCACTACCTTAGCAAACTTCAGGATATATGCGTGCTTCTTATCATCTCTCATTGAAGAATCACCGGAATAGACCGTATTGGCGTCGTCCAAGGGGGCATTTGCCTTGATGCCCTGCTGCTCTGTCTGTTGCTGCTGAGCATTCTTCTCATCTTTTGGGAGTGATGCGTAACCGGAGTCTGTTTGATGAACTGACTCTGACTCGTCTGACATATAGACTTGCAGTGGAGCAATTTGGATTCCCTCTCTATGCGAAAGGATGAAGCGCCATGCATCTTCGATCAAGTTATGGATGTGTTGTGATTCACTGTTTCTCTTTTTCTTTTTTTTTTAAGATCAGCGGTTTGGAATCAATCTTATAACACGAAATCAATCATACCAAAAAAGACTTGAGCCTGTTCATTGCTTCAACTCCCTCAGGGATTGCCGACAATAAGCTGAGAGCCTCGAGCCAGTAGTAATATTTCTCTTGGATGAAGCGGTAAACAATTCCATCATCCTTGATTGCTTCGTTGAGAAATTTCCTGTCCGGAAAAGGTAGTAGGGAAGTGGTGTTGAGTTCATCCAGCGCTGTTGGCTTGCCAAATTCGAGGACATGGCTAGGCCAATAAACGCAGGAATACCGAACTGGGGCCAATGGGTCAGGATCCGGTGGCGAGACATCCTTGGCCAGATATCCTGGTTCTTTCAAACCATAGATGTCACGTCTGAGCACCGTAGACAGATTCTTGAGCGCTTTTTCGGAGATATAGTAGTGCTGATGGGTGATTCCATGCGGCAAAATCTGTCTCGATGCACCTTGGTTCTCAAGGAGAAAATCTTTTGCAGATAAATGGACAAATGATATGATTTTGTCATCCTCCTGCATTCTGTCATCCTCTTGCGTGGTCAAAAACGAGCCACATAGTCCAATGACAGAACCAAGGCTGTTTTGTGTGGGATGCCTCAGCAGCGATTTCATCTCTCGCCAATTGATCGGGCGGTACACAGTACAAGCTATGGCGAGCATCTGCTTGCAAAGATCCGGATCCTCGGATGACCGGTCGATGCTTTCCATCATCCTTCCATAGAATCCATTGAGTTCTGGTGGAAAGTTGGATCTCAACGTTGCGTACGTACTGTCGGCAAGTTTATGCTCGGCAAGTTGTTTGCAAACCAATGCAACCCATAGAAAGGTATTGCGAGGGTTGGAACTTATATATCCTCGAACCTTCTCTCGTAGATCATCGGAATATCGTTTCCTTTTCACTAACAAGGCGACCTGATCAGCAATGAAGAAGCCAATCGCATGGTCGACTGAAGATTTGTAATACTCGAGAGATATCTCAATTGTCTGCTCCGAACAGCTCAGTTCATCCTCAATCTCTGTCCAGTTACGACTTGAAACGAGGACTTTGAATCGTTTCAATGTTGATACAGAGAGTTCCACAATGACTTGGAGTAGTTTGTCAAGTCCAGTCACACATTCGTCGAGGGCGTCTACAATCAAGTAAACGCCTCGCTCGTCCAAATCTCGCAATACCTCCTCGACTTTCTGGACAAGTGTGATCCAATTCGCACGATGAGTGCTGTCTGAATCAAGGTATTTACTGCGTGGATATTGGCTTGTCTGGATGAGAAAGGCAAGAAGGCCCTGCATTACCGATTCGGCGCTGTTGAGATGATCATCGGTCGCCTGAATGAAGAAGTAGATCGGGACCCAAGTTTGGTCGTTCCTAGCCCTCATTTCCTCTTCCAATGTTTCAGTGATGCCGTAGAGGAGCATTGTTTTGCCTTTGCCCGGATCTCCTTTGATCCAGAGAAGCCGGCGATCATCTTCATATCGCCATCGTTTGAATTCATTGTTGGAAAGGATCCACTCATAGGCACCCTTTAGGAGCTTGCCTTTATGATTCTTGATACGCTTTGTAGCAATCTTTGGATCTGGAATGCCAGCAGGGATCAAGGTATTGGCAGAAGCTTGCTCTGAACCACCTGTCACTTGTGTTCTAATTAGCATAACTCTGTAACTAGGTTTGTTTCTCATTGATAAGTTCGCATATCTGATGGATTGTGGTTTATGTACGGGTATGGAAGAAATCAATAAGCCTCACCAATATTGAAATAGCCGCCATCAATATTGTAGCCGGAATTGAAGGTGTTATAACCTCCTAGGGGAGTGTTCTGCTGTCCATGACCGCCCAGAGCGACATCCTGCGAATTGGAAACAGGACTCATTTGCTTGGTGCCCGAATCGTCCATCGATGGTTCAACCTGGGACATATCTTCAAGCGCCTTCTCGATTTCCTCCATGTCATCTCGGGTCGCTAAGGTGAATGGTTCGTATCCGACGATCATCTTCACATATTCCAAGATATTTGTCATCAGTGTCCGCACTTTCGTGTGGCGCCATCGGTTGAGCCAACTAGCGGGATCTTGGTTTGTCTGACATTCTTCCTCGAAGGCATGAAATAGTAGCTGCAACGATCGGGTCTCTTCATCGTACTTATGCAAGATATGAGAATAGGATTGGCATTTAGTCAGGGTCCCGTGGCTCTGTTGAGTTTGGACATCGTTGAGGGTCCGCTGTGCAAGATCGAGGTGTCTGTCGACATGTTCAAAAACCGTTGAGAGGTCCTTGATTGCCCTGACGGCTTCGCGAGTCTTGTTGATGGCGTGTGTGAAACCAGCAAGAGATGCAGCGGTGCTGAGATCATCCATGAGCCTTCCCGTGCACCCGTGCAATTCAAAGAAGGGTACAATCTGGCAATCCTGTGTAAAAGTAAATATTCCTTGTGAAGGGAAAGACTATGTCGGGGAGAGTGTCGGCGGTAAGCGGTATTTACCCCTCATCGAAGCCGTACCCTTCATAAGTTTGTGTATCACAGTGTGAACTTCGTTTGTATGGCAGTATAGTATCCGATCCTGACTAGGTTAGCCAACTCATCAGGTCCGCCTGGAAAGACTCCTGCTTGCATGAACAATTTAGATTGGTCCAGTGGAATAAATTTTATCGTGTCTAAGTCAGAATCTTCCTCGTATTGACTCAGGCTTTTTACTCATAAGCAGCTATGAAGATGGTCTACAATAGATCCTAGATCGTTTAGTGATGAATTCGATATTATTGCTCCGAATCATGAATGTGCTTTAGTAAGCGGGCTTTCCATTTTCTCAGCTATCTGCCCCTTTTTCCTACTTTGCATTTAAATTCCACACCTTCGGCAGATCGGCAGATTGATAGGCTATCAAGGCTCATACACTGTTGCAACGGGCCATGATATGCAATCTAAGATAGTACAGGGATCAATCCCTTGATATACAGAAGAATCCGTGCATCATAATAATGGATGCGAATCCATCTGGCATTACACCCAGATAGACTTTGTGCCGTTCTGCCTGTCTGCGTTCAATTTAGGGCGCAGGTGAATGACCGTGAGTGACAGTCTGCCGCTAATATCATTCCCCAAGTTGAACGTGTTGTGACCTCCGATGGGGGTATTCTGCTGGTCAAATCCGCCACTCTGAACAATATGATGGTTGGAAGCGGAATCCAATTCCGGGTGTTTTCATGAAGGGTCGGCTTCGTCGATTGATCTCAGCACCGCATCAATAACTTCGGTTGACGTGTGCAGATCCATACCGCCGTGTAGACAAACATCTTTCAATCTTTCTAATACTGTTTTCAAACGATCTTCGATTCGATTTTATTTCTTGTGATCTAGTGCTTCCAGATACCAGACACGGACCTCACCCAAGCTATTCTGGTTTCGAGTTTGCTTGATTTTGTTTTCGAGCTTAATGCGGGCCGTCTCCAATGTCTTTTCGACCGTTTGGGCACGATTCGTGACTTCGCTGAATACATGTGGAATGTCGCTGACCGTGCCAATAGTGTCGTTGGTGGCAATGATGGCAGCGACATTTGCCAGTATTGGATCGATAGCAGAAGGATCCGCCATATTTCTCGGTTCGTTCTTTCAGATCTTGGCTCGTTCGTTTGTGACCGAATGACTTGGAAAAGAATACCAGGAGACGGAGCGGGAATGAAAGACTGTATTACCCCGCTCGCTGTCGATTTATTGACTGCCTGTCAGCCTGGTGTTACACACAAAGTTCATACCTCATCAGCAAATTATAATTATTGCGCAATATGCGTTGACATGGAAGCTTTGGCAAAACGAAAGAAGAGAAGGGTTATCAATGAGTCTCAAGAATAGACTGAAGTACGCATTTTCGTGACCTTACTTTACACTGAGTAATAACTCGATTAATTCATGTCTCTAGTATAACTGGACTTTCGCAATATACCTCATCTCCCATAATGGAATACTATCGTTGACGACCTTTACTGTATATGTCGCTGGGGCAAGCTGTACTGTTCCCACTTTTGCAACGCCAGGGGGTCCCATCCACAATACCACTAAGGTTACCTGATTAGTACTACAGTACCTATGTAGTATGAATATGGTCGTGAGTATAGGGAAACTAGCCCTTTGGTAAATGAAAGTACCGCCATTTTCACCACAATTCTGGAAAGAGTTCATGATGCAAGGTTCAATTGTTGTGTTGGTCAATGAACACTGGTTGCCCTATAGAGCGTTGAAAAGATCATCATGACTCAACCACGTACCCTTGCGAATAATTGTCCTATCCAGCCAAAAGAGCCGCCGATCAAGAAGAAATTGTGTCAGGATCATTACTTGCTCGAATCGCGCATAAAACGGCACACAGAATAATCACGTCAATAACAACATTTTGAGGCTGAGCAAATGGCTCTCGGCGAAACACAGTCAGAGTTGACGGAGCGACGCAGAGCATTAAGCTCACATTAGCTTTGCACCATACCTACATCCATACCGACGCAGTGGACTGCACTTCAGTATTGTGAATCAAGTCACTCCGTTGCATCAATGGAAGGAGAGTTTCCCAAATCCAGATAAGCTTTACCTGCCTCGCTGGCTTCTATCGGGGTTGATAAACCCGAAAGCGATGACCGAGTGCGTATCATATTGGAAGAAATGGATAAAGGTGCAAGCAAATGCGTAAGGTATAAGTATTAATATGCTTGTAGTCAAAGCAAGACACGAGCAACTTGAGACATGCCATCGTCGGCCGATCGTAAGTGGGCTCGTGTCAATAATAAATAATGGTTTCAAACCCAGTCTGCGGAAATTTTCTATCATGTTCCGGGCTTTCCCCATTCCTGTTTCCATTACCGGCCCGACAATTAGGATACGGGTCGATTTCTTCGAAAACAAGTGTGAAGCATTCTATTCATGATTAGTGATTTACATTTAAGAAAAGACTTTGCCTTTGCCTGAATGATCACTTCATGAATGTTGCTGCCTGTTTGCCCGCTCAGAATTTGCCATAACAATTCATAGCACCCAAGACAAGGATTCATTTAGAGTCAAGCTTGAAGGTAAGGTCGAAAGATTGATGTGCAATTAGGGGTATATTCGTACCTCGAGGATACTGATCATCAGCACAACGCCGTCTCATACTAGAATAGTGTAATTCAAAGTGTCCCTGTTGCTTAACTCATTCTTTGCCCTCGAAAACCAGCTTCCTAACCAACTTGTACAAGTGATAAACCGGCGGGCGTCCCTCGTCATCTTCAAAACGGTCCTCTGCAGCGTCGAGCAAGCTCATACGCAGACCCGGCGGCACGTCTTCGGCGCCCGTCTCCCACTCGATCAGTTCCGACATTCCGGCAATCAGCATGTAGCCCGTCATCTCTCGAAGCGTCAAGTTCCTAGATGCTAGTTTCCTCTCAACCTGTGGGTCATCATCAACTGCAATGCTGGTCGTGTTTGTCCACTTCTTGCGCTTTGCCTGAGCAGATACCTGAGCCCAGAAAAACCAGGTGCCGTGACGAAGAACGCACTCTTCAAATACTGTAAGCCGCTCGGAGAAACTTGGGTCTGCTTGAACATCGGGGCGGTCTTGTACGTGGCCAGCCCCGGCGGCTGTAATGGTAACGTACAGCGCCGCTAGATCTTCGACCGGTAGCGACTTGATGTATTCAATCTGGGCGCTGCGCGCAGGTGTGTTGGTGAATGGATTGCGAGTGCGCATGGAGGCGGGTAGTCGCGCCATATGGCCCCAAAATCCGCTGCTGACCAAGGTGTAATCGTACTCGGGTAAGGCGTCTGGCATGCTGGCAGCTACATCGGCGATGGCGTCACAGTGTCGCAAGGACCGCTCCAGCAAAGCAATGAAGCGCTTCTGTTGTACAGTCGTCAGGGGCTGAAGGCCCGGGGGAGAGGTGATGTCGATGTAACCACTGCTAATGATGTCGGCGATGCGGCGCTCGCGCAATTCCAGTTCGCACACCCAAGGGAATGTATCGGGTGCGCAAACCTCGCGATACACGTCGCTGGATGAGAGAAAGTTGCGCTTGGTGGTAAGCGCCGAAATACCTTCCACTTTTGCCTTGCAGATCGAGTGCTCGTAAGAACGAACCAGGGAGTGGTTGGACTTGTTGGTGATCATAAAGCTGAGCAAGGTTGCCATGTCCATGTGCTTAACAAGATTGAGAACCAGCTCGGCTGGGAGCAGTGAGAGATCCATACTTGGCAATAATGTATGAATGATGAGCAATAAATAAATGGCGAATGTCTGTCTGCAAGAAGAATGCACCGTCGTATTTAAAGGTCCAACATAGAAATGCCTTTGTAGAAGTGGTGTTTTTTGTGAACCTTGATGGGCTGCGTTTGGTTTTTTGCGGGAGAGTCGTGGCCATCAAGGTTGAGTGAATGGTCGACTAGCCCAGTGACGCAAGCGAAGTCGGTTCTTTCCTTTGTTTGCATAGGTATTCATGGGACGAAGTCGCATCTCATCAGTCTTCAAGCAAATCGTTCTTGCAACAGACACTTTGTAGTGATTACCAGGTACTGGATTTGTCAGTCCTATTAATATGAGTCTAAGCGCAAGGTATCACCAATCTCACCACAGACATGTATTATAGTAGAACGCTTTGGCGGGGTTGTCCACAAGTGGGACCGCGGGGCAACAAATAATGGCAAGAAACAATGAGAGCAGCCATTGTTTTTTTCACACAATGTTTGTCTCTTGACAATGATCGTGACACGACATGCTTACAAGTTCATAGGTTTATGAATATCCGGGACCCGACGAGGGTTTGCTGCGCGACATCTTGAGTCTTCGGAATCCTGACAAAGTCTACGTGGAAATTATAGCGCAACACATGCCAGGTCGATCCAAAGGTGTAATCCTTGAGAGCATTTCCTATGGTTTGTTTTGGCACTGAGCGCCATGTGGTAAATGTTCGCATCTTGATTCTATTTGCAGAAATGCAACATTCCGTGCCTTCGTTTGTACTGCTGGGGTTGCAGGCCGGAGAAGAAGTTAGGGAGCCAAGTCTTGGTCCCTGTCGTACGTCTTGCTGGTTCCCCAAAGACATATATGTCAAGTCCACTCAAGCAGTTGACTAGTGATATACCAGGTAAACCTCAGGTCGTGTCGTAGCAGTGATGCGACGTCGCCATAGATTAGGCTTGGCTAAATGCCAAGCGCGTGAGTTCGAGGTTCGCTGAGAGTTTGTAGTTGATTATCTTGCGCAGGTCACCTGTCGCGAAAGATGATAACTCGGGTCGACCAAGTGTGGTGGCTGTCGCTTCGCCCCATAGCGCCACTGTAGGCGCTTATCCCTCAGACCTCTAATAAATTTTTTCTGATTCCTCCCCCAACGCCGGAAATGCAAATTAATCAAGAGCTCATTATTCTTTGTCGGCCGTAACTCGTGAGGCGACTGGGAAATGCTCGCTCAAAGGTGCATGCCGCCCTCGTCGTCGTCGTCTTGCATCTCGGGCAATCGTTCTTGTAGTCGACGAAGAAGCTCCTCATCACCGAGTCCCCGTATTGTGCCGGTCGTAAAAGTGCCGTCGGTCCAGGCAGAGTGCTGTCCGTTCTCGGCCGCCGAGGACGTCTGGCCGTTGACGCCGTTTGTGCCATTCACCGTGGCGTGTGCCTGTGCTTCTTCGCTCCCTTGTGTATCAGAACCCTCCTTCTTGTCATCATCAGTCTTGCCCTTGAACTCGTTCCAGCTGAGGCCCCGATCCTCGACTTCGGCGCGTATGAGCTCTATCCGGTGCTGCATGCGCTCAATGACGGCCTCGTTCTCCTTGATGGCGTCTATGCAGTCCTGGTCGGGTTCATTGGGGGCGGCGCTCGAGTCCAAAGCGGAAGCGGTGCCATCGGCAAAGGGCTTGAGCTCCTCGTTGGAGTAATCGAGGTGGGCGATGGAGTTGCGCAGCTCCAGGACCTTGAGCGCAAGGCTGCTGGCGGGGAGCTCCTTGAGCGCCTCAGCGAAGCGCGCGGGGTCTATGGGGGCAGCTTCTGACGACATGGCGAGAGGATGTCTGTGTGTGTGTGTGTGTGTGTACGAAATTGATGTCACGAAGAAAAGTAGAAGAAACGTTGAGCTTGAGGCGTTGCTGGTTAGGAAGAAAATGGTGCTGGTTCCGTAGCTTCTTGTCTAGGGCACGAAATGGGGAGCTGCTTGTTTGCCGGTTGCGCCTGCGTCATGCAGAGAGCTGCCTGCCACTTTTTAATGCTTGTCGTGAAGGTACGTACTTGCTTACCTAAGTGCTATGCGCATTAATATCACAACTCCTCTTATAACATCCATTCTATAATATTTGGCAAGTTCCAGCACATAATTGATACTAGATAACCAATTTTGATTTCTGAAATAATTCCAAATGCCTCCTGCACCTCGGGAACAACGGGCTCTAATCATGTCAGATTGAACTAACATGGAATATCTCAACTGATCACCCTGGTTTCTTTACCCCACAAGTCCAGTACCCGTATAAGTTATAACCTAGTACGCCAACCAACTCTACGTCCTGACCTTGCAAGTTACCTATGGAGATCTAACCTACGCGGTAACTAAATCACTCTTGCCACAAAATATGACTTCAACCTCGTATCAAGGTTGGCTGGTGAGGAGCTTGACGGCTTCACCTTGCTGTCCCGCATCTGGCTCAGCACCGATGTCTCCGCGATTGATGTGTCATTGTGTCCCGTCCTTTTCTCGTTTCGAAGTACAACTGCCAGCCACCTTTCATAGCTCTCAAGTGGCTTTGTGTGGACAGGTGTTCATATGTAACATAAAAACTTTGGTTTATTTATCAACAATCATGTTTCCGTGTGGTCCGTTGCTCAGCCCTGTCTGTTTTCGAAAGCGGCGATTGCATAACAAAGTTTCTCCAGTGCCAAGATTACAAGGCTGGAGGCTGTTGTTCCAGCCCCCCGGTCCGTCTGAGTAGCCGCTTTCCATCTGTACGTGAATCTCAAGGCAATCGGCGTAATTTGAGAATTTCGGTTTCTTCCAACAAAAATTGCACGACTTTAGGTGCGTAACTGAACAAAAGGACATCGCCATGTGCCCCAAAGTGAACACCTTTCGTAATTAAAGCGGCTGGTCTCTTAGTAGTATTTAGAGCGCTCGCTCGCTTCAGATTGGGAGAGAAAAACCTCTCTCATTTGTCCTTCATTTTATTTTCTCCCAGAGGCACATCAGACTTGCTCGTTAAGAAACATGCGAATAAATCTCCCAGACATCTTGTTGGTTCCAAAACCTGCAGATTTGACCTCAAGCTTCTCCCCTGACGGCATCTGCCCCGAGGGAGACATTGTGCTAGAGGTCGGGCATGAGAAGGAGCCGTTGAGAGTAGAATCTGACTTCCTCACGTACACATCGGGACCCTTCAAGGACATACTTGATAGCATAGGCTATCATAAACGGCCGCCTCGTTGCGCAGATGAACCACTTTCGACGCCCACTGTGTGGTTAGAAGATGATGATTTCAATGCATTGTACACCATCTGCTGCGTTCTTCATCATCAACCCGACTTGCTGCCACCGTTTCTCGTGCCGGAACAGATACTGCAGGTTGCCTTGGTGGCAACAAAGTACGACTGGTCCAAGGCGCTGACGTTTGCCCGGGCGTACTGGCTCAATCCTGCCGAGAAGCCCAGCTTTATCGACGCGGCATACCTCTTTGCAGCCACAGCTGCCTTTGGAGACGAAGACCTCTTCAGATACCACAGCTTACAAATCATTCTTGGGTATATCGAGCCATACACGGAGTTGCGAAAGTATAGGAGCATCTGCCAAGTTCTGCCCGTAAAGATCTTCAGTAAGCCCCTTTCCCCCCGGATGGAGGATGAAATCGTCAATAAAATGTTGCAGGTACTGATCAAGACCTACGTGTAGATATGCTGGAATGGAAAAGAATCCGTTTACGGATCGAACTGTCAAAGCTCATGTTTCAGGGAGCATTTGCTCTAGTGGCGTGCAACTGGGACTCGAGGCGACGGGACAGGTTTTTCCATCTCCATCAGGCAAAGTACAACCCATTCAAGATATCTGAAGTGCCGTTATCTCAGGTCATGGATGACATGCGTATGGCGTCGTATGAAGAAACGGGCAGACCAGAGCACAATGCATCGTGCGGCGACCACAATCTCCATGCTGCCGAGTTCGCGAATCGACTGGCACAATTGCAATGGGACTCCTGTATCGATATGGCCGTCATAAACTCAGATGCAGACGCAGACGACGTTGAAGACGTTTCCAGCGACAAGGATGATTGCATTTCGATTCATCTAGACGCGGAGGGGGCAAGTTCAGGTGAGCAAGAGACGATAGTTGATGGGCAGTAATTGGGGCATTCATGGCTTTACACTGTTTTTGCTTGATTTAAATCAAGGAGAACAGAATCATGTTTTTTTCTCTCTTCTTTTGTTCTTGTTCCAATTTTTTTTTTTTTTTGAAACCCCCTGGTGACTTTGCCTAGACAAGTCTCATGATATTGGGAGTTTGATAGGCAAAGTCCCAAGCCTCAATGAATCTAGAATGTGCATAACTTTGGTGGTTTTGGACCGGATACCAATAGACAGCAGCAAATTAGAACCCCAACAAGATTGATCAAAGTTAATGACTCGACTCTCCTCGAGGTCATTGATATCTTCTTGCACAGCCATCAAGGTAGAAAGCCGACGTTGAACAAAGCTTTAGTCGGCCCGGAGTGACACGGTAAGCACATTTTGGTTTGAACTCCGAACACCGAAAACGAAACCACGCGATACGTTTTCGCTTACGGGAAACAATGAAGAAAGAATTCAAAGTCCTGATTCTTTTTTTCGGTGGGTCCATAGCCGATGGAAGGCTGTGCAATTGAACTCAAGAGGCTGTGAGTATAACATGACCTGTTTGAGATCTGAAGAAACAATTCAGACCGTGACAAGAAGCAATGATATGGAAATATCAAGACTGTCACACCGGTACTTTTTGCCAGGGAGTGTCCCAATTTTCATTGGACTTTACCACAGCCATGCTGATGACTTGGTGGTGTGAGTCACTGCCAATGTGATAAAACAAAGTGCATACAATTGGGTTGATGTGAAATTGTACATTTTAGTATGGAGAGGATGTGTTGTGGCTTGGGGGATGCATGCAGCTAGCCAGTCATAATTCCAAATGCCGACAGAAGACAACGTTGCGGATGATCCGTCTTATTAAACCAAGTATCGATTGAAGTGGACATGATTACAAAATATTGGATTCCACGTGGCGTCTTCCATGACTACTGCCGCGTGCTACAAAGGTTAAAAGAGAAGCAAGGAGAAGTAAAGAACAATAAGCAAGGCAGGCAAGCAGGCACCTTGCAAAAGTCCTTGACTGCAAAAGGTCCTTGTACTATGACGACCAAAGAAACTATAGAACCCCCATCTCGTAGCGGCAAGGAGAGGGAACTTTGGACATGATTGGCCAATTGGACCAGCACGGACCGTGACCAATGTCAACCTGTGAATCTTTTCGGGTAGAAATTTCCGATCACGTTGAAAAGAAAGAAAAACCAAGGTAGTAATGACAATTTTCTTCATCAACTTTTCATGAATCACGGAGTTCGGATAGGACGACTTGTCGTAGCCTTAATTGGGTGTCAGGCAACCAAAAAAAGGCCTTGCTGGCTCCTCTCGACCATGCCTATCATAGCCCCCACTAGGACGCTTATAGGCTGGGTAAGATGTTAGGACCCAAGCAACCGGACTGAGTCAACCCCCCCAAACCCCCAAAACCAAAAGTGCCCAGCATCCTGATTGGGTATTGTAACTGGGCACGCCGAAGCAGTGTCATGTAGGTGGGACGTTGTGGTCAATATGCATACGTACCATGAAAGAAAAGTCGTCGTCGCCGTGAATTAGCTACAGCAGGCAACAATAATAGATGCCTGTACCCTGAAACAGTCGGCAGTCTTTAAGAATTATTAAGCGAGTCTAGCAAGTGTTCAATGAGTATATATATCTTCGTGCCAAGTCTATTCATCTGGTTCCAAAACATTATCTATTCATACCATCCTCTCATATAAACATCTTACCTGAACATCAGCACAAGGCTAGAAGTACTGAAACAAGTCAAATTGAAAACACAACACTAAATCTGTTTTCATCCATACATACTACTTACACAAAGTCTTCTACGACTGAAACAACAACAATAACAACAACATCGGCAAACCATCACCCCAAACATAACAATCAAACACACAGGACAGACAACATCACCAAAAGATCAAAAATGTCGAGTCCAACACCCTACGCCTCATCCACCTACTCCACCTCGACCACGTACTCAGTAGACGCCATCAAGGCCTCTGCCTCGTCCCAATCAGCAGCAGCACCGAGCCAGAAGCGCTCCCTCGGCAAAAAGGTCAAGAGCGTCCTGACCAGCATGGGCGAACACCCCACGGCGCGGTACGACCGGAAACACGGTCTCGAGCCAAAGCCCATGTACGCGCCCGTCATGCCCGTATCCAAGATTTGATTCGACGACCAAGAAAAAGGAAGAAAGAAAAACAATACCACAAGGGATCTGGGCAAGGAAATGGAGGGTTATTGCTTGATTCAAGTCATATAAATTGGAACAAGATTGCATGGAGGTCAGAGCATTCAAGGAGTTCAAGGAGTTTAAAGTGAGGGAGTAGGAAAACCAGAGAAGAGAGGTTGATAGCTTTGGCAACGCCCATTCATAACCTCGTTTCCTGGGGTTTCAAGGTCAAAAACTTGCGAGTCGGTTTGTTTCCTAGGCTAAAGATTTTTGAATTACATAATTTTTTCAATCCCTCATTAATCGCATCGTCTGTTCCAACGTAGAAATGCTGTTTCATATTCCATGATTGTGAAAGTTAATCCGATCTAGGCAACAATTCAAGATTCTTCAAAGACTACAAATTACAATAGAGTTCCAAGTAGTGATGAATATAATCAGAAATAATATGCACCACAAAAAGGTCTCTATATCTAGCTTGTCAACGTAAAATGCATTTCTGTATACACATAGCAACATAAGAGCGCCTAAGATACAGATCCAAACTCCGGCAGCTCACGCCGGGCCAGATATAATAATGTCATGCCGCCCCATGCCTCTTTCAGTTATCCTCTTCTCTCTTCTTCGATTGAAATCTAGTTGCCACATTCCGTTATACTTTGCTTTCCATACCACGAAGCTGGTATCGTTCACATTTCCGTGAATTCTTTCGTAGTCAGAAACACCTTTTCGTACCATCCCCAGAGTCGCTTAGTAAGTACGCTTGAAAGGCGGGACAGCTGCGCACTCCTTCTCGTCCAGCGTCGTGCCAATGACACGTCTGTAGCCGAGCTCAATGTCACCCTGGGGCTTCTTCTGGAAGGTCAGGGTGTGCTTCATCCAGTTCTCGTCGTCTCTGTCAGGGTAGTCCTCACGGGCGTGAGCACCGCGAGACTCCTTACGGTTGGCAGCAGCCACAGTAGTTTGGGTACTATTCCTCATGTTAGTGCAAATTTTCGTTGATACGGCTAACGAATGTACTTACGCGCAAGTCAACAAGTTTCTCAACTCGAGAGTCTCAACAAGGTCCGAGTTCCAGATCATGCTGCGGTCCTTGATGCCGACCTGGGGGAACATCTGGTCGACCTCGTGGATCTTCTTGACACCCTCGTCCAACGACTCCTGGGTACGGAAGACGCTGACATCAGTCTGCATGGTCTTTTGCATGGCCAGTCTGATCTCGGCAGTGCTCTTGGGACCTTCCGAGTTGCGGATCTGGTCGAGGACCTCGATGGACTCGGCACCAGCGTCGGCAGAGATGGGCTTGGCCTTGGCACCAGGAGTGAAGTTGTCACGGATGGTGTGGGACACAGCACGACCGAAAACAACCAGATCCAGGAGGGAGTTGGCACCAAGACGGTTGGCACCGTGGACAGAGACACAAGCAGCCTCACCACAGGCGAACAGACCGGGCACAACCTTGTCGTTACCGGACTCATCAACGGTCAAGACCTCACCAGTGTATCTGGTAGGGATACCACCCATGTTGTAGTGGACGGTGGGCAGGACGGGAATGGGCTGCTTGCGGACATCGACACCGGCGAAAATGGCGGCAGTCTCAGAGATACCGGGCAGACGCTCAGCAAGAATCTCAGCAGGCAAGTGGCTGAGCTGCAGGTAGACGTGGTCCTTCTCGGGACCGACACCACGTCCCTCACGGATTTCCATGGTCATGGATCGGGAGACGACATCACGCGAGGCAAGATCCTTGGCGGTAGGGGCGTAACGCTCCATGAAACGCTCACCCTCAGAGTTGAGGAGGTAACCACCCTCACCACGAGAACCCTCGGTAATCAAGCAACCAGCTCCGTAGATACCAGTAGGGTGGAATTGGACGAACTCCAGATCCTGGTTGGGAAGACCAGCACGAGCAACCATGGCCATACCATCACCAGTACATGTGTGAGCAGACGTGCAGCTGAAGTAGGCACGTCCGTAACCACCAGTGGCGAGAACAGTGTTCTGGGCAAGGAATCTGTGTAGGGTACCGTCCTCCTGGTTGTAAGCCAAGACACCACGGCACTCGCCGTCCTCCATGATCAGGTCGAGGGCGAAGAACTCAATGAAGTAGTTGGTGCTGTGTCGTAGAGATTGACCGTAGAGAGTGTGCAGCAGGGCGTGGCCAGTTCGGTCAGCGGCAGCGCAGCATCGGTATGCCTGGCCACCCTTTCCGTAGCTTTTCGATTGACCACCAAAGGCACGCTGGTAACTGCCAGAGACTGTTAGCTGCCATTGCGCATCGAGAGCTTTGGGCAATGGGAACTTACATCTTGCCATCCTCAGTTCTCGAGAAGGGGCATCCGTAGTTCTCTAATTCGATGATGGAGGCGGGGGCCTCGCGGGTCATGTAGTGAATAGCATCCTGGTCACCCAGCCAATCCGATCCTTTTACGGTATCGTACATGTGCCATCTCCAGTCATCTTCGTGCATGTTTCCTAGTGCGGCATTGATACCACCCTGGGCGGCAACCGTGTGACTTCTGGTCGGGAACAGTTTTGATATACATGCTGTGTTGAAACCGGCCTCAGCAAGACCGAAGGCGGCTCGCAGACCTGCACCACCGGCACCGACCACGATGGCATCGTATTCGTGGTCCTGTAGAATGGAATGTGAGTACACGTCCGAACAGGATGTCACAATCGAGATGGAGATGATGATGATAGACGTACAATGACCGGGTATTTGCTGCTAACGTGTGCGGAAGCCTCCTTTGCCCGCAGAGGCTGGTTGGCAAAGATGCGAGCTATTAACACGTGCGGTTAGCCGGAAGCGAACGGTGGTCGCGAGGAAGCATCGATGGCGACGTACAAACTGAGCGCGTGGAGGAAAATGACCTCGCCTGACATTGGGCAGCGCGAGAGAACTGCATTGAGAGACGTGTTAGCCATTGTGGTCGCGATGGTGGTGGCCTGTAGCATAGCCGAGGCTCTGCGAAAGACCTCAAGGGGTGCCCGGGAAGGCGGAAGGAGAGATAAAAGAGGGATGGAGGGAGAGAGACTTACGGCTGGCGCAGTGGCCAATCTCCTCATAGCCATTGAGGATGCCATCTTTTAATCAATTAGGGTTACCGAAGAGCAGGATCCCAAGACAAAGAAGAAGAAGAAATACAGTGAGCGGAGATGTGATGGGGCAGGTAATTTTTTGGTGTTTTGAGGCTCTTGTCCTGCAAGTTCCGCTCTTGGAATGGGAATTGGCCTTCCGAGTGTATCAATGATCCGTCGAAAGAATTGGGCCGAGCTGGTGCTTTGGTTCACCGTGCTTCTGATTGGTCACTTGGGGGATCCGCTGCCTCTGCTCTTCGGGATCTCTCGCGAAGCCAGTTCAAGTTGCCGAGAAATTGGAGAAAAAGCTGGGGACCCTTCGGCGCTTGGTCGTGCCTGTCCCATTCTCCACATCACGTGGATCACCAGCCAAGTGTCTGTCGTCCTACTACGGAATAGTCTCTCGATCAGTGCCATAAGATCTCGGTTGGATCATCGAAGAACTTGATTGAATGAAATGTGATGAATAACTCGACTGTCAAGGAGTGCTTATTTCTATCCAGAAAATTTCACAGTAGTATACAGCCACATTCGAGCAGATAATAATGAAAAGAGCGCGGTAAAACCAACATTATTGGTTCGTCTCTAATCCGATCAGCCGCATGTCAATTGTACCTTGTCCATTGTTGCCAATACTGGCTTTGGACCAATGCTTCTGACGTGCATCTTGATTTCAAACACCATCTAGTCTTTGTAGCAGTCCTCTGTTGCCACTTGCTTCACTATACTCAATACTTTGGAGGTTGCGGCCGTTCAACAGACTGTGAAATGCTTTCCGTTTCTATTATATCTTCCTTGACCGACTGACTAGGTCTAATCAATGCTCCTTTTGTACCGATGCACATAATAATGCTGTCAATATATCCATATCCGGACGAGTCTCCAGAGTCTTTTACACCCTGGTGCTATCCATTTGTCTAGTTTGCCAAAACCTGCCTCAACATCGACAAGAAGTTCTCCTTCAAGTGATACACCTCAGCCACCTCTGGCTTGACAGGTTCACCCGCGCTACGTCGCAGCCGGTCTTGCGTCTTTGCCCTTCTCCGCCTCTCGGCCTCTATGGGGTCTAAATCGTCTTCGATTTCTTCCTCTTCCTCCTCTTCTGATTCGTCATCATAGGCCATATCCTGAAAGTCCATATCGTTGAATCCAAAGTCGCTGCTCTTGAACCCGTGCACTCCTGGGAGTGGTGCATCCATGCTGGCGTTGCCCTCTGCTGCCATCTTTTGTCTCGTCTTGTCTTGGTGCCACTTCTTACGAGCCTCTTGCCAGGAGATTAATTGGTTGATCTCATTGATGGCCTTGTCCTTGTCCACGACACCAGCGCCAACACCACCTTCGAACAATGCATTGATGTCCAGAGGGCCGCCCGCTGGGCCTTGTCGCAGGAACTCTAGAATGCCTTCTATCCAGCCCATGAGTTGCGTGAAGAGGCCATTGTCGTGCGTGTGGACTTCATGCACAAATTTGTAGAAGTTATGCTCGTGACGAGCGCAAAGATCAATAAAGGCCTGCACTGTCTGGTTGGGGTCTGCCGAAGCATCTTCCTCTCGGCATTTTTCAACAACCTGCTCTCACGTTAGCTAAATTGTAAGCGACTCAGCTTTGCGAAAAATACTCACCTGGATCATGTCATCAATAAAGACCGAGAAGTCGGTAATGCTGTTGTAGACGTTGGCAGACTTGTAGACCCGAACAAGTGGCTCATAAAAGATTGTGAAGAGATCTCTGAGCAGTTGCAGGGTGACAGGCTCCTCAATCATCTGCAGCATCATCTGCTTGTCACGCTGCCGAATGAGCAGCTTCAGCAGTTGCTTCAGATACGAGAAGAGCTGTGCGCCTTGCTTGAATTCTTCATCAACATTTTCGACGGCGTTATTGAAGGCAACATAAGCGTTGTAGAGTCTTTGAACCTGCGAAGAGACAAGAGCTGGTTCAATAAGGTCTGAACGTTGGATAGATACGATGATGTCGATGTCGTCCGAAATTGCCTCCTCTCGAATTGCCACCTTGATAGGCTCATCTGAGTTGACAAACTTCTTCAGCTTCTCCACAAAGACGTCATCTCCAATTTTCGCAGCCACTGCATCGATATTCTTTTGCGAAGAACGAATTCCATCATGTAGAGCAGCAGAGAAGACGCGCTGCATCAAGGAGCGGGAGCCGAACGGCTGGGCCAGGAACAGGTCGAGTACTCCAGCCATTACTGCGGCTGGATTTGCCAGTCGAATGACGTTCTTTAGGACCGTGTAAGGGATGAGCGAGTGGATTCTCTTCGCTTGCGCAAACAATTCGGGTGAGTTGTCCTCGGCAAGGAAGAGATGGTAGACTGTTGCAGCAACCTCGATGCGTAACCACTCTGCAAACTTCTGGTATTGTACGCTCAAGTCTTGAATGGTCTCCTTTTCCTTGATTTCCTGGAACAACTTTGTGAGACCATTGCTTTCCACGATATCTTGCCGGAACTGCTCCATGTACACGTCTAGTTCTGCAGCTCGTTTCCTGGCAATCTCATAAAATTGTTTCTGCTCGTCAATGCGCTTCTCATCAACAGCTTTACGTCGCATGATGTCGTCGACATCATTGTCTGTCGGTGTGATGGGATCAGTGGTCAAAAACTCATGCATGGCCTTTGTCTGAGCAATCTGCGGGTTCTGAAGAAGATATCTCAAAAATGCCCGCAGAGAAATACGTTGGCTTTCGCGCCAGAGAAGAGTAGTCTGTAACTGGTCTCAGTATCATGATTCTGCACAGTCAAGGTCATCTTTACTTACATCGGGCTTTGGACTGTTCAGGGCGGGGCTCTTGGGGCCATCCATACTTGGGCGTGGAGAAGCGTTTCTGGATGATGTCGTGGATAGCTCTCGACGGTGGCCGCGGACTGTGAGGTTCTTCATAGACTCCCTCAGACCACCGGATTCGGACGGGGGAGGCATGGTTGACATGCTGCTAACAGAAGAAGCTTCCGAGTCGTCTCCATCGCCACCATTTCGCGAGAAAAGTCCAGTTGCAGTAGTGCTGGACTTGTTCTTCTTGGGTAGCGGCGGCAGAACTTTTCCAGGGAGCTCTATCCTCAGCTGTTTGTGCAACCGCGCAAAGTCGCCATATCGTCGTCCCAGAAAATGCTCTAGTTCACCTTTCCTTTTCACGCGCAAGAGAAACTCCTGTGAAACATTAGCAAGAAAAGCTTGGCGGGATCACCTGTCATGAACTAACCGCATGCTTGTGCGAACGGAGCCGCTTCTTCACGGTTGTAAGTCTGACACCAGCAACATTCACATCCCATCCGTTCACGTAGTTGCCCTCGGGCAGAGTGTTGAGCACGCCCGTATCAATCGCATTAGCGTCCACAATCTCCAACTCGGCAAATCTTATGCGCTCTTCGAATCCAGAGGCTGTCCTGATGCCCGAAACCATCATAAGCTCGACCATCTTGCGACATTTTATAGCCAGCTTTCGGCGCTTGGTCTCCTCCAAACGATCTTCCGAGGACGAAATGCTCTTGCTAGCAAAAGACTCGAGAAACTGCGCAGAATCCCTTGGTTAACTACGATTCGACAGCTCTGCTGGCTCCATGGGCAAGTTTGGACCTACCACTTGCAACTTGTCCTGCCAAAACTCCTTCTCCTTTGCCTTGTCCAAGAAGGGGAATTCGCGAACATGATGTACGAATAGATATCGTAAGATGGGAAGCTCCGAATCGAGTGGGGAGACTTCGCCGAATTCTGACTTGAAAGGGGCGCCGAATCTGCGTAGTGCTGTGGGAGAGTTGAGCTCTGAGATCTCCCAGTCGACTTGTTCGGAAATGAGTTCTCGTTTGAGGTCTACATGATGAAAAAGTAAAGAGTTAGCTGCCTTGCCGCAGGAAGATGGAGACCACGAGAAGCAAATTCTGCAGCATAAACTGACAATGTTCTTGTTTTCCTGTCAGCGTCTGGCCAGGGGGTGGTATAGACTGGGTGCTCTTCGTTCGCGCAACCTCGCCTGGAACGGGGGCATCCTGCGCATTGGGCGGCGCAGGATTGGTGTCTGACGAAGCCATCTTGTTGTTTGTTTGTTGCAAGTAAATGCAATGAGGGATGAAGACTTCCCTGACTGCGCCCAAGACAGAAAATGTAATGTAGGTAGAAAGGAAACGACCTGGTCGGCGCAATTCCAATATGGGGGTGACGTTGCCCTCGAGCTGTTATTAGTACTGGAAATGAATCTGGCGGGGTACGCGATAGGTCAGTCGCTCCTCCCAGGGCGCAGCAGCAAGTACGGTACCTTGGGGCGGAGGCTCAAAAAACAAAAGACAAGGAAGACAAGAATGCAGCTCGAGTCCCAACGCAGGAGAAAATAAAAAATTGATGTTTTGGTAAGTAAGAAAAGGTTTCTCAGTCAGAGAAGACCAAGAATCTATCAAAGCCCAATTCAGTCAGGAATCAAGAACGGAATGGTTCCTTTGATGATGAGGGGGTTTGTTTGTTTGAGTCAGCCCTGAAGCTGTGCTGCGCCTGCGCCTACGCGCAGAGGCCAGGATGACTTACTTGCTTGCGAAGCAACACTGGTGCTAGTGCCTATTTCGTAGTGTATCTTTTGGGTAGCTCCAGACTCGAGACTGTATGAGAGTGCCGCAATGCCGTTGCGGCGCATTTTCCCAGTACTTGGCATTTCGTACCGGCGCTTAGCATGTCTATTCCTTGGGCAAACTTGGCCAAAATCATGCTTTTCTAGTCCTGGTGACCATCAAAGTCTCTGGACTCAGCGACGACGAGGTGACGCCCGCCAATGATGAAAAGATAGTTGAGCAGAGCCCTTGTCTCTTTTTGAGAGCATCTTGGAGGGGCAGCTGAGTGAAGGCATGACGTCGAAGTGAAACCGGCAATCCGGGACATGTGTGAACTGGGTTGGGTTATCAACAAGCCACGCCAAGCCATTATAAGCCCGATATGTCATTCTGCGGCGTCATCAAGTCACACATATCACCATCTATAGTCAAACTTGTTCTGGCTGACTTTTTTTCTTTCTTTCTATCTAATATGCGCGCTTCGAGGCATTGTCAGTCTGCGAGACAACAGGAAGCGCCATACAAACCAAAGCATCTGGGAAATTACGGCTGACAGTCAGCACCAACTGCTAATGAAAAGTACTAGACCGGACTGACTGCGAGCGAGTGGATAACCCTGGTTGGTTCAATGCCGCCATCCCAGAAACTGCTTGCATATAGAAAGCCAACAGAGTTCAAAGAATATCATGGCCACGAATGCCGAACTCCCGTCCGTTTATACTGAGAGAACAATAGGTTTCAAAAACAAATAATATTGATGTTCCAACGCCTGGGTATAATGCTCATATCGCCAAACACAAGTCAACTGTGCGATCTTGTAATGCATGCAACCAGAAATAAAAGTAATCAAGGAAAGGTAGAAAATGGATCACAACTCGTCCAGTGCGCGGAAGACGTCGGCGTCAACTGCGGCAACGGCTCCTCTAGATTGGTTCAAGGCAGCTCTAACATCTTCGACCAGGTGATCAGATACTCTGCTGGTGTTGTGAAGCTCGTTGCCAGGAATTCCTCCGGAACCGTTGCTCGACATCATATCAGTGAATACTTCGAGGGGAGCATACTGCGCTCCAACAACGAGGAGGACAAAAACCAGGGCCAGCACCGATGTGATGATCCATATAGTCTTGAGACGCCTTCGTGTTCTTTCTTGCCACTCGCGATCAGCTCTCTCCCAGCCCTCGACTCGCTCACGAACAATGTCTACACGCTCGCTGAGCTTCTGTACCTTCTGCCGGCCTGCTTGTATGCGGGCCTGCAGCGCTTCAATGTGATCTTGCTGCTCATTAAACTGGCCAAGACTGTCCAGCTGCGAGCTTGTCTCGGCGACGAGAGCCTTGGACTTGATTTCGAAGTTGCTGGCGGTTTCCCTCGACATGACTGCGAGCTCTTTGATGCTTGCGACCGTGCTGTGCAATGTGCTCAGCTTCTCCAAGACTGCATAATAAGCATCGTCTAGTCGCCGTGTAGTTGCTATTGAAAACGTGGTCAACTCTGAGAGAGACTTTCGAAGGCCGCTGCGAGACACGCCAGAAAGAGGCAGGTTAGCATAAATCTGGCTGGTAATATAGTAGTATGACACACGTAGTTCGCGGACGAGCCTCCTCATTCTGCGCCAACGGTTGTTTGTCTTTATTGGCCGTTGTTTCCAGCAGCCCCATGGTGCCAATGTCCTCAGCGCCAGGAGGCAACATGCTGGTTCGACGGCTTTGCTCGGCGCTGCTCAACAGATACGGCGTTACGCCTTCTGAGCGAGGAAGGTCGAGAGAGCCACGCGGCGGCATTTGCAGGGTAGGTATGGCAGACTGTGGGATTCGGTGATCGATATGACGGTCCTGGTGGTGTCGCCGGTGCAAGAGTTGGTGGCCGTGATGGCGCTGGACTCTGGAAGCATTCGTCTCGGTAATTGAGCGGCTCATGCGATGCCGCGGCCTTAGTGGGTGAGCCGCCTTACTCGTGTCGACGCCATGATCGGACATCTTGTGCCCGGCCGCGACCGTCGACGGTAAGGTAACTAGATAATGTCCGATGGTTTGGTACGGGCAATGGACCTGCACTCTGGGTGGCTTCCAGACCCGTACGTATTGTGGTAAAGCAATAATGATGATGTAGGTAGAGGTTCCTTGTCAAGGGGTGAACTGGAAGCTCCCCACTAAATTGAGACCTGGGCACCGTGTAATGCGTAAATTGCTTCAATGCAGTTAGCGCATTCAGAATTGCCCGAGCGTCACATGTCAATATCAAATCGAGGCGGATCTGTTACAGGAACGGGAAAAAATCAGACATTCATTACAAGAAAGTTTCCAAAGTATCATATTGTTTTTCTCTTATTGGAAAAATTTGCGCTTGGTCTGTAGTATTAGAGATGACCTTGTATGCTATGCTGATGCACGCCGCCTAGCCTTGCTATCATTATTTGGTGAAGCCTGTGGATGGGTGCTTCCGATGAAGTAAACTGTGCAAAGACCCAACACAGCTTGATTGCCTTCTTTTGTCTATACGTTGCTGACCTTGGTTGTACGCCCTGCCTAATACCGATGCGAATACTCGACACAGGATTGAGAAAAGAGCCCCGTCATCAACCTCGAAATCTCCTCCCCAGTCGGGACATATTGGTTGGCTAGGACTGTTGACGTTCGAAGGCGCCAATGTGTAAAGTATTGTTTGCTGTCGGAGGAATTTCAGGCTCAAGCGAGCCACGTCCCATCATTCTAAGCGGTACGGCCTCTGGGCGGGCGAGATATGGCCCTTCGACGGTCCTTTCACTTTTAGCAGAAGCAGATGTATGCCAAACAAACTCCTCAAGAGTTGATGAGCTTGTTGCGCTTCTCTTTTCTCTTGAGCCTTTCTACCCGCTTCTTGTGCATCTTTTCGGCCATTTTTTCGTATCGCTCACGCTCCTCCTTTGCAGCTCGCTTGTCCTTGATAGCCTGCACGCGTCTCTGTAGTCGAGAGTAAGTATATGTTTGCGCCATGTCTTGTGACATTTGAAAGACTCGGTACTGACCTGGCGCTCTTCTTCCTTCTCCTCCTTCATCTCCTTCTCTTTGGCCTTCATTGCCGCCGCAGCTGTCCGTTCTTGCACTCGCCTTTCGTAAGACTTCAGACCAGCGCTGGGCCGGAAGGCCTTCTTGGGGGCATGCCATTGTTTTCCTAAGACCCGATCAGCGACATTCTGTACATCTTGGTGGGCGGTGACTGAGCATACCATTCTTGCGCATGCCTTGCGGCTGTGGTGCCGGTGCCGGTGCCGGTGCTGATGTTGCTGTCGCTGTCGCCATGGCTGCGTTTCCCGGATCGAATGACGAGTGGGAACTTTTTCTTTACGCTTACAGTGTATCCGTGGCCGGGCTATAGGGCTGTAAATCGGACGCGCTCGCGCCTTTCCGTTTCAATCTTGCGCGTCCTGTTGGTTGCCTCGTTTTGCGACGTCTCTGAGAGGCGTTCTATTGCTTTTGCGACCTTGACATACAATTTTCTTCGAGGCATGAATCTTTCTAAAAATTCTTAGATAGCGGGTCCGATCCAATGGTAGGCTAGTGTAGGTTGAGGCGGGTCCCTTGATTTTGTCTGGCCCGTGCGCCCTCTTTTCCGCCGCCTGCCGCCCGGGACGCTTCATTTGCTCCTGGGCCAATTCTTCAAGATCAGGGTCCTCTCCACAAGGGACGACGCCGATTGATTGGGCCCCAGCTCTTTAATGCTCAATTTATTAATTTTTTTCCTTCTTTTCGGCCTGGTTCTTCATGTCAAACGTCGTCTGACAACGATATCCTCGGCATCATCAAACAATCTTCAGGGTATCTTGAGGCGATGTCACCTCTAAATTTACTTTTGTTGCTATTCTGAAATGCCCGCATCGAACATACATTGGCTCCAGCGCCCAAAGCCACAACAGCGGGAGTTACGGTCAGATTTCATGGTCCATCTCATGAAACGCAATTGGTAATTGCCGTAGTTATGTCCTGGGCAAGCTGGGGGTGTTGCTGGCTGAAGATTCCCGAGACGGGGCACAAAACTCGTGGCCTGGGGTTGACTGCCGATCAGTATCGAGCCGTCAGCGAGCGGGTGAAATAGTTCTCGACACCACGGGAGATCCGGTCGTGTTAGAACTGGGCTCGCTCCAGAAACTCATAAAACCGGATGCCTAGTTTGAGTACACCCATCCGTATGCTGTGGAATGTCTTCACCGCAAAATCCCAGGACATCCATCTGCAGATGTGCTTTGCTTTTAAGGGTGATCGTTTACTGCACCCTCCCCCAGGCGGCCGGCCCCTTGGCACCCACCGTTCTGTGATAAACCCCGCGATCAACACTCGGTTCGTTGTTTGAGGGAAGATGCTTTCGTCATAAACTGGGCAGGATCTGGTTAGCGTTTACATTGTGGACAGTATGACCTTGGCACGGGAAAATATCCCAGCGGCCACTCCGCAATTCATCACTTGACTGCGTGTGGATGCTAATCAGATGAACCAACAAAGCTGAAGGCCTGGGTTGTGGGGATGGACACTGCGAGGCTGAGCAAGTTGCTAGCTCATCCAGCAAATACGACGGCATGGAATTTTGCAGCGTTCCGCTCATTTTGTTTCGAGACCAATGTCCATTTGTTGGTTGTGTTTCTTTGTTGCTGCGGCCAGGCGAGATTGCTCTCGACCGCGAACGAACATAGGTCATTGACAACTTTGTGGGGAGAAGCTTCTTCATTGTCGCAACTTTGGTCTCAATTATGTACGCTTATGAAATGTGGGCGCTCGCTTATGAGACACGGTACCGAATTGTTCTTTCGGAAACTCCTCCGTGCCTAGCAAGAGCATATCGAAGCCCATTTGTATTATGTGTGTTGACAATCATATAACCCAATTGGTATACCATCTCGTCGTTGGTCACAGATGCGGTCACAGTCTTATGGTGACATTATACTATACCAAACTGTCCATGATGGGCGATGGGCCGGGTCGTGATTGACTGGCCGGCTCCTCCACGAGTCGTGAATGATGACCGCCTATCGCCAAATGCCTATCAGACCCGCAGCCCGTACGACCCCAAGCAATGCAAGATCGCAGTCCGTTGTGAATTAGCCTGTCCGGATACCCACAGCTTATGCATCGGTGTCTGTGCGCAGATGGGTGGCCAAGATGGCTTCGCACCTCTTGGTTGGACGCGACGATTGCAAGACCAATATGAT